ATTTTATTATAACGTGCGTATATACCGCTTACCTAGTTAAGCGATAGTATTATTACGTTTAAGTTATACTTTTTGGGGGTTTCAAGCGATTTAAACCTTTATTAGGCTTTTAAGCGTTATTATATAAATAAGTTATGTTAAAACTTAATTAATTAAAAGAGCTACTTCATTATAACGGTAAGTAGTAGCTAGTCGTACTTAAAAGTATAAAGGCGTAAAAAAATATTAATACTTATTAAGTATAGTTATAGCTAAAAATAAGCTGTAAAGAGATAAAAGGGATAAAAGGGATAAAAGGGACTTTAAAGAGGTAGAAAGGAGAGCATTCGAGCGTTGTTTAATAGGTTTATTATCTAGTGTTTAGCAAACGGGCATTCAAGGCTCTTACAGCTGTATTTAAGTGGGAATCTCCCCAATGGATCCATAGTCAAGATACCGACCATTATCCATCCCATCCTGACCCCATCTGAACCCCTGATTTCCACAAATAGATTATATTACTTTTTGGTCAGGCTTAGTTTAGTTTAGTTTATTTAACGCCGTAGGGGCTCTAGGCTCCAGATCCTTGTGGACGTTTGGCGTGCAGGTGACTATCTCAGTGGCTAATATACAAGCCTTACTGTACGGGAAGCAGGGCATGACTCCCTATTTCCCACGATAACCTGCAAATCAAACCTCGAGGGCACACATGTTATTCCGTCAGTTTCCGTTGGCCCCGCCATTTGGGCTCGTGCTCTGTGATCTCTGGTTCGTAGTCGGTAGTCCGAATAGCGTCGAGGAGCTCCTCTTGCTTTGATAGTTAGTGCCTTGCATTTAAAAGGCTATAAACTAAAAGAAAATAAAAATATAAAGAAAGATAATAAAAGTAATAAAGAGATGTGGTAACAGGCGCAGTTACACCTGGTGGTCAATGAATTGATGTTCTGTAACCCTGGGACAGACTTTCGTATAGAATTCTGTCCACTTGCAGAAGTCTCTGAATTCCTTTAGGTGCGTTATCAGCCATTTCTAATAGACTCTCCCTTTTGGTTCGGGTTCTCTGTTATGTCTGCGTTTTCTTTGTGGCCACCTAGACCATTTCGTAAGGGCTCTGTTGCAAAAAGTAAAATGGGCTCGCATTTTAATTCTCCCGCAAGAGCAATTGTAGTGTTCCTCGTGCTTGAACCTCCTATGGTACCAGTTAAAGTCGCCGTGGCCAGTTCTAGATGCAATAAGCCTGTGGAGCGTTGGCCTGTCAAGCTTGAGCTCTTCTGGGCACTTGAGTGTAGTTTTCTGAAGGCTGAGACTTTTGTATTTATTAGTGATATTCTTGTCCCACCATTACTGGTGTTCTTTTCGAGTCTTTTTGTTAAGAAGCCTAAGATGCCTATAAACATGGGTTTGGCCCTAATAAGGATTAGCAAGATAGTGCCTTTCTTTGCCTTTTTGTCGGCCTTTTTGTTGCCTTGGATGTCTATGTGCCCTGACACCCACCGGACCTGTACGTCGGCGTACGTGTCCGAGATTTTGTGGAATTCTAGGAAAGCTTCTTGAGAGCTCTGAGCTGGTTCCCCCCACAGTCCGGAGATCACTGCTGTATTATCCAGGCACACGTGGATGGTGGCGCCGCTGCTGAGCCTCAGGGCCTGTCTGAGTACGTAGCGGGCCCCTTCGACCTCACCGTTAAAGACCTCAGCTGGGTGGCCCAGTCTGCCACAGCCTGAGGCTACGTTTGTCCAGCCTCTATAGATCACGTATCCATAGCCCAACGCCCCCTCCAGGGATTTCGAGCCATCAGAGTAAGCAACTATGTGTGAAGGCAGAAACGATTTTAGCCAGTCTGTGAAGACTTTAATTTCTTTAGTTTTGTTTCTTGTTATAATAACTTTGCCAGTATTTGTTGCATATCTTGGTTCTGTTAGGATTAGTCGTGGAAAATCCGGTGTGAGTTCATACGTCCTTTGGAGCTATGTCCTTGCGGTTATCCTAACTAGACCCATCAGGCCTCTGTTCACAGTAGGGTTCCGGGCTGTAACACATTGGACTAACGGATGCATGTTATCCATAGCTCTGATTCTCAGGCTGAACCGCATCCAGATCTTGCTGAGTATGGCTTGTACCGTTGGTAGGTCTGATTCTTTGAAGAGTATCATTTTTGGTATAGTTTTCCAGACCGGGAGAATCCCTCTGATGGCATCTATAAGGACTCTTTTGAGGTCGTCTGAGTGGCCGTTCTGGCGGGTGCTCACGTCCCGGGCCTGACCATTTCCTGCTCTCTTGTAATCCCTGGCCCCCCAGATCTCTGCCCCATAGGTCATGGTAGGAATCACGCATGCAATTACCACCTCACGGAGGGCTGCTGCTAGGGGCCCTCTGGCAGTGTTTACAAGACTTCGAATATGTCTGGCCACGACGAGGCCCTTGGCTGCCCGTATTTTGACATGCTCCCGGAACTTCAGGGACCTGTCAAGGAAAATCCCCAGCCAGCGGACCACCGCCCCTTTCACTGGCTGCGCTGGTTTGATGGTGAAGCCTCCAGGGGTGACTATTTCTGGTGTGAGAGGTCTCCTCCCAGTATCAAAATAAATGGCTTCAGCCTTAGAGTCTTCAAAGGTGACCTTGTTGTCTAGGCCCAAGCGTAGAATATCATCTACCATGCTAGCTGCCTTGGCTGCTAGCTCGGTAGTGGTTTTGCCTGTTATTCGGATGCCTATATCGTCTGCATATCCGAATCTGTTATGCTTATCCTCTAAGAAGATATCTACAATATACCGCAGTAAGAGGATCAGGGAAGCTGGTGATCCTTGTGGGAGCCCACAGCTCAGTCCGAATACCTTAGTAGTAACGCCTTCTAGTCTAATCCGAGCAGTTCTGTCCGATAAGAAGGAATCTATCCATTTTACAAGGGCTGGTGCCCAGCCCTGCTGGCGGAGCCTGAGGATTAATCTCCGGCAAGTACTGCATCAAACGCCCCTTGTACATCCAGGGTGACAAGAAGGGCTTTTTGCCCGGATTCCAGGGCTAACTCGATGTCGTGTGTGACTGCTGCAGTAAGGTCGACCGCAGAGCGCTTAGGGAGGGCCCCGATTTGGTTTGGGCTGATCACCCCTCTTAGTAGGGCTGTTATTGCCATCCGTTTCGTAACTAGCCTTTCAAGGCCCTTTCCAAGGCATGAAGGCATGATAACAGAGCAATCGGCCTGTATGATTTCGCGATGATATAGTTCTTTTTCCCCGGCTTCTTGAGCATGACTATCTCTGCTGACTTGAAAGGGGTGGGATGGTGCCCTGTTTCAAGGCAGGCTTGAAATAGAAGCCGAATCGGCTCTGCTAGGTGGACCCATGCCGCTTTGAGAAGCCGTGTTGAGAGAGAGTCTATTCCGGGGGCTGTGTTTTCTGTGAGAACCATTTTAGCAAGTTCGGTTGGCGATATTGCAGAGTCCCATTCCAATGAGCGCGGGGGGACGATGGGAATCTCTAACGGGTCGTGTACGAGGTCGTCTTCGGCCGAGTGCCTGTCTAGTAAGGCCGTCTTGAGGGCATATGCCTTTTTGGTAGTGTCTTCTACTGTCAAGTTGTTGACTTTTAGTGGTGGTGATTTTATGTCCGGACCTAGCTTATGCCAGTTGATTATCTTGAAGAGGTCTGAGTCTTTCTGTATGCCTTTGATGCGGGCTTTCTAGTATTCTCTTTTTGCCTGTCGTATTACCGCCCGATACGCGCGTTTCTCTTCCGTAGGGGTGTTTATTCTGAATTACTTCGTTGCCAGCTTGTACGTCCTTTTTGCTTTCTTGCACTCATCGTCCCACCAAGGAGCGTTTCGTCTCTTGCTGCTTGGCTTGTTGCCAACGGTTTCGAGGGCCAGTGTGATGAGGTTTATAATAGCAGAGGTAGCTTTGTCGAGTTCTTCTGTTGTGGGGTTGGAGCTGAGGCTTGGTAGCGGGGTTCCCATACGTATTATCTCACAGAACTCTGGTAGTTTGTCATCTGGTACTGTGTATCTCTGTTGAGCCACTCTTCGTCTCCCTTTGGATGGGATCGTGATTTACAGTGGCCAGTGGTCTGCGGCTGCGTGTATAGCGTAGTTGACTACTGCGGTTGCAAAGGGGACGTTCGAGAAGGTCAGGTCGAGGACGTGCCCATCGTCGTGTGTAGGGACGCCCGGTTCCCCAATGTACAAGAGCTGGTTTTCTGCTGCCCACTGTGTAATTTCCCCGCCTCGGGCTCTTCTTGGTATTCCTGGTTCCCAAGAGGGGTCGTTTGCGTTAAAATCTCCTGCTACTACGCAGTGGGCAGGAGGTGGCCAGGCAAGCTTTTTGGTCAGGCAACTCCGAGGTAGTCCGTGTCTGGTCAGGTCCTAATAGGGGTGTCTGGTCAAGTTGACCAGGTCTCACGCTGTCTGGGTGGTCTGAGTCGTCTTCTGACTCTGTCAGGGTCAGAACCCACCGAAGGCGTAGCTGGAAGGCAGGAAGCGTCGCTCGAGAGATTGCTGATAACGACGTGTGAATGGTGATGGCTGGTGCTGGGATCGTGACTGTTGACGTGGGACGCGATATTTGGTCCATTGGACGAATGGATGAACCGGAGGAGAGCTGTGAGAGAGTGATGCTTGGCGAACAAGTCGTATCAAAAGGAGAGAGTACCCTCTGAGCGGTACACCTGCGTCATGAGGACTGGCTAAGTGAATAGGTCGTCATTGGCGATACGTATGGTGCTCTGAACGTCTTGATCGATGTCTGGTGATGGTTGGCACTCTCGTCGCTTCGGTCGCTTTGAATGTGAAAGCTTCCTACTGAATGGTGAGAGTGCCGCGACTAGCATGACGTCGCTCGATCGGGATCGCATACTTCTCTTCTCTACAGCAAGCTACCTCAACTATACCCACCTCCGAGCAAGTTCGCCGTGCGTACACTATGCTTTACTCTCCAGTCAAGCGATCTCATACATGCCCCTCCTATAGGCAGGGCTTTGTCGATAGTGCAGTGGGATTTCTCTATTGATACATACTAGACGATCAAGAGCCTATTTGAACTGGTAGTACTGTACCGGCAGGGCGCTGGATTTGTCCAAGCCAGCTTGAACAGGTGAAGAATGGGTCACGACCACACTCCTCTCAACCGTCACATTCCTTGACGAGGTCCCCGTGTGCCTCAATACCCGTGGCGCGTTCAAATCCTCCTCGCTCTCTGTACGTATACGAGACTTTGTGTGCTTTGAAAACCCCATCTTATGTTTGTTCGGCATGGAACCAACAGTGGCGACGTTACCTAACTCGACCTCGGGTCGCGACCAAGTACTGCCAGAACGATTCTTGCCTCTCCAGTCGCGGTAGAGGGCCGCCGTGCCTGGTGTGTTGGCTGTGATGATTGCGGCGGCAAACTCGACCGACGTGACGATGGTGACTGACCCGAAAACGTAGGTCGTGTCTAGGGTGTTGCTAAGCTGCCACAGGACGATGAACCGGAGCAGAGAGACGATGACGGTACCGCCACCCAAGGTGAACAGAGCGATTAGTTCGAAGCGGCGACGTCTGGAGGCCTGGAGCCTCCAAGGAATGGGAACTGGGATAAGGTATATAACGACGTCCATCAGAACATTCTGTCAGATTAAGGTTAGACCAGAAGCCGCACAGGACAGGTGAAGAACATACTGCAACCGAGGGGAGGTAGTAAGAGAGAGCAGAGGCAACGCAGTGGACGTCTGGATAGCGCTCGGGATGAAAGTAGGCTTGTATGGGAATGCACTGCAGGCCGTAAAAGACCCAGGTTCCGACGGTTTGGCAGGTGACAAAGCCCATGACGACGTAGAGTGTACGTTGGAACCCAATTGTGGTGTTGAGGGTCCGCCTGTAGAAGAACAAGAAGGACAGCTTGATGATGAACTGCAGCAGAAGGTACCAGAATTCCTCGATGAATAGATACTGTCATCCCCCACAGTCAGCGAGGCGTTTACGAGCCCATGGTTGCGGAGGGCTGTCGGGCACCTACGAGATGTATCGTGTCGACGCTGTCGCTTGATACTCGACCGACGTGACTATTGGGCACACAATCAGCCGATGGATTCATCATTAGTTGGATGATTTACTCCCAGGCCGCCACCAAGTATCGTCCACATCCAGGCAATGTATTGTTGGACGATCCATATGAATAGTCCGACGAACATGAGCCAGTCGTCAACACCAAATGAGTTCGTAACGTAACGGCGAGCATAAAGCCGGAAGAAGAATGAGAAGAGGCACAATATCGCAAAGGGAATCGTGATGATCCAGACAACTGGCTGCATGTCCTCGAGGACGATCTCGCGCCTGGAGAGGAAATCTATGCTGGCGCTTTTGCTCAAAGATTCACACTGAAGGGATACACATGGAGAAGAAGCAGGACTTTGCGATGACAACCCAGTTGCCCAGGGACATAGCACCTCTTATGATGGAAAGCAAGATTGCCGCCCGCTCATGGTATCCCCTTTTTGACTTTTGAGCCAAAGGTATGGAATCAACGTGGGTGGCCTGTCATCTTGAGACACACCGCAAATATGGGCACCAATAACGAAGCTGCAGCCTGAGCGACGAGTACCACGCGTGCGGCACAGCACGGTATTATAACTCACCAAGACACACTTTTTCTGCGCACATCCAGCAGGCAAGGTAGGGACCCAAATGCAGAAGGGCGCCAGCATATTGAGACGCTAGTGCATATCATCCCCGACATCTGGAGACAGGCCGACAGAAAAAAGTATAGTGGATGTAGGATGTGGGTGTAGGTGTAGGATTGGGTATCTGATGGGTATCTGATGAACTGCGGCGAAGCACCACCTGGGTATCAGCCGGGGTTATCGCCACGTCTGCACATAGGTTAACCAATTCGTCTAGCTCAAAGCGAAGTGCATCAGTTTGAACTGTTTCCTTGCCTGTGCTAGAAGTACCAGCACTTATCAGAAAGATTAGCGAATTGGGTGATGAAGCTGGGCTCCTGTAATTGTTAGCCACAGCCTCCAGAACCCTTGTCACTTTCACAGTTAGCTGCAAAGCGCGGAACCTGCCTGCCTTGATTTTCCGAATCCCGAGGACCTGGTTGATAGCCATCTCCCTTGCTTCCTCTCCGTATGTGAGGGAGAGGGGCAGCCAAAGACCCGGCCCAGTGTATGCAGGCAGCAGTATGCAGTCGTCAACGTCAAACCACACCAACGCCATCCAGCCGACTCCTCAGTTCTGATCAGGGCCGGTTGCAGGGCATATGGGGCTATAGGGAATGGCGATACCCAGGCTGCCAGGTGGTGCTCAACCGCAGTTCATAAGACAGGATGTGGATAATAGGATATGGGTATAGGATGTATGACGAGGATTGGCCCCAGAGCCTCAGGTGGACCGACCTCACAAGCAGAAACCTAGTTGTTTTCCGGAACCTTTCCATGTCTAGTACGCGGGATCCATGTGACGTGGTGTTGTGATACGATGATAGACGACTCATGTCCGGGACGGAGACAAGAAACTGCAGAGTCCCCTGCACATGTAACCACCGACGACCCGCCGCGGCCCGCAACAGGAGAAGCCGAGGGCGGCACTTTTCGACGAGGCAGCGAGCTTTGATAGGCCTGGGCTCTTAACGACTGTCTCCTTGTTACCTGTACATCTTCTGATCGCCCAGTCTAGCACTCCTTTCCTACAACCTGTCCTTCACTTCAAGTTTTGCATTGCCCGAACTAAAAAATATGGCTTCGCAAGAGCTTCGTGTCCAACCACTAGGCTGCCAAGATGCACCCCCATCCGAGCGCTTCGAGCTGTCCGACATGGACCACACCATGATCAAGGTCTATGTTCAGATTGCCGAGGTATTCAAGCTGACCGGGGATGTCGTCCAAGATGCCATCGTATCGAGTGTGAAGGAGGGCCTCGAGTTCAGCCTCAGCCAGTTCCCCCTACTCGCGGGTTTCTCTCCGCATGGACGAGTCCAATGGGCGGATGTGGGTCACCAAGAGACAGGATTCTAGTGTCGGCCTGCACATCAACCATTTGGACCAGCCTGGCAATGATTTCCCCTCGTTCGCGTACCTGGAGCAGAACGACTTCCCCGTCCAGCTCCTCGAAGGGCACAAACTGTTGCCCAAATCGGTCACGGAGAAACAGCTGTTCTCCCCCCTGGGAGAGAATGCAGACGAGGACACCATCATCTCGGCATTCCAGATCAACTTCATACGAGGGGGACTGATCCTGGCGGCCGCCATTCACCACAATTGCTCAGACGGCACGGGATGCAATGGTTTTCTGAAGACATGGGCCAAAAGCTCGGCGGCTGCGAGACTCGGCGCACCATTTGAGCCCATCGACAGAGCGGCCCTGGACAGAGCACGACTCAGCGCACCAAGGCCGAGTCCGGCGAGATGGAAGCAACTGGATGGGTAGTTCGAGATCTTGAAAGACGCGGGCGGCCCGTCGCCACCTCCACCAGCCGATTCAAGATGCCCGCGCTGAAAATCCGCATGTGGCACTTCCCCAAGAGCATTATGACGAAGTTGAAAGACGAGTCAACCGCGAAGACGGGTGATACCTGGATATCGACCTACGGTGCCACAATGGGAGTCCTGTGGAAGACCATCACGCGAGCCAAACTGCCCCTCCTCAACCCGGACCTCGACACCAAGACCATCCTTGCTCACGGCCTCAACACGCGAGCCAAGATGCAGCCGCCTCTTACCGACAACTTCATGGGCAACGCCGTAGCGCTGCCTCGCACCGAGCCTCGGGCCATCCGCGATATCCTGGCCGACGGCAACTTGACCGAGATGGCGGCGGCCGTGCGGTGGCCGCATCCGCAGTTTGAGGGGTATTGCTTCATACTGCCGAGCCGGGCTGGCATGGAGGCGGAAGGGAGTGATGAGGGTCTCGAGGTCATCGTATGCTTGGAGGAGTCGTGCCATGATCGTTTGTTCCAAGACGAGGAGCTGCAACGATACGCCCAGCCGCGAGGGTTTGACGCGTAGGACTAACCCGTCCTACGCATAAGGAAGGAAACATTTGTACTTCGGCCGGACTGGTCTCGCTCCCATTCGGCACGAGCTAGCCAAGATTCTCTGCCCAGGGCGGCTTGTAAGTTCCCTCGAGACGATATATCCTTGTATAAAACAGCAAGGCAAAGCCAATATTGGTGATCAAGAGCAGCCAGCCCAGCCAGACATGCTCGCTCTCGTTGTCTTTGATGTCCACCAAGGCCAATTGACGTAGAGCTTTTAGTATGACACGAACAAGCAGCCATGAAAGCAGCCCAATGACAGTAGCCATCACAAGTAGGCTGATGTAGGGCGGAGATGCCGCCGCAATGGTCTTGATCCACTCTCCTAGCCTTTCGTTGCGGTCTTTTGGGAGGTGCTTGCCAATGTCAACGTACTGCCACAGGAGGCTGCTGGACACGACGCTGGGGACCATGACGAAGGCAACGATGATGCCTCTCGCGCCTCTCGCCACTGATTGCCGCCTGCGCGGCGCCATCACACCCGACAGCGTTGAGCTTACCCGGGCATCGGGGACGAGCCATCGGCTCAGCAGGGTACCGAGTAGCAGAGCTATGCACCAGAGCAGGATCGGTCCGACGACTAGGAGCAGCTGCGCCGTTAACACGGCGAAGATCAAAATTACCGAGCACACGAGGTATGAGAAGAGCAAACACAAGTACATGGGCCAGTGCAGGGGCATGAGTAGATACCACAGCTTCGCGTCTTCGAAGCTGGGCATCACGGTGCTTGTAGCCGATGCTCCGATGACGAGTTGGGCGAGGCATGAAGCGGCGGTGAATGCGGCCATCCAATTCTCGCTCGGGCTCCATCTCAGCAGTCGAGCGCGCAATGCTTCGTTCTGGGGTCGATGCGGGCCAAGCGTATTGAGGATGGCATTGACGACGTAGCAGAGGAGGTAACACGCGCCCAAGAGCTGCGTCCATGGCACACCCTTCAGTGCGAAGAGTTTTGTGGTCTGGGTGATGCACAGGGCCAAAAGCATGCATAATTTGACGAGTCCATTAAGTGACATGGCCTCGTCACTGAGCTGATGGCGATGCGCTGCGACGTCCCTGACAGACTGTGCGAGGCCACCTTTGCTGATGCTCTGTATCAAGACTTGCAACACGATGACCAGACTGTCGACCAGGCAGATGACGGGTGATGAGTGGGCAAACACGGCCAGCTCCTTGGGGAAGCTCAGCACATCTCCAGAGTCTTGGAGGCACACGTTAACAGCTAAAGCTACGAGAGCTCCGGCCGCACTCTGCCAGCTGACGGCATGTTCGTTCGCCTCTTGGCGGTGGCTGGGAGGGTTCATGGCTGTTGCTGTTGAACTCTGCTGCTTCACTCAGGCTGCCAGGCTCCAGCGAAGAGCGTAGCCTCGAGTATTTTGTATTTTGTATTTTGTAGGCGCTGGCCAGCCCAGACTCTGGGCAGTATGACTATGGAGGCGCAGTGCCACTGGATATGTATTACCTTATGTAACTCGATTACCTGCGAGACACGGTCACCTGGCCTAACAGGTATCTACCTCCCCGGCCGTCTCTACGCTAATAGTACCTCAATTATCACATGGACGTAGTAGGGGTTATATCAGGGTACTCGCCCTCCGTTGCTGGTTCTGCTGGTGTACCTATAGGTAACCTGCCCGTGAGTTAAGGAGAGGGAAGTGCCTGTTTCTAGGTAGGCTCCGTATTTTCTGGGCAGGTAGGTCGGGTTCCGAGCCCCCATGTCTAGCACGAGCAACTACCGCCTTTTCTCGGCAACACTTGAATACTCCTCACGGACCACCTCTTGTATCATTGGTTTCAATAACCTGGGGAAGTCTCGCTTATCAAGCAAGAAAGCTATTCAAGTGTTGCCAAGAAAAGGCGGTACCGAACTTCACCGGATAGCATTAGCAATACAGTACACAGGCTGACAGGTCAATATACTCGGCGCTACAGTGGTGACTGCACCACAACAACATGTTCACCCTCGCTGGTCGTCAGCCCGCGGCCTATCCGGCGCCTGACAATGAGGATACGGCCTTCATCGATCCCGAGCTCACCAGTCTGCCCAAGCGGCGGAAGCTGACGACGGATGCAGCGAACATGGCCGAATCACACGCCTACCAGTCGTCTGATCTCTCTGAAGAACATTCCGACTCGGGCTCTGGCGATGCGGAGGATGGTCCCGACGGAGATACTGAGCATGCCGGAGAGCTCCTCGACGAGGAAGCGTTCAAGGCCCACGTGATCCAGCAGCTGGGCATTCCGCCCTCGGCAGAGTACTCGGATCACGACGTCCAGCGGCAACCAGACATAGTGGCCGCCAACCAACGTCTCGTCATGCCGCTCGATGGCCCTCGGCTGCGGCTCATCATCCATCGGGTCGAGGGTGACCGGGACCTGTGCTTCAAGATGCGATGGTTTGTCGCCCGGCACGCCCGCAAGCATTTCGACAGCGCACTGCCGGGCAGCCAGCAGGCCTTTCAACGACGCGTGCGCCAGGGCCACAAGTTCGACCAGGAGGTCGCTATCAAGCTCCGACCGACGCCATTCAACCGCCTCGACTTCGAAGTCACCCGTGCGCAGGAGGAGTTCAGCAAGGGGGACTCGGGCTGGGAGAACAGTCGCCTGACACAGGTGCTGCAGAGGACATATTCGCAGTACGGCTGGAGCGAAACCGTCAGCCACGCCGATGTCGACCTGATCCTTATGAACGCGGGCGCGAATCCAGGTGTATTTGCCAGCGCTGCGAGGATCCAAGCTCTCGTAGGGACCACGACAGGCGAGATGCCTCCGCCACGAGTACACCCTGGTATCGCGGGAAAATCCAGGAGGTCTACGTCCCGCAGGCCGCCGCGCGGGGCATCGCATCAGGATACGCCTAGAGATGGCTTGATGGACGAGATACAGTCCCTGCGAGCCGAGGTCCGAGACTTGAAGGAGGCTTTTGTGGCCGAATGCAGAGCCTCGCAACAGGCTCTTGTGGCCGAGATGCGCCTACTGCGGGAGGCTATGACCGGAGCTCCGCAACGCAAGAGAAAGTGACGTCTATGCGGCTTTCGACGGGAGACGTCTTTGCGTTGTACGGCTGGATTAGGACTGGACCTTACTAATGACTGGAATTCAGCACCTGGTCATGGACTCGACATGCGGTCATTCTCACGACCCCAGCACTGGGGATTCTGTTGTGACTACTGGTATTGTGGTACTGTCATCGGAGTGACTATGCTGTCGATCGCCCACTTCTCGGACTGGCCCTTGAAGCAGCGTGTTGTCTTGTTGGAGAGCGACACACTGCATACAGCACGCCTGTATCGTCACATATCTCGTAGGCGGGACCACAGTACCGAGATTGCTGTTCAACAGACATTGTATTGGTATATGAGATGATAATGAAAGCAGCATAATGAGTGTGTTGAGCATGCCGAGTTGCCATGAAAGCGAATGAACACGCCGGCCTACCAGTAGTCCGGACCACCAACTCAGTCTCCATACCTTCTGATCCTTACTTGCCCATACCGTAGCTCACCTTGCCTCGTCGCAAGGCAAGGACTTCGACGTCCTCCCGGCAGCACCAGACCAGGCGACGTCCCTGTCATTGCAGGAGTGCATGGAGGCCCTCATCAGATATCCATGATCTTCCTGCTGTCCTTCAAGACATCCCCAAACAGGACCTTCACCTCCCACCCCACCCAAACCTCCTTGGGCGAACTTCCTTCGAGGTAGAGGTCGACCTCCCCCGAAGCAGCAATCAGATCCACCTTGAACTTGATGCCGTCATTCAAATTGCCACTGACCTGTCCGAGACTGATGCCGATCACAGCAAGCTCGACACCGACCTCGAGCGTGGAGATGTCCACATAGCCACCAAGCTACCCGGAGTCAGCACGTAACGGGCTTTGCATGGGGACGACAGGTGGATGTATGACGCTGGGGAACTCACGCTGATGGGTCCCACTCCGAACACGATCTCCTTCCGGCTTCCGTTCGAGCCATTGCGGCGCAGGTCGACTCCCTGCGAAAGCAGCATAGCTTGCTTGTATGCGGGCAGGTCGGCCTTGGCGACGGTGGTGGGGATGCTGCTCCAATCGAAGCGATCATACGAGCCCGGGTTCTGTAGGATGAAGAACGTGTTCTTGGATCGTGAGACCCCGAGCAGAGTGCCTTCGTCAACGTCAGCCGAATGCTCAAGATGATGGAACCTACCGCAGGGATAGGGGGGAGACCCCAAGTGATTTATTACCTGCGTCGGTTGCATCCGGGCCAATCAACGAGAACTCTCCATCCTTGTCTACATAGACAGTCTGGAAGGTAGTGTTCGAGAACGAGACGGGAAACACAGTCTTGGCCGTGTCGTTACTGGCGGGCAAGGCCTGTCCTGTCACAGCGGTGGCGGCAGCTTCGAGGGAGAGCTGTACATTCAGGGTGATGGGAATGTCGTAAGTGCCGGCGGCCTCGTACCACTGCTCGCTGACAACCTTGGGGCCTTGGAAGTCCCCCGTGAAGGTCTGCGCGATTGACAGGGTTGCGGCAGTGTCTGTCGTGTACCGAATGCCATAAAGCGGCGCCTCGGGATCGTGGGTGGGAGGATACAGGATCCTACCGTTGGTCTCGGTCAGGGTGTCGCCAAGGTTGATGGCCCAAGAGCCCAAAGAAACTAGTCATTTGAAGTCAGTAGGTGATGGAGTTGTTCAAATGGTTAGATACGGTGAGACTTGAACAACGATGCAGGTTTAAGATCCATGAATACGAAAAGGAATGGTGTGTACTGACCCTTGTTGACATCAGTGACAGTGACAATGAGGGAATCGATCCAGCTCAGCGAGGTCTCAGGTTCGAGCTCTAACAAATTGGAAAATTAGTAGGGCTTTTCTGAGGGGGGTTTCAACGAGCTCTCGGACCGATTGAAGCATCAATGATGGCAGGCTTGCCATCCTGATTCATGACGCTGAGGCACAGCTTCTGGGTGCCTTTGTTTGCCTCGACATACTGAGGGCTGATTCTGGTAAGAGCAGAGTAGGAAGGCATTGTGAATCAGTGCGGCTGCGAAGTTATATGGTCTGTGTCTGGAAGGGTGAGTTTGGTGCAGAGCAGAAACTCCATCCTCATGTTGCCGATGCCTTCTATTTATGAATGGACCCTCCAGTACCGGGGTAGAGTGGTTCTCTCGTCAAGTCGTTCCAAGCGCCGTACTCTCTCATGACTAGCTCTATGATGTCTGTTCCTCGAAAGCCGGCGTTCGTGGCTAGCTGAAAGCCAGATATTGCAACGGAGGATTTACTTTTCGAAAAGATCGCCGCAATTTGTATATATCAGGTCGAAGAGTGGCCAGCTGAACCGTCTTCGGGAAGTGGTAATGTCACTGTATTGCGTCTCACTGCAGGGACATGTCCAAGCTCCAAGATGATCCAGAGCCAAAGTCACCATGGGAACCGACATGTTGGACGCCGTGGCTATTCCAACAAATGAAGGAGGCTGGGTGACAGACGAGCCTTTGAGTTACTGCAGAAGTTTCCTTTTTAGGACTTTAAGCTCTCGTAGAATCGAAGCTGCATAACCTCGAACATTGGATGCTACGTAGTGAAAGCAAGGGGCGCGGCAGTGTCAAACTAGGAAGTCGGTGCTCGTTCCAGCTGTCAGCAAAGGTGGTGGCGTTCACGAAGTCGCCGAGTGCTTCAACGTAGTATCCCGATTCTGGTCGTTCGTATTATTCTTGCCTCTAGTGCTGGACTCTGCAAGGTATATCACATACTCTCCTATGTTGAAGGTGAACTGGAGACCGGCCACAGTACGTTTCTCTATCTTATTTTGGCTAGCCTGGGTAGAAACTCCCATGATGAAGTAGTGACGAATTGTTTTTAATTTTAACTGTACCACAATGTGTACTGAAGGTAACTTAGTAGTAGTACGATTCTCGAAGACTGTCGTCACTCGTTTCTTGGGGGTGTAATCCCATGATGGGTATGCACCTGTATTCCAGTTTCCGGCTTCAGAATCAAGTGTATTGTAAGCCAACCACGAGCTAACCCAAAAGAGCTCATCCCACACGCTAGCATATACAGCTGTGGGGGACAGCGAAGTGCTGCGCTGATAGTCCTATAAGGAGTGGTTTGGAGGCCCTGATACCCTCCCCCTGTTTGAATTGACTTCGGGAACCACCATCACATATCATGTAAAGTTACGTAGCTAGCATATGTAGATATATAGATTTAGACCGCTTGTCACATCCCATCGCCCCTGTGGCCTTGGGCTGGTCGGCTGCTTCGCTGCAACCAGCAGATGTTAGACTGCAACCAACGACCAAAGGAGCTTATGAAAAGGAAAGCAGCAACATGACCGTCAGCGCAGGAGTAGCTCAGGCCGTTGCTTCGGCAAGACTACGGACCCATCGCTCCCAACAATCCGATTCGTCCATCCAGCGAGCCAACGATGCGCCTTTGTTTTCTTACAGAAGCTCCAGTCATCAGCAGCGCTTCCCATTTTGCGACGGGTCATATGCAGCCATTGTGACCCGAACCAATAGTTTTTGCTCTGCAGGCCTGTCATAATATTTATTTGGTAATCACGGCGGCCACCCTGTACGTATTCAGACTGGGACGTTCTGCGCGCTTGCTTGCTGTACCACAATGGTTCAGTACCTTGTCAGGTGGGTATGAAAAGGGTCGCGGCAATATATGCACTGCAGATGCAGTGTAGCCTTTTCAGCTTCCCCACACGCTCTACATGCAGCTGAACATAACACCGTTTCGGGAGGCGCATCTGCGCGAACCCCTGCATGTGGTCGAGGATACGACAGACCAGTGATTCTTTTGCTTGGCAGTGACGGGAGCAGGAAGTGTTACACAAGTCTCGATGCATGACCACCTCGACGTGAGCGTGTGGCAGTGGCCCTGTATTTGAGTATCATATGAAATGTACAACTTACCATTACATAACACTCCATATGTCACAATGTAGGCCGGACTGTCCGCTGGAGACAAACATGGATTGGTGATGGGCTGGGTCCGTCTTTAGAATTTTTCATGGCTGGCCGAGCATCAACGAACGTCGGTCTGCTGAGAGGAGGGCAGTATGCAGCTCTTGCGATCTCAATGTGCAGATGAGATACCGGTATGAGCTGATTCGCCACGGGAACGCAAGGGGCCTTGCATGGCCTTTCTTGGAGATGCCAGGAACAACACCGTACGATCAGCCAGGAGTCCATACATGATACCATGTCGATGTGACGAGCCGTCTAACCTATAAGGCTAAAGGGTTCTATAGGGTTTATGTTCTGAGATAAGTCAACACAAAGGACGATAGAGGCTTCTGTTAACTAGAAGACACTCAGATGCTGGGGCTTGGTCTGATCCAGGGGATCACTGAATAGTCGAGTCATCAGGAGATTTCTCCCACCTTAGGGTTAGCTAAGATGCTTAGATTGATCACTGAGGTAGAGACTGTCTATCTGTCTAGCTAGGAAATGTCCATCCTTATATATCCAATCTCTCCCTCACTGATGAGGCGTGCTCACTGTTGCTCGCGTGATCAGACGTGAGCAACCTTCCCTTGCTCACCGTTGCTCGCGTGAGCAGACGTGAGCAACTCTAGTCACGTGATCCTGGCTCCCTAGATCACGTGCCTGGATGCCCTGCGCTGTTTCGTGTTGTGCCCCCGTTCTGATTGGGTTCCCTCGTAGGTCATCCTTTTCCCTTTAGGCCTGCCAACGGGCCTGTGGTATTTGTTGATTCGTAACAGTCGAAGACTGCTGCTGATGGGTTGTTTTCCTTTATTTATAACGAGATACGTGCGTGCCGGTCGAGAAATACTACCTCTGCATGGTACGAGATGACAAGTACCCACTCCAAACTTAGTTGCTCGTGGTATAGAATATGAGAGTACTCAAGGTACCATCACATATGATAACTGGGATAACAAGCTGACGATACACATGCTGGGCAAGCAACGTATGGGCTACTATGCGAGTGTCTATGCTTTAGGTTCCCATGGCCAGGCAAAGAAAGCAACAACGGGAGAACAGGACCAGGTCTAGTTGTTACTTGTGATTCTGTGCCAATTCGTGGTTGATGTAACTGGTCCTTGATAATGGGCTCCGTGTCCACTGCCCGGTAAGGTTCTCGCGGGATACGACAGCTGCATAACCAGGCTCGTACCCTCCAGCAGAGGTATGTTACAAGTGCCAATAAGGTCATACATATTGTCTCGAAGCTTGGTCGAGTATGAACTACTATCCTGCAATCTTGTCACGACGTGCATAGGGACCAATGTTGACTTTGATTTACACCGTAGTTACGAAATTGGCAAATCGTCACATTCAACCAGACGGCGGGACTGGAATCAGGATAGACCCATAAGCCGCACTATCACTGCTCTACACCATGGCACTGTCACAATGCGTATTTCAGTCACCAGTCAATAGGCGGATATGTTCTCGTGTGTCTTAAGTGAAAGTATGATGACAAGCGACCTTAACATCGCGCGGCAACAACACGACACAAGAAAATGACAGCCCAGGCACGCCCGACTACATAATATAGGAACACAACGCAGGTCGATCATGTGCGAAGAAGTACCTATATCATATGGATACCACACAAGTGACGACACCCCAGCAACGAGGTGTCGGCTCAAGCTACCCTAGAGGGCCAAAGTGGCGGCGCAAGGCTGGCACATTGAATCACACAGCCTTGCCACGCAGAAAGGGAACACCTACGTCAAGCCCCGTACGAACACTGACCAATAAAACCCCTCAAACGCCATCTGCGATCGTTCAAACAAGGATCGCGTATTACAAGAAGGGCCAGGTGGATACAGAAACCCAGTATTAGACAATCACCATACAGTTCATCCATAGAACAAGCAAGAGGGCACTGTGATATTGTAGCCAAAGGAACGCCACGCCCTTTGAAGATACGAACTGCGCATGTCACAAAAACAGCACACTACAAGTCCCTTTCCAAGGATTGTGCTTCATACACACCCCTGAGGACGATATGGCAAATATCAGGCTAGCAGAACATCGCACAACACAGCCGATTTATAAGTCGCAAACAAGAATGCCAGGAACGAAGACACAACTGCGTCACGGAGCCACGATCGATAAAAAACAATTCTAAGTGCTTATTTCAAGGTCCCGTGGAGAAACTATCCACGGACACGACCCGTCATACTGTACACTCTAGTAAACATCATGACGCTTTCCCCATTGCCATGACCTGTGACTATCGAACATTACACCCAGATTAACCCAGCAGCATCCTCCGGGGGTCCTCGATATAGTCCTTGACCTTGACCAGGAACTGCACAGCCTCCCTGCCGTCCAGCAGACGGTGGTCGTAGGTCAGGGCAAGGTACATCATGGGTCGAATCTCGATCTTGCCGTTGACAACCACGGCCTTGTCCTTGATGGCGTGGAGCCCGAGAACGGCGCTCTGCGGCAGGTTGATGATAGGAGTGCCCATGAGAGAACCAAACACGCCTCCGTTGCTGATGGTAAAGGTGCCACCGGCCATATCCTCGATGGTGAGCTTGCCATCCCGAGCCTGGTCTGTGGTCAGCACGGAAACTAGTAGGTTGGGACTACACGGGGAATGCCAGAGGCGCAGGAGTACACACCTTCTTGCCCATTTCGGCGATTGACTTCTCAATTCCGACCATGTCCATGGATTCGGCATTGCGAACCACCGGGGTGACAAGGCCCTTCTCGGTAGCGACCGCAACGCTGATGTCGACGTAATCCCGGTAGACGATAGTGTCACCACCGTTCTCTCCCTCGATGGAGGCGTTGACGGCGGGTATGTCCCGCATGGCCAGGACACTGGCACGCGAGAATGCGCTCATAAAGCCAAGCTTGACGCCAGTCTTCTTGAGGACCTCGTCCTTGTAGAGCTTGCGGAATTCCATCAGCGACGACATGTCGACCTCGTTGAAGGTAGTCAGCGAGGCGGCCGTGTTCTGAGACTGCTTCAGACGCTCGGCGATCCGAAGACGCATGCGATTCATCTTGACACGTCGCTCCTCGCGGCTGCCCAGCACGGGGCCGCTGCTCGCTGGGGCAACCTTCGTAGGCTGCTTCTTAGGGGGAGACTCCTTCTTGGGCTCCGGGGGCGGCGAAGGCTTGGATGGTTCGGGTTTGGACTCTGGTTTGCTCTCGGATGTCGACTCGGGCTTCGATTCCGGCTTATTCTCTTGCTCGGCCGGGGCGGGACGGGCTTCGGTGGAAGCGTCCTCCTTCTTAGGGGGTTCCTTGGCTTCCGATTTGTCGCCACCACCCGAGGGAGCACCGCCCGGCTCGATCTTGGCAATCTCCTGATCAACAGTGACCGTGTCTTCCTCGTTGGCCATCAGCTCCTTCAGGGTACCGGCCTCGGGGGCGTTGACAGCGACGTCGATCTAGAGGGGCGCATGTAAGTCGAGAGGAAACAAGCAAGAGGGAAACCTCAGGGGCAGTGTAGGTTGGTGGGTGATGGGTGAGTGGCTACCTTGTCCGTCTCGATGGTGGCGATCTCCTCGTCCTGCTCGACGTAGTCGCCAACCTGCTTGTTCCACTGCTTCAGGGTGCCCTCGGTGATGGACTCGGCCATCTGGGGGACCTTGACGATGGTTTGCGCATAGGTGCGCACCTGTGTCATGAGCAGCGGCAGGGGAAGCTGGCTTCGCATGGGCTGCTGCATGGGCCGGCGCAGGAGGCACGCGGCCGTGGCAAGTCGTCTCGACATCATCATGATCGGAGGTTAATGGTCAATGGCTGGCAGGAAGACAGAACTCAGTTATGCGACAGTATTGGCAAGCAAGTGAGTGAGTCGTGGGCACGTAGAATGGAGAAGACGGATAAGATGGAGACGATGCAGAAGATGGGGAGGAGGGTGAGGAGGAAAAGGGGCTGCCAGAGCCTGCAATTGGCAGATTAGGGGGGGAGCAGGTGATGAGGGTGTGAGGGCAAGAACGGCGACGGCGACGTCTCCTTGGTCGTGGCTGCGTGGATTTGGAGTTGGAGATGCTCCAAAACATGCAAGAGGCAGCTCCCCATGGTCCATGGATGTTTCCGGCCTAGCTGCCCAGCTGCCCAGTGACTTTTTCTCCGCTGCATGGCACGGAGCACCCGACCCGACCCAGCCGCGTCCATTGGACTGGAGCAACAGGCTACTGGGAATTTAGAAACCAGTTTGGGCAGTTCCATAAATCCTGAACCGGATTTACCCGTCTTTCCCGGTACTGCGTATCTGGGTAAAGTAGCACTTACCTAAGCCCAGTGGCTACTGCCCAGGTGGTAGGGTACGCACGGAGCATGTGAAGTTCCGCTCCGACTCCCTTGAGCCTTGACCTCTCCAGCTCGAGACTGCAGCTGCAGCTTGCGACGAAGCTCCCCAACTCAGCCACGCACGGGCTCCCACATACGACAGAGCGGGTCAAGAGTCAAGACTCACAAGGCCAATTGACGATCGGGAGTCGAGTGAGAACTATTTCCAACATCCACTCTTCGCCCAGCTGCTGCCAGTGCTGAGTGCAGTGCCACCACCAAAACTAGAACCACCACGCACGAAGCAACAGCCTTGCCCACCTCGATCTCGCCCGTCTCCAGTCGCCCGATAATCACTCGCTGTCCAACCCTTCGCCAGTATCTGCCGCGACCGGTGCAAAAGCAACCCAGGCGCGGCTCGACCTCAGCACGGACTGCGCCCTATACAGACACCGGACACCGGACACCAGACGCAGCTCATCATCATGTCGAACCGACAGGCCGCCTTGTGAGACCCCAACGGGCCCTACCCCGTGCGTCGCCAGCAACTGACGAACGCGCCTCACAGGTCGCTTTACCGCCGCTCGTTGAAGCTGGCCCTCGACTGGGCCGTCCACCGACACCTGTGGCGCGGCCAGGCCCTCTACATCCGGTCGCTGTTCGAGGCGAACCGAAACATTGTCGATGCCAGGAAGAAGAGGGTATAAAACTGCGGCCCCGAACTACACGAGACGACGAATGAATGCTGACCCGGATCCGCGCGGAATAGGCGTTGCTGAGCGAGACGGAGAAGCTGCTGGAGACATGGAAGCACCCTGACCCCTACTGCCCTCCCACGGCCCCCGGAGGTATGTCGACTGGACTGGACTGGAGTCCAATTGAGGCATTTCATGCGTTACAAGCTGCGCGCACATTGCTGACATACCAAACAGGATCCAAGTACGAGAGAAACCTTCCAGTACACAACACGGCCCGTAAGCCCCCCTCCCCTTTATACAAATCGGCATGCTTGCCACTGCAAATGCACCCATGCGGCAAGAAGACGAAGACTGACCCTCGTGTGCGCAGCCCCACCACCGCTGAAGTTCTAGGGACCGGTTGTCAAGAGAAGAGGTTTGGGCCGCATCCGTCTGTACATAGAACCTGTAATCTGGGTGTAGAAGGACAATGGCAAAAGTCGCACACACACAACCAATCTGCTCTTACGCTCCCTGGGGCTCTATTGTCGCAATTATATCACCGCCTGCGAGACTGCCGTGTTCCATATCCCCTTATCACAAACCAAATCGCTCAAAAGCACCGACCGTCATCATATCAATTTAGCAAGAACCGATGCGAGTATAAAACCAACTCAAGACATATATATATATGTAATGTCGACATCCGAGATGTGACATTTTTGTATTCTAGGCCAGCAAGAACTGAAGCTAATGAAGGTACGCATAAAAAATGAGAATGTCCAGGCGAGTCCGAGTCACAGATGATGCAAAGAAGCAGAAGTGAATATTGTTCAGAAAGTGTTCTCATTCGCGTCCATTGCCCTAATGGATTATGTGTATAATGTACAACCCTTGCGCATGAATTGCGTGTGAAAATCAAACCGTGACCCAACCGTGACCCCGTGGTTCATAAGACGTCCCAAACAGCCAACCAGAAAACACCAGATCAAACCCCACTCTACAACTCCTGGCTCGCATTCTTGCCGGGCTTGCCAGTCTTCTTGGGGAGCAGGTCTGGAGGGGATGTTAGACAGTGGTATGGAGGGGAGACAGGACGGGGGAGCTTACTCTGGTGGATGTTGGGCAGGACACCACCTTGGGCGATGGTGACGTGTCCGAGCAGCTTGTTCAGCTCCTCATCGTTCCGGATGGCGAGTTGCAGGTGACGGGGGATGATACGGGTCTTCTTGTTGTCACGGGCGGCGTTGCCAGCCAGCTCGAGAATCTCGGCAGCCAGGTACTCAAGGACGGCAGCGAGGTAGACGGGAGCACCGGCACCGACACGCTGAGCGTAGTTGCCCTTGCGGAGCAGACGGTGGACACGACCGACGGGGAAAGCCAGACCAGCCTTGGAAGATCGGCTACAGGAGGAGCCAAGTCAGTACATTGTTGATGATGGACGGTGGAGTGTTGTTGTGGTGTGCGCGACGCGTCAAGGCGCGCCAAGATGCGAGACGAGAGAAGAAAGCAGGAGGGAGAGGCATCAACTTACGATTGCGAGTTCTTGGCACCACTGGCCTTGCCGCCGGATTTGCCGCCTCCAGTCATGATGGATTGGTTGGGGAAGTTGGGCTTTGTTGGTGATGTAGTGTTGCAAGCGGTGCTTGAGTAAGCGTGCTGGCGTGTGTGTGATGGATGCTTTGTTGTGGTGGCGGATGGATGGATGAATGCGAGAAGATGGGATTGGGAGGAAGCGGTTGAGTGGTGGTGGGGGAGCAGATGTTTAAGTAGTGGCCGGGCGCGTCTGCGGGATCACAATCAGAACATTGAGATCAGAGCTTCCAACTTGCAAGCCCCTGCAAGCCTTATTACCAGGGCACGCCTAGCCTGCCAGGTGCCTCGCGTCCGGGTGCATTTCAACCCATTTTAACCCCACTAGTCCGCATTCGGGCGGTAGGCCAGTAGCTGCAGCAGCACAGGCCTCTCGCGCAGGCCTGGCAGGGCACCGCATCTTTTCCTTTTTTTCCTCATTGGCCAGTCACCCAACGATGCCATGCGAGGCTACTCGACCTCCAATTCATTTTGGATTGATTCAATCGATTGATCCCATTCCATTGTCAGTCTCGCCTCGTTGCGCTACCTAGATGAACCCACACCCTGCCCCCCTTCCTTCCCTCTGCCTCTCTCCCAACCCCATCCTGTTCCCACAAGCACAATCGAGCAGATCACAACATTCTCCCCATTTCGATTCGGCTTTGGCTCCCTTCGACATCGAATGATTGCCTTACTTCTTGATTCTCGATTCTTTCTTGCAGTCTACGTGCATTGATTGTCTCGGTGTCTCCTACTGGTCTGATCTGATGGTCTGCCTGGCCGGCCTACTTGTCTAAGGTACGTTCTGGGAGTTGGGGTTTTGATCCGAGATCTCAACAGGGTCAGGATTGTATCCATCTGGTGTTGTTCATCTACGGTTGGACTTGGATGGTTGAATCGGATGGATTCAACCTTGGTTTTATGGTTTGATCCCAGATTGTATGATGGTTCCATGGTGGTTTGATGCACTTGCTCTTTGGTGAAGGGGTTTTCGGGCATGATTTTGGCGTACATACACATGTGTATAGGTCCTATGGACTTTGAGTACCTTAGGTAGGTTGAGCTAGAATCGGGTCACATACTTAGCACTTCGGACATTCATAGAACTTTGCCTGGTCTGATATCCAATGTCACGAGAACTACATCATATTGTATGAATGAGGTACGGTGTATGCTAGCAGATCCGAGTGAGTACCGGAGCCGGCTTATGGAGGCAAGGCGAGTCGGCAGCGAAGAGCCGGAGGCAGACGTCCAAGCTGCCGGTAATCTACATAGGTATCCGGAGCGTCACGATGGCTTCACGTGCACCCAGCCCCGACCCGGACTGCACTCTCTAGGGACCGAGGTGGCCGTCGGTCGGCTGGTCGGTGAACTCTAAGTCTCCAGAATTCACACCTATGGTGCCGGCCGTTGACGGCAGCGGCTCTGGAGTCTGGATAGAGGTACGGCGATGGAAGTGGGGATCAAGATCAGGAATTCCGTGTAAAATAGCTGATTGGCCGCCTTGCCCGTGGGACAGCATTCCACTCCGCCCAACTATTTCCCCTTTCGGACGATTGTTTTGGTTCTCTGGCCTTGCCTTGTCTGATCTCGCAGCCTCGGAAGTTGGTGGTGGCGGGGGATTGAAGAGAGCAAGATCGAAGGGCCCGTGCTGCAGTCGCCATCCCATCACGCGTCTGCCACCCGTCGCGTTTCGGGGCCGGGACTGGCACTGGGATTGCAGGTGGGTGGCAGTGGCTGGTTGCTGGCCGTCTCCACCCCCACTAACACTGCAGCCGTGATCTCCGCGATTGATTGGCTGCACCTGCCTGCATCTCTAGTGCCAGTACCTAAGATACCTGCTGTAGTATCGGCCAAGGCAGGCAGGATCAGTGCCTTCTGGTACCCAAAGCACCCAAGGTTCAAATCGTCAATCAGCCAAATCAGTAACCGCGCTAGCGTCTCCCGCGCGCCCGTACAAAAGGTCCTCACACCCCCATCCTTTCTTCCGTCAACATCTTCGACCTCTCCATCTCCATCTCACAACAACCTCAGCCAGCAGCACTCAACAACCAACGCGGATTCTATCCATTCCAGCATTCCCCACCATCCACACACTACTCCCAGACCCCCAACCCACCAATCCATCATTCACCATGCCTCCTAAGGCCGCCGACAAGAAGCCCGCCTCCAAGGCCCCGGTTGCATCCAAGGCTCCCGAGAAGAAGGATGCCGGCAAGAAGACCGCCGCCACCGGTGAGAAGAAGAAGCGCACCAAGGCGCGCAAGGAGACATACTCCTCGTACATCTACAAGGGTAAGATTCCCCCCCTCCCCTCCCATCACCGCGCGCATCTCCGCATTTGACGCGCCAACTTCGAGTTGCACGCGCTTCCATCCATCATGTGCTGACTTCGCTCTTCTAGTCCTCAAGCAGGTTCACCCGGACACCGGTATCTCCAACCGTGCCATGTCCATCCTGAACTCGTTCGTCAACGGTAAGCTACACACTCTTCCACCTGGGCGCGTCTTTACGCGCCTGCAACCGCACCCCCTTCTAACATTCCATCCCCAGACATCTTCGAGAGAGTCGCTACCGAGGCGTCCAAGCTCGCTGCATACAACAAGAAGTCGACCATCTCTTCCCGCGAGATCCAGACCTCCGTCCGCCTGATCCTGCCCGGTGAGCTTGCCAAGCATGCCGTCTCAGAAGGCACCAAGGCCGTCACCAAGTACTCGTCGTCCACGAAATAAGCGCTTGGTTGTCTGCTTCTGGTTTCTTTTGGGCACGGGACATTTTCGGCTTTGGCATCATGACGAGACGTGGCCAGAGCCGCTTAAGTCCCAGATTTTTTCGGGAGTCTCATAATGCGTTACGGATGGTTTGCTTTTTCCACGGGGGCAATGTCTTCGCACAGGGTCTGGGGTTCGCGGTTGTACTATACATTTTCCCGATAGGATTTCGGAATGAGAATCTGAACATGACAAACACCACTGTCTTTGCCCTTTGCTTGTTTTTACCTACTTCGCTTGACTGCTCACCCAGCCCAGATCTGCTTCAATAGCCGCCTACCCCAGTATCCCGATGCTCGACGGGAAATGTCTTGAACCGTCACGAACCGCAATGCCCGGCCGAGCTGGAGACTCGCAATCATCACGGCGCCGCTTCCGGACCGCCTGGAAGTAGTCGCATCGGGCATCGGGCATCGTCATGTTGCAGATGCCCGCCGACTGCATGTCGCTCTTCAGCGGCGTCACGAAAGGGGCAATTTAATGATACCAGGTATTCGGGTGTATTCCACACTAACTAGGCCTGGCCGCCCAATCGACAGGTTGAGTGAGATACGCCTCGCTCGATCTGCATCTAACACTGACCTATAGTCTGAGAGCTAATCTGGGGAGGCTATGCTTTTTGCTGAAGCGGATATCTGCAATGCTGAGTGTAGCATCTTCGACAGCGCCTCTTGCTATTGTATATACATGTGTTGCGGGGGAGGACTCTGGGAGGGAAAACGCTCAGGCATCGCCGAGCCCAGCCTTGGTCTTCTTGACCACATGCGTGATGGGGACTATGATACCCTTGTTCTCGCCAGTGCCCAGCGCCATGCCCTTGGACCAGCCCATCTTCTCTAGCATGGCCCTGCCCTTGTTTTCCGCACCGAGCTCGGCCGCGTGCTGCCCGACCACGTCACCTTCGCGCAGTGTGAGCGTGTTCTTGCCGCGGCGAGACTGCCCGTCGCGCACCTCGGCCCGCTTCAGGATCCGGCTCTGCCTCACCACCTCGTCGTCGACGTCGACGCGGGGAAACCAGGTCTGCTTGATGCGGGCGAATGTGCGATCAAACACGTCCTGGTCGAAGGGGAGCGTGGCTTTCGAGCGGTAGAGGATCGGATACCTATCTTTGCCCTTACCCGCCGATTGCGATTTGATCTTGAACTTGTTGGCCACCGAGTGCACCGTCTTGCGCGCCGTCTTGTCAAACGGAGGTAGAATGAGCCTGCACCTGGGTTAGTGTCGTGTGTCCATCGTGGCCATCACACGGGGCCATGCGTTCGTTGGAAGGGGGGACTGACTGTTCCTGGAAGCCGAGTAGAAATACCTCCATCTCGTTGGCGAGGTCGTCCAGCGACATGCCTCCGCGATACTTGACCCGGAGATCGTCGGGGTTGACGTTCTTACCCAGCAAACCTTGCGACCGAAGCTCCTCGCGGGCCTTCTTCTTCTCCGCCTTCTTAAGACGGTCCTTCTTCCACGCCATCTGCATTGCCTCTTCCAACTCCGAGTCTGACACATCGAATGTCTTGGGCCCATTCTTGAAGTTGTTGAGGCTGGGACGATGCCAGTCCATGAGATCCAAGTCGTCAAAGGCATCCGCCATCTGCGTTGCGCTCGGGAACTGGCCTCTTTGCTGAATCATCTTATCCTTCATAGAGCCCCCCTTCTTCTTACGACGGGGGGTACCCTTCGGAGCCATGGTCCAGCCCTCATCCTGGTCCGTGCCGTCGAGAAGCAATACATCATCGCCCCCAAGACCCAGCTCTTCCTGCTTGGCCAGCATGCGGGCCAGGCGTTCATCGTCGTCAATTTCACCATCGGAACCCTCGCTGACCCCGTCTTCGCTAGTGACCTGGTCGGGGACGGCGTCGCTATCTGTGCCTCCAATATCACGCAGCACATGGAAGGCGTGCGACCCTATGCCAGCAGACCCGTCACCTGCATCCTCCTCGTCTTGCTCCTCGTCATTCTTCATGTTCGCTATGTAATCAGCGATCATGGCGGCTTCCTCGTCGTCGGCATCAGGTGTTCTACCGTGACGCGGCTTTCGCGAAGCTTGACGCCGCTTGCTGCTAGAGTTGAGTGGAATGTAGTCAGCCGCCGGCGCATTGACCATAGGCTGTACTCGGGGGCTTTCCGTCCGAATTGTCTCTTGAACAACTTTGAGTTGGACGTTGATTTCGTGCATTTCCATAGATCCTGCAGTGCCCTCTCTGTCATTTGGCTTGGGGATAGTAGACTTTGGCGGCTGGCGGCTGGCATCTCGACCCTTGAAGAGAATGATTTCCTCGCTCGAGTCCCAGCCAAGATCAGACTCGGGCTCTTGGTGCTGCTCATCCGAAGGTGGCTGCTCATCTGTAGAAGGCAGCGTAGCGGGTGGCGGCGACGCTGATTCTTTGGAGAGAAGATTCACGGGCTCCGGGCCACGCTGGCCCTCGATGGCGTCAGTTGCCGGTGAAGTCGGGCCATTCGGAGCTGCAGCTGCAACTATGTCATGCTCGATATCGAAAGCCTGGCGCTCAGCTGAGGCTGGGCGAGTAACCTCCAACAATTTCAAAGGGTCCATGAATCCGGCACTGACGAAATCGACAGGCTTATATCTCAGCTGGGCGTCACGGCCAAAAACGCCGCGGCGGTTATGAGCCGTGTTCCTAGCCTCTTCGGCGAGAGAATAACCTGTGGCAATCAGTACGGCGAGATATCAGGGCAGCGTAACGAGGACGAGTATACCGTGAGCGTGGGCGAAGGGTGAGGCATTGCCGCCGCCGCCACCACGCCCTCTGCCGTTGATACCGCCACCGCCGCGTCCTCTGCCGTTGATGCCGCTACCACCACGACCTCTGGCGGTAATGCTACCACCGCGTCCTCCGCCATTGCGCAAAAGGTGCGGTGGGATGGGTCCCTTGGGGGAGCTCTTGGCTGTGCTTCCCCTTCTCGGCATGATTGAATCTGTGTGGTGTGCTTGTGCTTGTGTTCTAGTGAGTGACCTAAGGTAGGCAGAGTTATGTGGTGGAAGTAAGAGGTGGCGATGGGCCAGGTCAAGTCGGGATATGAGAAAACGGACAAAGGTTCGATGACGATAATGTGGACCAGGGCATGATCTGGATGTTCTGAAACCCCGTCTCGAGAGGTGAAAGAATCACCTTGTATGTACCGAGACAGTCAGGTCGACAAGGTAGGCGACGATGTGTGATGTGTTGAGCTGGTAAGGTAGGGTCAGGTAACAGCAGCTTTGCACTCGATTTTGAAATTTCAACGGCAGATGATGAACGTCAAGTCATTGGAAGTCAAGCCATTTATTTAGACAGTCAGGCACTCGACTCAGTAGTTCAGTTATTCAAGGGTGCTGACGGGCCACGGCAGGCAGCTTTATCGATAAGATAGGCCAGAAGGGTCCGCGGGGACGGCACGAGGGGCAGGAATTACCGTGTAGTAGTACACAGTAAGGTACGGACTGACAGTTCCCACCAACATTCCAGCGTATCTTCTGTTCTCACTACTTCCTCAATCCCAACACTCACCAGAACCACCAAGCATTCTATTGCATATTGAAATTGGCAGAGCCCTCCCCAGTTCCAAGCGTTAACGATCAATGCATTCCAGATGGCCGGTACACACACCCAACATCGATCGACCAGAGTGAGAGTGAGAGTGAGAGTGGGTGTCGTTTCTGACGGACTACTGCTGTTGTTATCTGATAGGGCGCGTGCACCGTAACCAACCCAACCCACCGTCTGAGGGACTGCCTACCCGTGCCCCGCACCACTTTCCACCTCGCTAGGGCTCACCACAGTAGCACACCAACCACAATAACACACCAGTCTTCTAAAATAACCACCCTCCAGCCAAAACCACACCAAAGTCATTGTCTCTTTGGACAGACAACATTTTTACGATGGAACCCCGTATTCACGAAGCCGTAAAATATGTCAACGAGCATCCGGATGTCCCTGAATGTGGTATCTGCCGCCAATTTGGGGTTCCAAGAGAGCGCTTCCGTAACCGCCTGCAGGGCATCTCTTCCAAAAAAGGACCACAAGAACCACCCATCAAGCTGAATACAATACAAGAAAAGACCGTCTGTGCTTATATTGACTGCCTAGATACCATTAATCTCTCTATGAGGCTAGAATCCATCATAGAGGCTGTCAACTTGCTACTCAAGAAGTCGGCGAGTGCCGCGATTATAAAACTACCCATAGTTAGCAAGAATTGGGCCTCCCGCTTCATCAAGCGCCACGGATACTTCAAGCAGCCTCAGAAGGTTCTTTCACAAAATTGGCAAGCTGCTAAAGACTTAAAATATACTGAAAAGTACTTTCAAAAGCTGGAGAGGGTCATCAAGGAGGAAGGCATCCTCCCTGATAACCTGTGGAACATGGGCAAAACTGGCTATCAATCAGGGGTTGGAAAGGACCAGATAGTCGTCACTAAGCAAAAAGAGCCCATTATTTCGGAATATTAGAGAATAGGGAGTTTGCTATTGGCATAGAAGCTATCTCTGCCACAGGCAAGGTTGTCCCGGGCTTCCTTATCCTCTCTAGCACCCTCCATATGTCTCTATAGTACAAGATACCCGAATTAAACCCCAGGATGGCAATTGCAACCGCAAAGAGTGGTTATTTGAACAACAAGATCAGCCTAGAGTGGATTAAGCACTTTAACAAGCACTTTAAAACCTCTCGAATTGTTATAAAGAGGCTTCTAATTATTGACGGTCATGGTAACCACCACACGATACAGTTCATTAGATATTGTGACGACAACGGCATTATCCCTTTTGATCTCTCTCCGAATATGACATATTTACTACAGCCGCTCGATGTGGTGGTTTTCCAGCCCTGGATATTATAGTACGTGATGGTCTCATGCATATCAGGAAGATCAAGTTCTTGTTGTGTATTGAAGGGGTTTGCTAACAAGCTTTTAAAAAGACCACTATCCTCTCTACCTTCAAGAAAACGGGCATCTATCCCTTCAAACTGTCAGTTGTGATTAACCAGTTGAAGAAGCGCAAAGCTCGCGCGAGGACCTCGCCACCCCCCTTAACCAGCCTGGTTTCTCTCCAGTTGTCACCCTAGATATAATGCGGCAGATTTACAAGGTCGCTTATTAAGTAGACGAGGCCTTGAATAACCTAGATAATGGCGGAGATCTTACTCCTGAAGATATTGAGAGGATCAGGCTCCTATCTAAAGGGCGCGCTTCTACGCCTCCCAGCTAGTCCAGACCAAAAGGGACCTTGGAAGGACTGAATTAGCTTCTCGAGTTAACAAACAACACAAGTCTGCAAAAAACACTCCTTTCTAATCAGGAAGAGTACTCACAGTTGAAATCAGGCATCAAATAGCGAGAAAAAAGGAACAAGAGACCGCGGCAGGCCTCCAAAAGAAGGCAGATACCCTGGCAAAGAAGGAGCTCTAATCACAAAAAAACCTCGCTAAGAAGGCAGCAAAGTTAGCCAGGTATTAGAGGACTATTAAAAGACTGCCTGCTATTGATATCTACAAATCTGGCAAGAAGATGCGGTCGCTACGTAAATTTTAATGCTGAATAACCTCATATTGGTGTGTTATTGTGGTTGGTGTGCTACTGTGGTGAGCACCACTTTATGTGGTGAGCCCTAGCGAGGTGGAAAGTGGTGCGGGGCACGGGTAACTGGAGTCAGTCACAAGGCAACTCACTCACTCACCTGCTCGCTCACATCGCCCCCAGCCGGCGTCCACCACGGCCCGCTGCCACCTCATATCTATCTATCTATGTACATCCTACACCTCCATCTGCCAGTCCAGTCTTCACCTGAGGCCGTGAGCATATTGGGCAGGTGCCGCATGACTTGCCATCTTCACACTATTCCATGTAAATCCATCTGACCTGAAGAGACCGCCCGGCCCTCCACATCTGCTGTCTGCTGTCTGCTGTATCCGTCGCCAAGCACCTGCTGGTGGTGCTGTCTCCGGCTGTCTTGACCTTGCTCGCCTATCCAACCCATCCCCTCTTGTCTCCTCCACGTCTTCATCCCCCTAAAGCCTCCTGTCCATCCTCTTCTCTACTTACTCATCTATCGGCTGTCTCCCTGTCCCTGTTCGCCCAAGGTCGCGACGCATACAGCAGCAGCCCCCGCCACCATGGATACCACCGTCGATCTCGGCCGACGCATCGTGCAGATGTTCTGGGATCCCGAACCCACCAACGACATGGTCCGCGATCAGCCCGTATGGTGCCTCGGCTCCTCCTACAAGCTCAACAACAGTCCTAGCTCCAAGCCTGAATCGTCACCGGCCCAAGAAGCCCCAGCCAAAGAGCCCGTGCAAAACCCCGCCCAACTTCCCGAAACCCCTCCGGAATCCGCTTCGAATAGTAGTCTCGATTCGTCGCTGGCCTACGATGAGGCGCCCTTGGGCGGTGGGTGGCCGCCTGCCTTTCTCGACGATTTTGAATCCAGGATATGGATGACATACCGCTCCGAGTTCGATCCGATACCCAAGTCGCAAGACCCGAAAGCCACCTCGGCCCTATCCTTCTCCATGCGGCTCAAGAATCAGCTCTCCGACCAGACCGGTTTCGCCTCGGATAGCGGCTGGGGATGTATGATCAGGTCCGGCCAGAGTCTGTTAGCCAACGCCATGGCCATCCAGCGGCTCGGTCGAGGTATGCCTTGTCCAGTCCTGTTTCAGATACGCTGAGACTCCTGCGCACTGCCACTAAAACCACCCTGCAGGATGGCGAAGGACTACACAAGACCTGGACGAGAGGAAGATACTGGCCTTGTTCGCCGATGACTCGAGAGCACCGTATTCTTTACACAACTTTGTGCGTCATGGTGCGTCGGCGTGTGGCAAGTACCCCGGTGAGTGGTTCGGCCCCTCGGCCACAGCCAGATGCATCCAGTATGTAGATGATCCGTCCCCTTCCTGCAAGGCCGGCTTTCGCAGCTAACTGGCGACACCACCAGAGCCCTGACAAACGCGACCGAACCGACGATCCGTGTCTATTCCACAGGAGACGGCCCAGACGTCTACGAGGATAATTTCATGAAGATTGCTAAACCTGGCGGTACGACGTTCCATCCCACCGTCATTCTAGTCAGCACGAGACTCGGCATCGACAAGATCACGCCGGTGTACTGGGAGGCTCTTGCGGCAGCATTACAGATGCAACAGTCTATTGGTATTGCAGGGTGGGTACTACCCGTCTTCGTTGCTACTTAAACAGGCCATGTCTAACGAGGATATGCAGCGGGCGCCCATCATCGTCCCATTATTTCATCGGAGTCCAGGGGTTCAACTTCTTCTACCTCGATCCGCACTTCACCCGGCCAGCTTTACCCTATCACGAGGATCCAGCAGAGTATACGAAGGAGGAGACAGACACCTGTCACACGAGGAAGCTACGCCGGCTCCACATCAAAGAGATGGATCCGAGTATGCTGATTGGCTTCCTCATCCGGGACGAGGAAGACTGGAGGGACTGGAGACGAAGCGTCAAGCATGTGCAGGGCAAGGCCATCATCCACGTGTCGGACCACGACCCAGTCGCGCAGTTCCATGAGCGAGGCGGGGTCATCGACGAGGTCGAGACCCTCAGCGACGATGACGACGGCACGGTACAGGACGGTGCAGAGGAGATGGTGGGCGCATAGGGTGGACAGGTCAACGGCTAGGAGTGCATCAAACGGGGATACCACAAGGTTAATTGGGCTGGCGTTACTGGATCACGACGGCTGAGCGATCAATCATGGTGTAAATACCACGAGAACTTACTGATGGATATCGAACCCCTGACACAAGCGCCGGCCCGTATGTCCCTCGTGCCTTGACCTCGGGACAGCAGATGATGCGATGTCGTCTTGTCGATGGCGAGACGCCTGCCGTGGCCCCCTGATGACTTGTTCCATCCCGCAATGGACCAGGCTGATACAGGGTCTCGTACGATCCGTGGCGGGTTTGTTTGGGTGTCGGCGTTCAGCGTTTCTTCTTTCCAGATTTGGCTGGGACGGTCTTGGTGGCGGCATGGCCCGTCTCGTCGATGTGCTTGAAAAGCTTGGTTCTGGAGTCAAATGCCGCGTGGCAAGCTGCACAGGTTTGCTGTTCACCATGGTCAACCGCGGAATTCAAAAGGCGCCAAGCTGGTTAACATACGGCGGGATTCTGCTGATCTGTAGCAGCTTGGCGAGCCTTCTTCTCCCGCTTGGCCTTGGCCTTTCCGATCTTCTTCGCTGGAGCGCTGCTTTCGAGCGAGATATCGGCGATGCCGCTCGACGCCTCGGCCAAGACGTCTTCAGTGTCTTGCAGCAGCGGGTTTGGCCGATCCCCCTTTCCGGCACCTAGGCGCGCCTTCACGGCGTCTCGTGAGGCGTAGTCGTCGTCTTCGCTCTTATCCTCCAAATCCATGGGGGTCACATTCGAGGTAGCAGGGTCCGTATCGGTGCGTGATGCCGTCTCCAGCTGGGCCGACTCATCCGACCTGACAGTCTCTGCCGTAGTCCTATCCTCAGCAACAGATTCATCCTCCTCAGCAGTGCCACCCGCCACTGGGTCATCCACGAGTTCCGTAGAAGCCGGTGACTTGTTGGCCAAGTCGAGGTTCGCATTCTCCTTCTTCATCTGCCGCTGCAGCTGATGGACAGCCTTGACGTGCTTCTTACTCTTTTCGTGGGCTTCGTACTGCTTCTCGCTCTTGAAGGTCTTGCTGCACACGACGCACTCGATATGCTCAACCTCGGACTCCTCTGCGGTCTCCGAGAACTCGCCTTCGTGGGCGTCGTCGCCGCGGGACTGCGCCCACTCGGGAACGGCAGTCTTGTCGTTCATCTTCTCCTGGTTGGCGGCCCTTGACCGGGCAGCCTGGGCGGCGGCCGAGTCGCGCAGGGCCTTTTGTCGCTCGGCTTCGGACTGAGAGTTGGGGACGTAACGTAGGTCTCGCTTGCGCACAAAGGCCACCAGGGATCGCACGGCATCGTTGAACTCGCGGATGGCGTCCTCGCGGAACTTCTTGTTCTCCTTCTCCATGAGACGGCGGATTCTGCGGTCGGGGGCATCCGACAGCCGCCACTTGTCTTTCCACGAGAAGCTCAGCCTCGTAGCGAAGTTGGCCCAGCGGCTGTAGAAGGCCTTTGCGACCTGGTCGCCATCCCTGGACTCGCCGAAAGAGGGGTACTGTATAGGAACCAGGCCATCCCAGTCGGCGGCTGCTTGTTCCCCTTGTGCCAGTCTGTCGAAGGTGTCCCGCAAGATGGTGAAGAAGCTGTTGGGAGAGTCGTCGAGCGGCACGGCCTTGTTGAAACGACCGATCAGGGCGAAGATCTCGTCGGCGGTGGTCAGGCGGACGTCGTAGTACTCGGGGGTGGCGCCGGTGTCTTGGGGGTTGTCGCCGCGCAGGATGGCATCGCGGTGGGAGTCGTACCAGGCGCGCTCCTGGGGGTCTGCGAGGACTTCGTAGGCGGACTGGACCTCGGCGAACCTCTGTGTTGCGTTCTCGACATCGCCGAAGTTGCGGTCAGGGTGCAGCTCGAGGGCCTTTCTCCTGTATGCCTTCTTGATTTCGTCGTCGGTGGCGTGTTGGTCGACTCCCAGCAGGTCGTAGTAGTCTGCCTTCTTGGGCGCATTGGCGGGGGCGGCAGCGCCTCTGGCAGATGACTGCTCGGCGCCCATGGTGTGATCGTTATAAAAGCTTTACTATATGGGTTATTCATTAGTTCGGTATATTCCAAGCTGCCCACCGAATGTAGGAGAGCAAATGTGTTCGGAGCATGGGGAAGCCCAGAAGAGAGAATGTACTTTTGGACACAATGCCCCTCCATGAATCTTGGAATAATGAAAACGTGCTTCGGGGGTCTCGCCGGATGACACAGCCCCACAGCGTGGCGTACCGGAACCCCTCTATTGGAACCTAGTCGCACCTAGGTTAGGTACTTTTTAGTGCAGCTGTCCAGCGGATTAACGAGGTTCTATGGGAGGTTGTTACAGGGGCAATAACGCAGTCCCCCACCTGACCGTCCATCGAGGTCTTCTTGAAGGATGCATGTGTGCGGATTGTTACATGTGCTTGCCGTAATAGGTTTATAACACTGGGAAAGGACGCTCGTGAGTTTCAACTCTGGAATTGACGCCGGCACTTATACAGAGTCTCTGCCCCCGTTGGACTGTCCTGCCTCTTCATCCATCATCATCACCATCGTCATCTTCTGCAAAGCCATCCATGCTCATGATGCGTCGCCGGTGCTATGGCTATTCATAACATCATTCACTCGCCATCTCAATCTTACAAGACAGTTTTCTAGCTAGCATTGTCTATCTCACAAGCCCCTCACCCTGTTCTCATCATTCTACAAACGGCCCATAAGCAGCTCACAGTGATATCTGGCACACGACGACCATGAAGTTCGCCCAAGAATTCAGAAAGGCTCTCCAAGAAGAAGGTGGCGCCCCCCTTTCCCCCCTCTCCCCCATCTCTCCCCATAGACTTCATCGAATCCCATACTGACGCTGCCGGAAGCGTATCCGCAAAAATGGATCGACTCAGCCATCCCTTACGGCCAGCTCAAAAAGTGCCTGAAGAAGGTCATCTCCGAGCTGCAGGAGCTGGGTTTGGACAGGGACACTTTGTCCCAGCTGGCTGCCAGCCAGAAGGACGATGCCGACCTGCGTTTCCGCTATAACCTCGCCGGGGACGCCGTCGACTCGGGCCACTTCCGGCCCAGGTTGACCGTCTTTGTCCACCTGGAGGACGGCGTGGCAGTCGACGCCAAGCTGACGCCTTACACGAGGGACTTTTTGCACAAGATTTCTTCGAGGACTGCTGGTACAGACTTGTCATCGGCGCCATCTCTCTGCGAGGGCACTGGTCAGTCGTCCGGGTCCGAAACGGACGTGACGCCTCCAGGGAAAGGATCTGCTGACCTCCAGCGCATTGAGGTGCCGCTGGTGTTTGATGGCGAGTTCTTTGAAATCCTGCAGACCGACGTGTCCAACCTCGACTCGCTGCAGGCTGAGGAGCAGGAAAAGTTGACACAACAGATAATTACGCTGGGCGGGGAAATACAGACAGCCACAAAGCCGTCCAAAGGGCGCAAGGCGAGAGGCGATCTGGCGACCTGGCGGGGCATTTTCGAGCTTTACTTGGCCGCCCAGATCTTCTTTTCCACCCGCGAGACCGATCACGGTGCCAGGACGAGCAGCCAGGCCTGCAAGCAGCTTGAGTGGTTCCAGCAACAAGTCGTCAACCGCAAGCTGGACAAGGAGCTCAGGCTTGACGCCAGCCGCCAGGCCTTTGGCAGGTTCGTCAACATGAACGTTGTGCTGCTGCAGATCCTCAAGTTCCAGGAACTCAACAGTCTTGCCATCACCAAAATACTGAAGAGTATGAACCGCAAACCAACGCCCCCCGTCCCCATGCTGACAGACTCGCTGACCAAGTTGACAGAGTTCGACAAGCGGACATCTCTGGGCGTATCCAAGGCTTTCCCGGTGGCCGTCCACTCGGACCGACTCCTCACAGGCAGCGTAGCGCGCGACGTGTGTGCGCAGATGTCCAACGAGCTCATCCCCGTCATTCCGCAGCTGGACGACTATCTCTGTCCCATATGCTTCGCCATCGCCTACTGGCCCATCAAGCTCCAATGCGACCACATCTTCTGCAGCCGCTGTCTCGTCAAGATGTCACGGAAGAACGAGAGACTGTGCCCCCTCTGCCGAGCCGACACGGTGATGATGGCGGGTATAGACGATCTCGACAGAGTGCGGGCTGCCTTTATGCGGGAGTATTTCCCCAAGGAAGTGAAGGAGAAGGTCAAGACCAGCGCGCGCGAGCGGAACAAGGAGATATTCGGACCGCATCACTCAGATGTGTTCTGCTCCGTCATGTGATTATGTTATTCATGCTAGGCATGGTAAAGCGTCATGATGACTTCTGACTGGGCAAAATGCCGACAGCGTTGATATAATGTGAAATTCAGCAATATAGATACCCCTTTTTCAAGTTCCAACACTTCTCAGCCACTGCCACGCGTGCCTGATGCTCTTCCTCACGAATCTACGAATCTATCTGCAACCATTACTTGCCATGAATGTTGATCTTAGCTGGGTCTCGGGCGGGTCCCAGACGACGTCCTGGAAGCCCGTCCTCTGCCTAGCTGGTAGGGTGAGCCCGGGGAGGTCGATGGCGCTTCTGTTCTGGATCAAGAGCATACCCTGTATGCGCTGGCCCTCCCTTACCTCGCCATCGTCCGTGCTCGGCCCAAGCCCGATGGCCTGCCTGGCCCGCCAACTCACACACCCGTACAGCAACTCGGCATCGGCAACGGTGCCGGCCTGGTAGATGCCGACAGCCCACGACGCCAGCTGCAAGGGATCGCCGGTGCCGAAGGGCGTGAAGGCATTGCCGACGTTGTTCACGCCGAGGCAGGCCGACAGGCCGAGGTCCTTGATCATCGAGGGCACGTGTATAGTGCCGCGGCGCCGGTTCTGGGTGCACGTCGCGTCCGGCCCGGCCCGGCCCATCATGAACAGGTCGCTGGTGGGCAGACCGACGAAGTGGAGCGGGAGCTCGCTCGCGGTGATGGTGTCGGCCAGCCGGCGGAGGGCCGCGTCGTCGAGCACGCTGAGCTGGGTGCAGTGGCCCAGGACTATCGTCTTGGATCTGTTGGCGACACGAGTCCACTCGTGCTTTTTCAGGAGGTTGATGACGGCGAATGTGAGGGGGCTTGAGGAAGGGGGAGATGAAGGAGTATAAGAAGAAGGGGAAGGTGTGGATAGGTTGTAGTCGAGGTGAAAGTCCAGATGCAAGTTCTTCTCGCTGGCGGTGGTGATGGCCCACTCGATATTTTGCAGTGATGCCTCTCGCGATTCTTCCACATAGGGGGTGGTCCCAAGTACGTCAATGGAGGACGCGTACTCGTCCAGGGCCGAGGTGATGATGGACCTGTTGGTCTGGCCATGCGTGGTAGAGAAGATGGGGTCCTGGGCAAAGGCACATATCTGCACTTCAAGCAGGTGCGAGAAGTCCTTCTTCAGCCGAATGGCCGTCGTGAGGGGCAGAGTGCCCGTCACATGATCCAGCTCGACGAAGGCACGCAATGAGGTCACCCCCTGTTCGTAGCTGGATGCCAGCAGCTGGGCACCGCGAAGGTACAGGTCGTCCTCGGTGTAGCGCTCTTTCGCCTTGGCCGTGTTGGACAGTGCCTCACTGAAGGAGCCTGATTATGGGGCAAGGTCGGCGTAGTCAGGGTGGTCTGATGACGGCGTGTGGTTGCAGGTCAGGATGTAGGGCTTGTCGAGGTGTATATGGGGATGGCACAGAGCAGGCAATAGTAAAGTCGATGGCGCATCCGACAAAGCCTCGGATGGTCGAAGGCGGCAGATGAGGCCGTTTTCAGCTTCTATATCCCAACGTGCGGCTGGGGTATGCTGGGACGGGATAACAACATTCTGAAGTCTGGTCTCACTTGGGCTTGTGGCTGCTCTGGACATCTTGAGGCTCCTGTACACTGGCGACTATACGTGGTACTGGGGAATGTTGCCATGCGTTCTCAATTACATGCGAGTACATACATACATGTATGATATAACAGATACATGTATAGAGGCTGTTGGTTAGGTATGGATGTATGACCCCCCTATTCGGGGTGACATTATCGGAGTCGTCCGGCGCATGCCCCGAAATATGCGATACTTCCGAGCCCGAGGTCCTTTCCTGTCCGGCACTCAACTTACAAAGGACCAGTCGTGTCGCACCACATACAAACATACAGACTGCCTGCCTGCCTGCCCAAAGCAGCAGCGAGGCATCGACGAGAAGGGACATTACTGGCTGGTCACGACTGCCGGGCTGCATGTGTGCATTAGGTACTTACTTAAGCAGAAGGTACCTGGTTGATGCCCGTCAATCGCGACAGTAAGTTACAGGGTAGATGCGCCTAAGGTTAGTCAAAAGTTTGACTCCGATCGCGGCAACTAGCTTACTTATCTTCACTTTACTCAGAGATCCCCACAAACGCCGACTCATCGTTCATCCTTCAACGTTGGAATTCATACATTGCATATCAGATATCATACTCATACATCGTACTTCATCGTCTTCCCAAGCCTCACAAGGCAGACCACCACCGGCCTCCGAGATGCCGTTCATCGAGCTTGGAGACTCTATACCTCCCAACACGGCCCATGTAAGTAGACAAGTCCCCTAAGGCCACCCCATGCTCTTCCAGCTGCTGACTCCCCGCCAGGCCGTGAGCGTCTCGCTCCCGACATGGAAGTCCAACGTGGGCTACGAAGAGGGCGAGAGCTGGGTGGTCGACAACATGACCACGGGGTATCCGCGCTTCTTCATCCACCGGAGCATACAAGCCTTCGCCACTGATATTGTCGCCAAGCACGGCCGCACTGGCTTGACCGCCGTGCTCTTCCCCAGCCGGAGGGCCGCACAGCGGTGCGTGGCATTCATCCGTGACAAGGCCCCGCCGTCTGTCCACGCCGACCTCACCTTGCTGCATCTGGTCCTGGACCCGGCGAGGAAGACTCCAGACACTCTGCACTCGACCACGCTCGCCATCTCGGCCGTGCTCTGCTCCCAGGATGCCTTCCCCTTTGCAAAGCAGTACTGGCAGCACTCGGGCGACGGTGTTTCCAGCCGCCGCGCCGAGTTCTGCCACGGCTTGTTCCGAGACGGCATGCTGGTGCTAGAAAACCGGACCCCTTCGCCGCCCCTCTCTCAGCAGCGGAAGGTTCACCGTGGCCCAAGGAGATATCAACGCGGCTCATCCATCGACGGTATAAACGGTTTCAACGGAGCCCATCACGCTACTACTACGCCAGACGCCGCGACAGACGAAAATGCCGACAGCATCGAAAGCACGAGGTTCCTGGAGGAGCGCTTCGGCCGGAATCTCGACGTTTCCCTCGTCGACAACGCCAAATCCGCCATCAAACGTCGCATCGCCGGCGTTCTCACCTCCGATCTGGACCTGAGCACCAAGTCCCTACCCACTATGGATTCCAATGCTAGAGGAGTCTCGAATTTGAAGGAGGATGATATCTATCTCGTGCCTTGTGGCATGAATGCCATCTTCACCACGCACCAGGCCATGCTCCACATACATGCAAGCGAGCCGAGAGAGAGTATCAACTTTGGCTTCCCCTATGTCGATACGCTCAAGATCCTGCAGAAGTTTGGGCCAGGCGCCGTCTTTTACGGCCGCGGCAACGCTGCCGACCTGGATGACCTGGAGCATCGTCTGAAGAACGGCCAGAAATTTCAGGCCCTCTTCTGTGAGTTTCCCGGTAACCCTCTCCTGAGTTGTCCCGACCTGGCGCGTATCCGTCAACTGGCCGACGCCTATGGCTTTGCCGTCGTTGTGGACGAGACGGTTGGCAACTTCATCAACGTCAACGTGCTACCCTTCGCCGACGTCGTGGTAAGCAGCCTCACCAAGATCTTTTCTGGCGACTGCAACGTCATGGGTGGGAGTATCGTGTTGAACCCCGGCGGCCAGTACTACCAGTCGCTCAAGTCTGCCCTGGCCGAGGTGTTTGAGGACACGTACTGGGTCGAGGATGTCATGTTCATGGAGCGGAACAGCCGTGACTTCAAGACGCGCATCGACAGGGTCAACGCCAACGCCGAGACCATCTGCGAGGTGCTCGACGCCCATCCGCTGGTGACCAAGGTCTATTACCCGAAATACAACGACTCGCGGCCCAACTACGAGGCTTGCAGGCTACCGGGCGGGGGGTACGGTGGTCTACTGTCGTGTACACTGCAGACCAAGGCCCAGACCATTGCCTTCTACGATGCCCTCGAGACGGCCAAGGGGCCGAGTCTGGGCACCAACTTCACCCTGACATCGCCTTATGTCATCCTGGCCCACTACCAGGAGCTGGACTGGGCGGCAAGTCTCGGCGTCGAACCGAACCTGCTCAGGATTAGCGTGGGCCTCGAAGAAAATCTGAGAGGCGTGTTTACAAGAGCGCTTGAGGCGGCCGGAGCGTGTGAAGCCTAGCGAGTAGTCAGATTACTGAATATAAATAATAAAGCGTATTCACATCGAGGCAGTTGGACATGGACGCTTATCGACCGGGTTCACTCACTAGTCAGTGCGTCCTCTACAACCATCGTCGCTTCTGTAACTCCTCGTCGCATACTTGTTGCTGTATCTATTCATGAACCCCTATACATGTCAAGGTACCAATTACCCCTGAGCTTACACGTACCCAGAGCGTAGCCCAGTATAATAGCGATGTAAAGACGCTGATTAAGGGAAATACCACATGTCAAGTACAACTGAGAAATTCATCGAATCATGCATATACAAATCCTGCGGGAGGTGTCTACAAGTCTATCTATATCACACGCGGCCGTCATAGTCACACTCGCTTGCGCGTCGGTCGCCCCAGTCGACCAACCAACCTTACTCTTTCCACCATCATCTGCCTGCCCAATTTCGGGGGTATCTATTCCAATCAACCACCAAGGCAGCCATGCTGCTCAGCACAGCACACCAACCTCTTCACACCACAACAAACGCGTATGTATACGACACATTCACTTCAAATCAGAAAGCCCACTGCCGCAGCCACAGCTCCATCCACTCAGTGCTGACGGCCGGCAGGTGCTCGAGCGTGCTGCTGCGGCGACGGCTCTCGACGGTCTCGAGGTTGAAAGGCGAGCGCGCGGCTTCTTCCTCGGTCTCGAGCGAGGCGTAGAAGTCGAGCAGCTTGAGCCCGGGCGCCTCGCGGGCCGTGGCGCCGTCGGCCTGGGCGTCGCGCAGCGCCGCCACCCACTCGGACCACGTCACGGCGCGCGTGTCGGCCGGCAGCGCCCGCAGGATCGAGGGCGAGATGTCCTGCCAGTGCGACACGCGCGGGTTGACGGCGTGGCAGACCCTGAGCTCGCGCGGCACGATGATGTCGTGGTCGACGTCCCTCTTGCCCTTGCGCTTCGGGGACGGCTGCTGCTGCTGGTCGGCAGCAGGCTGCCCTACGCCGGCCAGCTCGATGATGACGTCGGCCAGCAGGTCGACGGGGATCCACTCGATGCGGTCGAGGGTGCCGAGGCTTGAGGGCAGCATCTTGAGGTACTTGGACGTCGACACGATGGTCGGGAACCACTCCTGCTTGTTCCACTCGCCCTTGTCGCCCGTGCCGACGGGCCCCGCGATCTGGCCCACGCGGCAGATGGAAGCATCGACGCCCGACACCTTGGCCGCCTGCTCGAGCAGCATCTCGGTCATGAGCTTCGACGTGCTGTACCCCTGCGTGCCGGCGATGGAGAGGTCGCGGATCGGCTGCTCCGGCACCGGCACGTTGTCCGGCCACTTGGTGATGCTGCCGATGGACGAGATGAAGAAGATGCTGGTGCTGTGGGTGCTCTTCAACGAAAAGTCGACGAGGTGACGCACGCCCCGGATGTGCGGCTCGAACGACGAGAGGTCCCAGTTGAAGTTGACGGGCCATTGGTTGTCTGTCGCTCGGGTTAGCATCTCGTCCACCTTCTTATCTCACGCACGCACAGGGCTTCACTCACGGATGATCTTGGTAGCGCCCTCGAGGAGCTCCTCGTACTGGGCCGCCCCGAGGCCAAAGTCGGGCTTCGCCAGATCGGCCTGCAGGAAGTGCACCCGCTTGGCCGGCCAGTTCTCGGCCAGCCCGCGTGACTTGAACAGCGCGCGCTGTCGGTCCTCGGCGTCCGCAGACCGGTTGAAGCAGTAGATACGCTTGACCTCGGGCTTCGCCAGCAGGGCGTTGAGCATGTACGAGCCCAGAGAGCCCGTGGTGCCCGTCACGATGACGGTGTCCCCGTTGCCCGGCAGGTCGCGGGTGTAGCGGGCCAGGATCTCCTGCGCCAGTCGGATGTGCGCCTTTTGCGGGTTCTCGACCCCGTTGATATGGGGGTTCAGGGCTGAGTAGAAGGCCTTCGAGAGCTTCTCGATGGACGGGTTGGAGTAGATGAGAGTCGGCGCCAGCGTGACGTTCTTATCGTGTTTGGCCGCCGTCGTCCGTAGAGCACCGAGGACCTGGAACACCAGTAGGGAATCGAAGCCGGCAGCGACCAAGTTATCGCTGTTGCCCAGCTCCTGCTTCATCAACCTCACGATGATGGTGCGCAGCGCGTCGGCGATGGTCTCGGGCGAGCTGATGTCCATGTTCGTCGATAGCACCTTGGCTTCCTCGGCCTCGAGCTTGTCGTAGAACTCGTCGATCTCTTGCTGGTACAGCTGAAGCATGGCCGGCCGCTTGACGGTGCCCTTGTCGGTGCGCAGGAACGGCTTGCCGACGACGCACATGATCATGTTGCTTCGGTGGATGCGAGCGTGCGACGCCGAGAGTGCGTTGGCCTTCTCCACGACCTCGGCGTAGATCTTGTCCTTCAACTCCTCGAGTGCCTCTTCCGTGGCCGGAGCCTCCCCTCTGAGCTCGATTAGCACAGCCGGGTGAAACCTTCTGTTACCGACCTGCGAGGGTGTCAGCGACTCATTACCCAAGCACAACGCCGCGTTTGCTGGCTCGCTCGTTGATAGCTACTTACCACAAGAGCAGACTGAACGGCCGGGTGGGACATGATGGTAGCTTCGATATCCACGGGCTGGACCTTCTCTCCATTCGAGAGCACGACGACATCGTCAGCCCGTCCGATGCAGAGCCAACGATCCGGCTCGGTCGGATGTTTGGCGAACAAGTCCTTTGTGGAGAACTCGGTGTCTTCGGGGAAGGTGTAGAACAGGCCCTGCCACCGGGCGTACTCTGGCTTCTTGACAAAGAACAACTCGAACAGGCCGGGCGTCACCTCGCGCAAGTCAGTGCCTAGCTGCGGCGGGAACTTGAAGGTTTTCCAGTCGCCGTCCCGCTTGGGTGCCACCATGGCCCAGATACCGCCCTCGGTCGAGCCATAGACATTACGCACAGGGACAACTTTGTTCACAATATCACCCAGTTGTGGGGAGAGGGATCCTAGGTGAGAAGATGGTCAGCCGGCTACTCGTATTTGGCATCATGCTGAGACTACTCACCGCCTCCCGTGATGATGTACTTGCAAGCGGCAAGTTTGGGAAGAGTGTCGGGGGATTTGGCCAGCTCCTCGACCGTCGAGGGCGGGATGAAGAATCCAGCGACAGGTAATTTGGAAACGATGCGGTCGATGGTGTCAGCGCTGATGACACCGTTTGTCGGCTCCGTAATGATACGAGAGCCGAGCCAAAAGTTCAGGCCGAGCTTGACCATGAGACTGGCAGCCTGTTGCATGGCAGCACACGGTCAGCAGTCTCTCCCTCTTAGAATAGTGGAAGTGGTTATACGCACGTGGAACCAGGGAAAGGGGTTGAAGACCATGTCCGAGGACGTCCACGATGGGGTGATCTCCTCGCCCTCTTCCAGGGGTATATCTCTGATGGCATCACCGCTGGCCACTGTCCCCAGGCGCATGACGATGGGCTTGGGAAGACCGGTAGACCCCGACGTGTGGAGCACGACAAAGGGGTCCTGGTGTGCCTCGTCCCACGTCTTCTCATACGGGTATGCGGCCACTGGTCGCGGGTCCATGAGCTCTTCCAGACCCGGGACGTCGAGGGTCTCCATCGGCCTCTTGTCAAGGATCTGATTGACCAGGGCGTTGTCCCGGTGCGACCGCAACCAGAGCCGGCAGTCTGTCCTGTCGACGACGGCCAGACTGCCCTCGAGACTGTTCCGCGGTGATATGAGGAGGGCCTAGCATGATCAGCGGCGCACCGTCGCTATGCTGGCCAGTCAAGCTTACCTTGTAACCAGTCTTGTTGCAGGCCAGGACCAAGATCGGGTAGGTTAGGTCGTCTGCGGGCTTGTCAGCGACACGAGCGGCGATATGCGCACAGCACGCTGGAGAACCCACGTGGACCGATGTACCCGATGGTGTCGAAGTTGTCGCTCCGTCCGATGTGCGACTCGATCCAGTGGGCGGTGCGGTTGATCGCATTGGCGAACTTGCTGGCCGAAACGTCCTCGAAGCTATCCCCCGCCTCGTCCAGGTGTGGTATGGTGTAGACAATGCGGTCCGGGTCCTCACGGGCGGCAAGGTCGACGACGGCCGGGAGCAGGCGCTGACCCGCAAGGGCGTTTACGAGCCCCATTATGCCGGTACCAAGGTTGAACTTGCACTGACTCCAGGCTCCCTGACGATGAGGTATGCCTCCGCTCAGAGGACGATCAGAAACTCGGCTTCGGCTGGGCGCGCGGCTGTCGTGTGAGGGTAGGTCAGGTCAGGTCAGGTCAGGTCAGGTCAGGACATGGACGCAGCGGTAGGGCTGCCACGCGGAGGACTGCCTCCAGGGCAGAAACATATTCATATATGTACGAAGGTCTGCCTCGCAGCCTACAGGGGGCCAACAGGCTTGTCTGGAAATAGGCAGGCCGTGAGTGCTGTCGCTGGACGGCGCAGTATCAGGGGCGAATCAGCAGCGACACGCGAGTTCGCAACGGCGCGGCATGCAAGACGAAGACGACGCTGCGAGACTGGACGGATCGGACCCCTGGCCGATGTGACTCTGTGCGGTAGCTGACTCGCGTGGGATGATGATTTGGAATGTGCAGCCGCAGCCACAGCCGCAATTACACAATTACAGTTCGTTTGACACGACGCCGCGGGCATCTCTGCAGACTGCAGACTGTAGTGTGTTCCTGAATCCTGGGCTGTGTAATGTGACTGACGGTGAGTCTGTGACAGTCCACACCATGACAGATCCGGGCGAGACGAGGCGTGCGTGGGCGCCAAGGTATAAGCACGTTTCGATAGCCAGGGTAAGCTATGTAAGCTGTCCATCGTTTTCATCGTGTAGGTTCCTCCTGCTGACGGGCCGAGATGGCCGAGAATTTGTCACAACCTGGGACATTTCATATACACGGTAAGCAGCCCAGCATTACAGCATAAAGCCGACACGGACTCGAATATACTTGAAGGAGAGTGACCAACTATCGCCTCTCGGTGCCTCTGAGAGCCGGCGGTGTCCCTGACAACTTGCTGCCATCTGTAGTATGTTGTTTAAGTGAAGAAGGCATCTGAGGTACCTCTCTTAACCACGGCGGCACTGGCGGGAAGGCCGACTTTATCTGACACATCCTATAGCCTATAGGGTTCTGATCCACACAGGGTCATGCTGCTGTCGATCTGTGCTGTATGTAGTCTTACAGAACGTTATCCGGGCTTCCAGAAGCAGGCCGGAGACCGTGCCCCCCTGCATCGCAGCCACGCGAACGGTGCATGTGTAGGTACCTGAGTGACACTCGCCAAGAGGTAGGCTTGTCAGCTTATCTTATGGTAGATATCATCCAAGTGATTGTGATTCTTCGCAGATGCCCAGCTGAGACACGGTGGCAGGCAGAGGCTGGCTATTCCAAATAGGCATCCTTATTACATCGTGGTGCCCAGCCGGTGCTGAGAAGACAATGGCGTGTTGTATGAGTAAAGACCACGGCGCCGATGAAACGTCAGCCCTCGTATCGTGTGTACTCAGCTATGTCCATGTAGGGATATACTGTTACTATCTACGCGGTCTCGGGGTATAAGATAGCCACAGATAGCCGACAATTTGCATTACACCAATACTCACATGTTCACATCTTCACATAATCCCCCCGTAACCTGCTACTAACAGGCCAAGGGGTATAGTATGTGTAACCCAGCAGTTTGCCGGTCCTATAGCAAGGACACTTGGGCAATTCCACATCGGTGTTGCGTTTCTGTATCGGATTGTCAACGAAGCTTGCTCATCTACCAACACGGACACCCGCCAGTCATCATCTGTAACCCATTTGTATTCTATGGAAATGGCTGCTCGCGTGTCGACAGCTTTCGGTCTTTCGTAGGGTATTCTATGCAGCCGAGTTTCATCTTACTGACAACGAAGTTTCATTCGCAGCGGTCTTGACGTCGTTGTGGTCCTCCATGACACAATGACACCCTATTGTCCAGAGGAAGGGACAGAAGACAAAAAAACGTCGAAATCTATAAGTGGCATCATAAACGGTTGCGCACGAGATAACACGATGATATGCTGTCGCCCGCGTACAAGTTCTTCCAGTGTCTCCTGTTGTTGTCCTCATGTTGTATTAATGTACACCCTCGCTCCAATGCTAAACCGGCCACTGTTGGCTGTCGGTGCAATTTATTTATACAGGAATTAGTAGTGGATGGCTTTCGAGTACGTGGCCATGGCCGCCTCTTTGAACGCCTCGGCCAGCGTCGGGTGAGCGTGACATGTGCGCGCAATGTCCTCTGTCGACGCGCCGTACTCGAGCGCCAGCGTAGCCTCGGCAATCATCTCGCCGGCGTTGGGGCCGATGATGTGGCAGCCCAGCAGCCGGTCCGTCTCGGGGTCGGCGATCATCTTGACCATGCCCTCCGTGTCGAGGTTGGTCTTGGCGCGCGAGTTGGCGCTGAAGGGGAACGTGCCGATCTTGTAGGGGATGTTGTCCTTCTTCAGGTCCTGCTCGCTCTGCCCGACCCACGCCACCTCGGGGTGCGTGTACATGACCGACGGGATCACCCCGTAGTTGACGTGTCCGTAGCCCTTCTTGATGTACTCGACCGCCGCGACCGCCTCCTCCTCGGCCTTGTGAGCCAGCATGGGGCCGAACGTGCAGTCGCCAATGCATCGGATGTGCGACGCCTTGGTGCGGTATTCCGAGTCGATGACAACACGGCCGCGCTCGTCAACCTCGAGACCGACGTTCTCGAGGCCGAGGCCGGCCGTGTAGGGGCGACGGCCAATAGCGACGAGGACGACGTCGGCATCAAGCTGTGGGCACACCAAATTAGACATGACACGAAGCAGCGCCGTGGCCGTGGGGTTGCCAACTTACCGTCTCGGACTTGCCCCCCTTGGCGGAGTCGACCTCAAGCTTGACGGTCTCGCCACTGTTGTCACCGCTGACCACCTTGGTGCCGAGCTTGAACTCCATGCCCTGCTTCTTCAGGAGCTTGAGCGTCTGCTTGGCAATCTCGTTGTCCATGCCGGGGCCGCCAATCTGGTCGAGGAATTCGACGACGGTCACCTTGGCGCCCAGTCTCGACCAGACAGAGCCCATCTCCAGACCGATGATACCACCTCCGATGACGATCATCTTCTCGGGGACCTTCTCGAGGGACAGGGCGCCGGTGCTCGTGACGACGCGCTTCTCGTCGAACTCGAGGCCGGGGAAGGGGGTGGACTCGCTGCCGGTGGCGATGAGGATGTTCTTGCCGATGACGCTGGTCTCACCGCCGTCGTTGAGCGCGACCTTGACCTCGTGCTCGCTGGCGAAGGCTCCGGTGCCCTTGATGTACTCGACGCCGTTCTTCTTGAAGAGGAATTCGATACCCTTGGTCAGGCCGGTGACCGAGGTGTCCTTGGCCTTCATCATGGCCTGCAGGTTGAGCTTGACATCGCCGACTTCGATACCGCGGTTCTTGGTGTCGTGGAGGATCTGGTGATACAGGTGGGAGTTGTTGAGGAGAGATTTCGAGGGGATGCAGCCGACGTTGAGACAGGTGCCGCCGAGCATGCCGCGCTTCTCGATGCAGGTGACCTAAGAGAGGGAGAAAGCAGTTAGTTGTTGCTGGCCAGCTACGGCGAGTACCAATCACGGGATGTATCGTGTTGTGTCCTGTCGCATCGTACCTTGAGTCCCTCCTGGCCGGCCTTAATAGCTGCGACGTATCCGGCGACGCCACCACCGATGATGACGAGGTCCTTCTCCTCTGCCTGCGAGGCGTAACCCCTGCGCCATCGTGATACGGGGGAGAGGACTGTGGGTAGGCTGGGCGAGCGCGGGTCAGCAGGTGAGCTGTTTACCAGCTTGCAGAGGGTGTACCCACGATGACTGCGAACGGAGGGCTGATCGGACAGCGGTCCGCGGTATTAAACGACTCGACAGCATGGTGTCTGTGGTGGCGGCCGAACAGGGGCGATCCCAATTGAGGCGTATTGAGATGGAAGAGTCGTACAAAAAAGGGGCACGAGGAACGGAGGAACGGGAGGTGTTGTCGTCGTTATGAGAGTTGGAGGTATGGAGGTAGCGCTGGTCTCAAGACGACAGCCAGCTTCGCAAGACGGAGGGAAATTTTGGGGGTCCGGGCGTCCGCTGGCACTCTCACCGGCGGGCCCTTCCAATTGGGGCGCGGTTCATTTTCGCCCCTTTGAGCCGCCCTTCCGAAAGTAGCCGCTAATACCGTCAACAGGTACCTATATCATGACCGACTGGACTTCATGTTACAAATCCTACCTCACATCGCCACTTATAAGTTACCTTGGTTACAAATATCAGTTTCAAGCATGAGTGCCTACCTAACATATATATGTAAGCACGAAGAAACAACAGTCAGTAGTGGTATACTGATCTCTTTATTCGCACTCTCTTGAGTCTCACCATAGCATATCAGTAATGTACATAGGGGTTGATCCAAAACGAGGCCACATTGAATCTCTTATAGTTATCCCGGAGTGACACCTCTTAAGTAAGGTAGGTGGGTACCTACTTCACTGGAGCGCTTTTGCAGCCAGTGACGAGCTCAACGTCTCCATCGCAGCATCACAACTCTTCTTTAGCGCCCTTTGTTCCTTCTTGTCCTTCAGCAGGTTTGTTTTGCGCACGTGTTTCTTGAGGAAGTACTGCACCCCTCGCCCAACGTCGGCATCCAGGCCCCCAAACACACCTCCCAAAGCATCCCCCTTGCACTCCTGGAGTATCGTGATGAGCACCACCTCGACAAACATGTGTGCCTTCTCCTGCAGCGCTCCGAGGTTGCGGTACTTCACAATGTCCACCAGCTTCATGTCACGGCTGGCCACAAGGGAGCCGTACATCTTGGCCGTGTTGCAGAGCCATCGGAGCTCGTAGTCGCCCGATTCGTCCTCCTCGTCCATGTCGTCGCCGTCCCCCGTGTCGATGTCTTCTCCCATCTTCTTGAACCGGATCGTCAGCGCGCGTCGGAACTGGAACCCCAGTCTCCCATCGCCCGTGAACTTGGAAGCCACCAGCGTATAGTAGTGGTTGTACACAGTCTGCCGCTCCCCACTCCGTACAATCACTTCGGGAATCTCCTTGCGCTGGTGCTTGTTCAGCTTCAGCTTCCGGATGAGCAGATCGGCATTCTCGTAGTCGGTGGCCGCGTGGATCGCCACAAAGATCCGCTGCCGTACCTCCGTGTTGAAGCCCTGCTCTCTGGCTAGCTGCCACAGATCGGGGATGCCCAAGTCGTCTTCTACTTGGATCATGACTTCATCGGCCTCATCCTGCTGCTTCAACGGCACACTGCTCTGGTTGCCCGACCAGCTAGCCCCGACGAGCCACCACTTGCCTTGCTTATCCGAGTTCTGAATATCCTTGAGACCAACACGCAGTGGTTGTACGTCCTGCTTGCCACCTAGCGCACCGATTCGCTTCCTGATCTGCGTTCGCTGCTCGGCGATGTCCTTGTTGCGAGCCGCCGCCTTGGTCTTGTTGCTCTGTAGCTTCTTCATCTCGTCGATCATGAAGCTGGTTCTGACCGATACGTGCTTCCCACTGCCGCTGCGATGGACGATATCCTGCAGGGCGTGGGGGTCGTCGCGCCGCAGTGAAGGCCCGCACAGCTGGATGATCCTAAGCAGCAAATCTGTGTTGAGCTCCGAGAGGTCCTCCAGAAACACTCGGATGTAGTCAAATACGAGGTTGCAGCCGATCACCTGCATGTTGTATAGCTCGGCAAGTAGAGCGATGAGATGCTTCGATCCAGCATCTGACAGGTTGCCGGCGGCTGCCTTGTGGTGTTTTTCAAAGACCTCGACGAGTTGCTGCACGAAAAAGGCGCTGACTGCGGTCCCCATGGCTCGGTGTATCGCTGCAACGAAGCCAGCCACCGTAGTAAAGAAGATATCCGGCTGGTTCAGCGTTGAGTAAACGAGGGCCAGAACCAGGTCGACCAGAGTGGACGTGACTGTCTGCCTCGGGTTCGTGTCGTACAAGGCCATGACGTCCTTGACTATGCCAATCATACTGTCGAGCGTCAAGCGGTTGATCAACCCCTGAACACGCTTTCGCAGCTGGGCTTCGGCGTCGCTATCCGAGCCAGCTTGCTTGCGTAGCGATGGTGGAACGTATTTTGCAATACCCGTGGTTGGAGCGACGTAAGGATTCTCGCGTTGCCGCTTGGCGGGCTCGGCCACTTCGTCGTCCGTTCCAGAGAAGCCTCCGAACCCGTCGTCGTCGTCATCCTCGTCATCATCTTCGTCGCTATCGTTGTCGACATCCATGTCACCGTCCTCTTCGTCGTCTAATCCAGATGTATCGTCGTCGCTGTCGAAGCCACCCCCTTCGCCACCACTCGATAGATCTTGCGTATTGGCAGTAGCTGCTGCTTGAGCTTTCCGTCTCTTTTGAGCTAACCACTCGTCGTCGCCCTCTGCCTTACGTTTCGTCCTCGAAGGGGCAGCAGGCTCGTCGTCCAAGCCATCCAATAAATCGCCGAGGCCGTCTTCTTCGAAAGATTTAGGCAACGAATTTTTGCCTTTCATCCCCAGCTTCCTCTCTAAGGCGGCAATTTCACGATCATCTTCAGTCACGACCTTCTTCCGTTCTGGCATGGTGACCTGATCGGAGTCTTCTTCGGAGCCAGCATCTAAGTCAAGCTCACCAGCATCGTCCTCGACATCATCGTCGTCCTCGTCGTCATCCTCGTCTTCTTCGTCGTCATCGACGTCCGGCTCATCAAACTCATGGTCACGCGAGCGTCCCCGCGGCGGCGGTTGAGTCTGCTTTGGTGTCTGTTTTGACGGCTGCTTTGGAGTGGCGCGACGTAGCTGTGAGCCCGAACTCCTCGACTGGCGTTTCTGAACACGTGCTTCTTTTCGTTGTTCTTTTCTTGAGAGTTGTTGACGACCACGGCCATGGCCCCGGTCACCAGTACGAGAAGCAGGTTCGTGAGTGTCCAGCTCGTGCAGAATGGACGCCGGAAGGGAGAGTTTCCTATTCGGAGGTGCCATATTGGGAAAAGGGGAACGCCCCAGGGTTGCTCTTAGAAATGTGCGCCTGTAGAGCTTGTGATGTGACTTAATTCCTTCCGTGATATAAGTAGGCGCTTACTCCAGTCGATTTCCGTGGGACAACTGCTTAGACCAGATGATTATTACATTTATTGTGGCCGCCGCTAGGTCAGGCCATGTGAGATGCTGCGACTGGATCTGACTGACAGGTGTATTATGAAGAAAAGCGAGTCGCAACATGGAATATGGTTTCGTGAAATATGGGGGGGAGCATGAAAAATGAGTGCAAAACTTAGAGGTGAAAGGTACGTACCCGTAGCATCCACAGCTCCTGCCCCACAGCAGAGCGGGAGCCCGCTGAGCCCACCATTTTATTCAGACGACAATCGCGATAACGCGGGGCAGTCAATCCGAGTAATACACCACCGCCACTAACGACAACTCTGGTTTTCTCTTCCAGAGGCAGGAGAGGCTTGCACCGGTAACCATGGCACACTCGAGCAATGACGAGGTGCGTCGCATCCCCCCAACAAGTCCCAGGCGATGGCAGACACGACGAAAAGCTGACGACTGTTGCCGCCGCCTCCACAGTTCTTCGCCAAGCTGGTCGAGCTCTTTGACTACCGCAAGGGGAAAGATCATGGCAGCATTGTGCTGACGCAGAAGCGGTGTACGTTTCCGTTCCTGTTCATCTTACTTAAGTCGAGGGACTAACGAACGGGGGCGCCTCGCACAGTGACATATGACCAGCCCCTGCCAGAAGCAACGAGCGACACCATACTGCCCGACCTGCACCCACCACAGCCCATGCCGATATTGATACGGGCAACCAACGCCAAGGGCAAGGAGAAGCGCCGCGCCAAGGAGAAGGTGAAGCTCTCCACCGTCGTCGACGCCGACAACCTGCCCGCCTTCTTCGAGCGGTATGCCGAGGTGTGCAAGGTGGGAATGAACACGCTCAAGCCCAGGGATCGGAGGCGGAAGGGAAAGGCCAAGAAGAAGAAGGGCGGCGCGGCTGCTGTCGGTGGGCCGTGAGAACAACGTCTACCTACCGTGTTAGAGATAGAGAGTCAGGTCGGTGTGCCGGGAGGCTGTCGTTTCGAGCTGGCTGGCCATGGACACACGAAGAAAGCAGAAAAGCACAGCTCAGCAGCTGTTGCACATCCCCTTTCAGACCCAGCACTCCGAGTTGCTGGAGTGGTGACCAGAGTTCATCTGGCATGGTGGCATGTACATTGTGTCTGCTCTCAGGGAGGGCTGCGCGTGCAATGACACATCGCCTTCCCAAGAGAAGAAGCTCTGTCCTATAGATATTCCGCGAAGATACCCACATGCACAAAACCAGCCCGTGGACCTTGGGTGTCATAACCAAATACAAGGTCCTGTCCACTCACAAACAATGCACGATATAACCCGGCTTTTGTGCTGTGTGATTTGCAGACCCCGTACTTGAATTTCCAATGCTCGATGGAACTCGCCAGACATACCAACAACTAGTTGAAGGAACAAGCATATGTAGGTATATACAGATATTGAACCTGACCAAAACCCCAACAGCATACATGATGCCCTTATGTGTGAAGTGGTGTGTAGGACATGGCACTTTTTCGACTTCTTCTGTACCTTTCAAGCGGGATTGCTCCTAATTTCCCGTGGTTGGGCAAGATATACCATAACCAAAACTACTATACAATACAGTACCCTACCATCAGCAGATACCTTTTCCTCCTCCTATTATTTATTCCCAACCACCAGCTAGCTCACACCAGCAGCCCCCCTCACCCCCTTAGCCCCCTTTCCTCCCCGACCACCCTCCCCAACCTCCACCAACCCCTCTCCTCAGCCTCCTCCTCCTCCTCGTCCTCCAACGCCTCCCGTGCGTCCCGGCACGCGTCGCACTCGCTCTTGACGGGCTTGCGCGGGTTGCCCACGTACATGCAGAGGCTCTCGGGGCAGCGCGCGTCCGGGTCCTGGCTCTCGCAGCTGGCCAGCTTCTTGTGCGCCGTCCAGACCTTCTTGCAGGCCGCGCACTTCTGCGGGTGAAGTTCGCACATCTTGGTCCGGACACCGCGGGGGGCAGGAAAGAGAGATAGTGGACGGAGGGACTGGGAACGTGTGGTGCTTAAGAGGCTAGCTCGCTGGACCAGAGCGTGGAAGAAAGGTCGATCTGGTAGGTAGCTATGGACCCGTCGGCTTTCTGTGAGATGATGTGGTACGCTCGGGCTGAACAGTGTTCTCGGGGCGTTCTTGTTCGGTCTTGATAACTGTGCATGTGCTCGAGATCCGAGATCGGGCAAGGCTTCCAGGTGCAGCGTTCAGATGTGATAAGTAGCATCAGGTTGTACTTCGCAGAGAGCCATCCGGCACATGCTACAGGGGCTGGGCGAATCTAAAAACCAGAGGACGGCAGCTTGCCACCACTTGGCCATCTTTGCCGACGATCCAGTCACTCATACACCCAGGAGTCAGACATCCCGCAGAACGGCTGACATTGCGAGGCGTTTCAGGTCGTCAGCAAACAGTAACAAGCAAAGGCGCACTGGCTGCTTGCTATCTGGGTCACATTGTGTGACTGGAATAGGAGAGCGCATATTCAGTGAGGCCTAGACAGATTGCTAAATAGCTGAACAATGATCTGGAGGGGTATACAGTACACGTAAAGCAAAGCAATATAAAGCTAAAGCCCTGCTAGCGCCTCATCTGATTCCCCACTCGAAGGCGCAAGCATCCGTAGTGGGAGCGACCCGTCCGCCATAGCTGCCCGTCATCACATATCACAGACGCACACACAACACACACAAAAACACGCACCACCGAGCCAGTACCCACGGCCTAGGCGTTGCCACATACCGATCCAAGTCACTCGGTAGGTCCTACGCTTGCCTTCACCAGTTTCGCTCGGTTCGATGGCCGCCCAGTGCACCCGAAGCGATGCTAAACACCAGTCCGTAGAAAATCAGAATGCAATTCGAGATACAATCTAGCCTAGCGCAGTCCGATTTCCCTTTTCCAGTGCCAGAACACTCGGTTCTGGCTTTTTCCACCGTGCGAGATATGAAAGAAGAAATGAGAGGAAGGTTTCGTTTGCCCGAAGCCCACAGCCGATCGTAGAGTGCTGGCTGCGTGGGGCATGTGTCGATGTCCGAAAGGTGTGCGCCTGCTCCGCCCTGACCAGGTATATAGCACGCGTGAAGCTGCAGAGAGATGCTCCTGACCGCCACCATGTGCTTTCCCACCCAACTTTGTGGCGCGTGCTCCATGCTAGAAGAGGGAAGATGGAGAAGGGGTTGGCAATGTGAGAACGAGTGCTGAAAAGTGAGTCTTGTAGTACAGTATGCAACAACATAGGATGCGAAGCGCCGATGCTGTTCGTCTGGCCCTACGCGGAAATGCTTCCGTTAAGAAGTTTTCGGTATCCATCAGAAGATTATGGAGAGCCCGATTCGCACCAGCAAGCCATGCGCCTCAGATTGCCGAAAAATCGTGGAGACAGGCTGAGGGGATAGATCGCCAATCTACATGATCTGGTCCTGGGTGAGACCACCATGATCCGTGTCCATGCTGTCACCACCTGCACCAGGGGTAAGGTACTTGACGAAGCTCAGTCCGAGCGGTCGTCCTCCATACTGGTAGCCTTGGAACTTCTGGATGGATGTCTCGGCTGTAGCCGCGCTGTCAAAGCGGACAACACCGGTACCTCGTGATCGTCCGCTAGGCTCGTACTGGATCTCAGCTTGCTCAACCTTTCCGATGGTTGTGAAGAGCTCTACGAGATCCTCATTGCTTGTGGACCAAGGGAGCTGGAGAACGTTATTAGCATCATGGACTCCTCCAGACATGGTGTAGGATGACTGAGACTCACATTTCGGACGTAGATGATCTCGCTCGGGTCGGTACCTGCAGTAGCGAAATCGGTGAACGCGTTCGGTGCTTGTGTGGTGGGAGCAGCACTACCGGCAGCATCGAATCCGCCGGGGGCGACGCCGACGCCGCCGCCACCACCGCCATATCCTCCACGTCCGCCGCCATAGCCACCGCCGAATCCACCGCGACCACCACCAAAGCCTCCTCGGCCGCCAAAGCCGCCTCCAAAGCCGCCACGACCGCCAAAGCCGCCCCGGCCGAATCCACCACCGGCTCCTGGATGGGCAAATCTGTCCTCGCGGACCTCAAGCAGCCGACCTTGCCAGTCGTAGCCGTTGAATTGTTGAATGGCGTTACGGGTATCGTCAGGATGCTCAAACATGACGATGCCGGATCCCTTGGGTCTGCCATCTGGGCCGAGGTGGACGTCAGCTCGGACTACAGCACCGTTCCGAGCTATCCAGGTCTAGAGTCAGTGTACCGTGCCCATAATGTGACGACAAGGGGCGAGGGAAGAAGCTAACCGGCTTGACGGAACAGATCCTTTAGATCCTGCCACCCGACAGTATAGGGTAGCTGTAGAAATAGTTAACACGAGGCCGAGTCCTATGTTAGTGCCAAAAGAGGGAAGGGATAGACAAACGTTGGATACGTAGATCTGGCGATTGCCACCACCCATGGGAGCGGCACCACCACCAAGGCCACCAGCACCCCCGCCGACTCCGCCGTAACCGCCTCCGCCAGCAGCTCCACCGTAGCCGCCTTGCATTGCGTTGCCGGCATACCCGCCGCGGCCTCCGGTGGCTCCGATAAATCGTGGTTCCGCTTCCCGATCCTGTTCCCATGCTCAGCATGCAACCCCTAATTTAGTGTATCCGAGTATCCTTACTTCACGAACGTAGACGAGGCGGCCCATCAGGTTCTGGTTGCTGAGGGTTGCAACAGCAGTCTGCGCTTGCTCTCTTGTAGCATATTCCACAATTCTAGCCGCTTGGTCAGCATGATGCCACCAAGTTGTGTTGTGTTTTGTGCAGGCAACTTGGATCGTGTGACTTACCCGCATCCCTACAATACCAGCGGACAAAGGTCCCAACCCGTCAATCCATCAATTCCAACAAGAGCCATAGGAGAAGAAGCCGGAAAAAACCAGCCGTGAATCACGTGTAGAAGCCCACCTTCGACATTCCGTTCGGAAGCAATAAAACATCGGCGAAGATAACCTCTCCAGCTGCAACACAGAATCTCCGTCAGCCGTCTATTTCCAAGCAACACCTGCGCCTCTTGTGAAGGGTGACCCACCCTGTCGCATGAAATCCTTGAGGTGGTGCCATTTGACGTCGTAAGAGAGGTTGCCGACGTAGACGCGGCGGTCCTGTTGTGAGGTGTCGCGGATGTTGTTCATCATCTGCTCTCGTGCCGCAGCCCGTTCCTCATATGATCGCTGAGGCTGACCCCCGTAACCCGAGCCCGGTCCTCCCGCTGGCGCTCCTGCTCCAGTCATCGGAGATCGTGAGCGTCTGTCCGTTCTACGATAGTCGTCACGGCTGCGAGACCGGCTCCGTGGAGAGTATGATCGGCGACGGCCCGAACGTCCTGGACTCTTTGATCGACCGCGGCGAGGCGAGCGAGATCTCTCGCGCTGTAACGCATTAGTATCAGGGCCGGACATGGAAGGCAATAGGTGGTGGGTGAGCCTAGCTGGTAGGGCCACCGGGATGTTGGAGATGACAGGGGAGATGACGTTAGTCTGGCAGCAGGATAGTGTGCAAATGGGACTGTCTAAAAGTAAAACGCAATGAGGAGCCTGAGGCTGTGAAGGGTGGTGAAGGGTGCGCCGCCTGGAGTTAACGTCTGGTGCGAGAATTAAGGTGACTCCCAGTGGATCGGGCCAGCTTTATCTTGGCAGAGCCTTTTACAGTTCAAAGGTCGAAGTCAATGCGGCATAGCCCCCGCGTGAGTGGCTGGTTGGATCAAAACAAGCGCACAAGCAAGACAAGCGCACTCGGTTTAAAGTTTCGTTGCCTGGGGCAGGTGCGTTGTTGTGAAGGTGGTGGTGGTGGTGGTGGTGGTGGTAAAAATGGGGGTGGAGTGGCAGGGCCAGCTCGCAAATGTTAGAAGACCAGTTCGACTTACAGGACGGTATGTATCTCCGGAGTCAGCTATTGAGAAGATGCCAATGGTTAGAAGACAGACCCGAAGCAGCAGTGATGAGGGAAAGAGCAGATGAGGTTGATCAGATGATGATGGTGAAGATCAAAATAGGAATGCCAACTACTGTGCTGCGAGTTTGGGCGGGCCGTGGTTGCATACAGGTTGGAGAAAGGCCAGAACCGTTAGTGCACCGGGGAGGAAAAGGAAGGATCAGGAACGGAGGTAGTGGGGGGATGCCAGCGTATTAAAAATAAAGGGTGTCGAGCTGTACGTCTGAAGGTGTGTGTAAGACACGCGGGAGTGTGCTCAGGCAGCTGGAAGGACAGGGAGTGGGCTGATTGGCAGAGGCGCCGAGAAGGGGGGATAGTCAAGCGGGTAATGCTGTTGGCTGTCACAGAGCCAGATGTAGGCAATGTAGGCAGCGTTGGCGATGGTAGGTAGAAGTAGTCACACGTCACAGAGGCATTTTCGATGTATGCCTTCGGACATGCGGCTAAGAGAAGGGGACGGGCTGGGAAGTGAACGCCGTACTGGGTGTAATGTGTGCAGGAGTAGGAGGGTAGGAGTAGGGTAGCGAGGAGTGTGTCTAGACAGACCGGTAGGGCAGGATTAGATGTAGGCGTGGGAGGGAACTTGACCGATGTAGCGGGTGCAGGCGGGCGGTATGGTAGGCAGGAGATAATAGCAGTAGCCTATACAAACGTACGTGTATGTACACATGTACGTATGTAGTGTTGTGCAGCAGGTGAAGTAGTAGTGGATAGGAGAAGGTGTGGATAGGTGGCATACGGCAGTGATAAAACAGGCAACACAGCTCGGAAGGCTGGCCGAGGGAGTGCTGTGTGACACAGCGAGCGTGGGATAAGATGGGCAAATAAGGAGGTATAGAGCGTATCAAAGCGATGGTGGTGTTTGGAGGAGAGTGTGAACTTACCCATGGCGGAGTTGGTATTCATGAGGATGACTGTGTCAAACGTAGCCGCCTTACTCGAGAAAATTCTCTCGACAGCACAGGATCGACGTGACGACCAATAAAATGTCGAAGTCGTGGATCTGTATTGGGGGTGAGCCTTCAGAAGTGACAAGGAGGAATGCACGGGGTTCTGGGGGGTCGGGTAGGGGCAGAGCACCACGGTAGCTGGAGGTCTGTCTGTATGTATGTATGTATGTATGCAGGCTAGGTGGTATGAGGTAGGGACACAGACAGGAAGGGGGGAGGAAACATCGAGGCGTGAAGACATCGGGCGACGGACGAGCAAGTAAGGGAGGGCTTTCGGGGGTTACCAGATGTAGTGATGGGCTTCTAGCTGTGCGTGTGGCTCAACAATGTCTCGCAGCTGCATTCATGTTGTCTGCATTGACTGTAGACGCCATCCCTCCCATCATCTATCTATGTCTGGTCCCCCCAAGGTCGAATGCCACCACCAGCACACCGGACGCAACGGAAGACACAGACACAGCGACAACAAGCGTTGGGCAACAACACGAGGCAGGCAGCAGAGACACACCAGCCTGAGCGCAGGACGGCACACAGCGAGACACACGGCACAGGTAGAAGAGGGGAGACAGGACAGTGGGAAGCAGGTGGCAGTCGGGGAGTGAGGCTGGAGGGAATCCGGGGCGCGGCCTTGGTCGGGCCATCTGCAAGGCAACGCCCGTTGCTGGTGTCGTGCGCAGACTGCATAGAGACCGACCGCGTATGCGTGTGCGAGGAGCAGTAGGAGCACAGGAGAGGGACCGGTGGATGGTGGGTGGTGCATATGCGAGCGAGCACAGGGCCAGCGGCCGGAGTGGGCTTGTACGTACCTGGCGACGGAGTACTGGATGTAGACACGACTGTGGTTCGCGACTGTCGGCGGTGACGGTGACGGTGATTGATGCTGTGGTCAGGACAAGCACGCGATGTGCGCGACAGACGACAGACGACAGACGGTAGATGGAGACTGTCAGGAACCAGGACTGCCAGGCTGGCTGAAATGATGAGCTGAGCTGAGCCGGGCTGGGCTGGCTGGGCTGATGGGATTGGCGTAAATACCGCGTCAGAGCTGGAGACAGGGGTCCACGGGAAAACGTTAGTGCAGATGTTTGTGGTATTATGCTTGCTCGCGTCAAGATTCGCGTTCTGTCCACATATGTAGAGGAAAATAGAACAAATTGCTATTTTTGTTACTGGCACTGCATGCTGGCTTCGAGTGAGAAAAGGACAAAGCGGCAATTGCCTGGCTCGTGGCGTGCGGCGTGCCTGCAGCCAGCCTTGACCACCAATTATATTTGCGCTAGACTTTTTGTGGCTTCGCTGTGGCTGACTATCTGGCGCTATGTATCTAAGCGTATAATGCACGTACCAGAACATCTCCCCTCCGCTGGATATGGATGAGATGTCGGTGGAGGCCTGTTTTGCTGCTTAACGTTAGTGGACATAAAGGACATCCAGCGGCTTGTACTTGAATTTGACATGGACACCGCGTTTCTAACCCCGTTTCTCTAACATCCAATCCTCTAACGAGTTTACTGCCTACTTTGTTATGTATACTTTGGATGGGTTCCTGACCCTGCTAACACACCTGCCCTCTTCAACCCCTTGCAACTCACCACGACACGGTGTAGGTAACTCTTGTCTAAAGGACTGACGACTGGGTACACACGGTTCGCTGAGAGTGCCATGCAAACAAGCTCGGCGGTCGAACACTCGATGTGGTCACGGAAGAGGCGTATGCGTATCAGAGTATGGCAGACACTCTCGCAGTGACTGAATAGATGCATTGGGAAGTCCCTTGCTGGCCAGTCCGGACATCTGCGAGGTTGACGAAATCCTCCAAATGGGAATGGCGATATATCTCCGAGCATGTCACCGCAGTCTACAGCCGTGATTGTGCTTGAGCCTCCAATAACGCTGGTGACCAGTCGGATCGGCGTCGGCACTTGTCACATTGCAACCAAGGCAAGATGCGTGACACTCGGCAGACCGATGGCACGGCTCTGAGAAGACATCGATCCGTACCTGGTTTATGAAACCCCGATATCACCTGTATCTGTCACTATAAAGGCATTGGGGGTGCTGGGCAACTCCCTCCCCAGTTCATCGAGTGTTTACATCCATCAGCTGCTGGCGGAACCGCATGGTGTAAACACAATGGCTCTGTGCCTACTACCTACCTACATGCAGGCTGACCCCTGGAATAATGAACCATGGGCCGGTCACTGACAGGGCATTACCGTCGTGTCTCTGAATACGATAGAATACTTCGACTTTCTGTTTTAACAAGAAAGAAACCTGAAGTATTTTCTTGCACGGGGGAGTGCGAGTCCTTATATCCAGGTACTTGGCAGGGCTCCCTGTCGAAACCGACCCACGGTTCATAATTTCAGGGCTTGACCTGTAGGTGGTCAACGTCAAGTTGTGTACCCTTCAGCTTTGCAATTGATGGTGGTCCGTTGGTTCTCCAATGCTCCAGTTGACGACGCACGGAAGGCCAACTCTCAACATGCTTCCAGTGTTGGCTAGAGGCTAGAGCCGACCAGAGACGACGACTAATATTCGAGCACTGTATGCATCCACCTACATGCTTCATGTACATGCACGGAAAGCCAGTGGCAGAGACCAGACCAAGCGCGATCAGGCAGGTGGTCCCGACTTCTCGCTCCCTCGTGCCTGGGCACCCACAGGCTTGGTTGGACCACGATCGTGATCGAACCTCTTGTTGTCAGCCTGATTACTTCAGGTCAACCAAGCTCGAACCAAAGGGTCGTTTGCAGGAGTTTTTTATTCTGTTACCACGGAAGTCGTCACGCATCCACATCGGAGCCGACGGCCGCTGATAGGAGGCCGGCCTACAGACAACTCCATTGGGCAGCGCTTCTTCTTACCCACCGATGCCTCTGTGATCCTGGTTACTGTCGCATTGGGCTGCCTTGGATGAGTGAGATCCCGGGCGACGTAGCCTCGATGGACTGCTTCTGCATCCGCCGACTTCTCTTTGCCGTTCGCTGCAGGTTCGTCGTCAACTCTTTTGGGACTTGGTAACTGCATGCAGACGCCAGGAATACTGCTCAAAATGGCCACCTGCACCTACAGCCTGCATCCTGTGCGGCCCTCGATCCTAGCCCGCAGTCTACTAGTATTGACACTCGAACCACAACCCTCAGACCTCAGACCGCCGGATTATGAGCTGACTATCCCCCAGTCCACAGCATCGAATGGTGTCAATGAGCACTGTTGACCCGGCCGTAGTCGTGACGAGCTTCCCTCTCAGTGTTATCAAATGATTGATCTGGTTCCTTACTCGGACGATTGGTGGACCACCGGCCCCTCATATCTGTACCCATATATCGCAAGATGTGATGACGAGCGGTTGACCTGCAGACAAGCAGGTTATAACCTCCCTAGCCATTCCGGCAGAATCATCACTACATATCGGTCCTGTCTTTTGATTGGGGGTTCCAGTGTGACAAGATACCGAAACTCTTTGAATAGAGCCGCATTGTGTCTGGGAAGGGTCCTGCAAAGGTCCGTCCTATTGTACCTACGGCGTTGAAATAGATCGCTGGCGATGGACATTTCTGTCAAGGTAAGGTTTCCATTCCATCCAGAACACAAAAAAAAGCTGACAACCTGAGTGCATGGATCTTCGTACTTACAAGCTCACCGCCATGGGAAACCTGCACGAGCCAAGCGAGATGCATTCCTGACAGAATAAGGCAAAATCCTCTCCAAGTTCCCTCGAGGACTGCAGACCAGGGAAGGCAATGCCTGTATCGCTACCAAAACTCCCCTGCAGCATCCCTATCTTCGCGCCCAGGCAGCCCAGGGCAGGCGACTGGCAATCCACCGCCGCTGACTTCGCGCACACAACCACCAATCTGCTTTTCCAGCTGCGAGTTGGGGTGACACAGCAGCTGCAGTGCTACCAGCCGAGAGCTGGCTGCCATCCATGGATGCTACAAATCCGTTACACTATGGTTCCCAGAAATACCACCCCCCTTATCGTCCATCGATACGGGACTCGAAAGGCGGCCTATCAGGCCGGGTTGTGCTCGCAAGCGACGACCTGCTGAATGGACCTGCTTATGGCGTTCAAGGCTGAAGAGACCGGTCTGTCGAGTCCGTGAAGACCGCGGGATGAGGCATGCTTGGCCTGTTCAAAACGTGCAGAACAAGACCGGTGAAGCCCCCCTGCCGCTGGTGTTGCAGATCGTACTGTCGTACCTAACTCCGAAGGTAGACCATGGGGTACGCCCTGCCGACGGCGGTCACGCCAGTTCAAAGCTTGGAGGCATCACGTTCTGATCCCTCTTACCAGCTAAGAATGATGCTGATGCCTATGAGTCAGTGACACCCATGCTACGACAACATACCCTAGACAGGGGGCAGCGTCGTCAAGACCATCGCTCTCTTGCTACTGTTGAAGACCTTCCCAGTGTCAGACCAAACCAACACCAGTGACCTCAAGAGGTTCATGCATGAAATCCCTTCAAGATGGTCCGAGGATCGCTTCCCAACCCTGTCAGCTCCGCATGCAGATGGTGATCTGACGAGCGTCACTTCATGAACCTTCCAATCGCATTGTTGCTAGAGGCAAAGCCCAGTCACCCAGCCCCTGGTCCTACACAGGCATTGGAAAGGCACCCGCCGACAGTCCCCTGCCTCTGCATAGCGGCGACCCAATAGGAACACAGCCCGCTCGCGGTAGGGTTGCTAGCACGCGGAGGTAGGGCTGCTCGACAGACTGGGACTCATGCTCGTGGACCCAATTCGTGCGAGGACACTCGCAGCACGGCCAGTCAAACCAGTTCGATGACAGAGCCGCAGTATTCCCGGTCTTTTCCATTTCCTCCAACTTCTACAGGCTTCGTCCGTGCTGGGGTTGAGCTCAAGCGCTCCAGTCGCCAATAACAGAGTAATGACGCTTCTTGGTTCCTAAAGAACAGACGCCATATGACAAAGATAAATCAAATACAAGATGGGGGAGGGTCCTGCTGCACAAACTTCCCGATGCAGCCATTGCAGACAGGCGTGAGGGACATCACAGCCGTATATTTGTGCGAGATCGTTAGGCTGTGATGCCTGCTGATCCTGAGATGCTCTTCGTGTTGAAGTGAGGGTTAAAATCCACACGGCCCATGCTGCCGCCGTGCTTCTCATGGGTACACTGAACCTCCAGAATCTCCGTACACACCTCGTCCACCAAGCGAAAGGTGTGTTTGTATGATATCTGGAATAAGCTGTCTGGAATGAGCATCAAATATGGCTGATTGGATTAGACCTGCTTATTCCATCAACACCAATCTAGCATCAATGGTTAAGAGTCGACAGGAGCATGACGGACGGGGGTGACTGTATGAACATACCCGATATGCACATATGCGCATATCACTTAAAGAACTTTAGTCATTATCCCGAACAAGATCAGCCGGCCCGCGACCTACCGAACATTGACAGCTTCACGCCGTAGACACGAAGCCCCTAAACCGACAACAGCTTCCAGTCAACGGTGCCCACCTGCGCAATGGCTCCATCACGGGCCTTCACGAGGTTAGCCGCGCTACAGCGAGCCCGGCCAGCGGCGTGTCGCAGCTCTGCAGTCCCTCGAGCATACCACTCCTACGACCACCCACCACCGCCGGGCAGCTTCAACACAGCCGAACAAGCCATCCTCTCGGCGGCATATCGGCACGTACCCGAACACGGCTTTACCCAGCACACCCTGTCGCTCGGGGCGCGAGAGGCTGGCTACCTCGACATCAGCACGAACCTACTTCCCGAGGGCCCTTTCAGCCTCATCCGATACCACCTCGTCACACAGAGGGAAGCACTCGCGCCGCGAAGCGAGACCGTATTCGGCGGCGGCAGCGAGAAGAACCCCGGCCACCCGCCGCTGCAGGTTTCCGACAAGGTCGAGCGGCTGGCCTGGGAGAGACTACAAGGGAATAAGGACGTCAACCACCGGTGGCAAGAGGTACGTCCAGAGTTTCTGTCATCCGTCTACTGGCTGGACGAGGGCGTGGGCGAGATCGTGGGCGTGGGCGCTATGATCACCCCCTTCCTGTCCACCGTCGTCCATCCTCTCTCCCAAGAACCACCACTCCGCTCCACTCCGCCCCGAGCCGGCGCCGCACTGTCTTCCACCAACTTACCAACGTCAACATATTCGCTCCTTCATGAACACTTCGTTCTCTTCCCTCCCCCTACTGCCCAGTGCCCTGTACCCAATGCCCCTCCGCTCCACATACGGTCATCCCAAGCGACCTAACTCGCTAACCATGCCCTCCTCACCCACAACAGGCCCTAGCCGTAATGGCCCAACCAACGCACGTGCCCGCTTCCCTCCGCGAGCTGGCCCTCCTTGCCGACGAGATCATCTACCTAGCGGGCGACGCCTCGGTCGATCCATCATGGTACGCGAAGCGCGGCGCCCTGTCGACGGTCTACGCGTCGTCGGAGCTGTTTATGACCAACGACCGCTCCCCAGGGTTTGGAGAGACGCGGCAGTTCCTGCGCCGGCGCCTTGACGAGTCGGCGCGCGTGGGATCCGCGATTGGCAACGTCGCTCAGTGGGTCGGATTCACCGCTTCGGCCGGCGTGAATGTGCTTAGAAGTACCGGGGTGAGGATATGACCAACGCGTGCCGTCTAAGATGGATTCCTGGACGGTCGTTGGCAGCGACCTTAGGTACGTCGCGCACGTAATTGTAAAACATGTACAAATGTAAAAACGAGAAGTTTTCGATCATAGAGCGAGCCTGGCACTGGCTGTGCTTGTATATATGGTACAGGGTTGGGAAGCAGAAGCTGCACCGGGGAAATCGTGACACTGTACGCCACACTGTACGCCATCCTTTGTGAGCCAGATGACTATATATACACTACCGGGAAAAGTACCACACCACGATCCGTCTCGCTCCCAGACGAGTACCCTCTGTAAACGACGCCACGCTAGCCTCTACCCATTCACGAACTTTTGGAGGACAAGCAATAATACTTGAACAAATACACATGCAAGATGCAAATACCGATGCCGGCCGGAACACCTGAACCACCCCCCGAACAGCGACTCCTTTAAAACCCCAGCGCCGCAATGACCTGGAAACGCAGCCAAGCGGCGGGATAGCCGCTAATTGAGCAGGAGGCACACCCTCATACATCAGGGGTCCGCAAGAAGCCGTTGTCGAGGGTCCGTGAGCCTGTCAAATGGTTAGTTCAGCAGACCCTATCAAGTCCACGAGCTGGACGACAGAGACGTACCTGATGATCTTGACGTCTTTGTCTACCTGCGCCCTGCCTTCGATTGCATTGGGAGTGATGAGGATAAATTGTTTCCCGACCGAGCGACGTGCAGCGGTAATCTACACGTATTATTAGCTTCAGGCACGGATATGACCTCGACAGGTAGGTGTGGATGGGGAATCTGACAAGCATGTTGGTGCTGATGGCGCGGTTCACGTTGTCCATGAAGACGTCGAACTCGTCGAGACAACGCAGGGGAGAGCCCATCGCATCCCAAATGGCCAGCAAGAGACATATGGACGAGAACGACTTTTCTCCACCCGAGAGGGTCTTCGTGTTCCGCCCCTTTCCATTTCTTCGTGTCTCGTCCGGCTCTACTTGTACCTCTAGCTTCCTGGCCTTGTGGTCTAGTAGAAGCTGACCCCTGAAGCCACGTTCGCTGAGGAGATAGCCAAAGTTGGTTCGGGCGTGAGCCGAGACGTGCCGTTGAAAGTTCCGGTACTTGGCCAGCCGGTCCATCAACGCCTGCTTTAAGCCGTCCACGAGAGATGTGAGATTCTTGTTATTTTTCCTGGCGCTGTCATACTCAACTTTAGCCTGCGCCGTCCGCTCGTTGACTTCCTCCTGCGATGCTCCCACCTGATTTTCTAGCTTCTTGATCTGTCCTTTAACGGCCTCGTACTTGCGCTCAATGCCGTTATAGGTCTCCCCCTCCGGGATGTAAGCTCGCTCGGGGGCTATGCTGCTCGCCTGCTGCGTCCAATCGGCTACGATCTTGATCTGTCGGTCCCGGGAGCGCTGCGCGTCCTCCTTCCGTACCTTGGCGATAGCAAGTTGTTCGTGGGCTTGGTTCTTCTCTATGGTGGCTAGGGTGCGGTTCTCCGTAAACCTTTTGACCTTGTCCTCAGCCTTGGCCACCTTTGCGTTGTGATCCCGAGAGACTGTCTTCGCATCCTGAAATTCTTTCTTGAGATCTTCAACGTCCTTATTCATCTCAGCCTTTCGCGCCGCAAAATCGCCATATTGGACACCGTAATGGTCCTTTGTCTGCTGAGCTTGTTCGAGGTCCTTCTTGAGCGCATGCAGCTTCGCGTCAATACCGTCAAAATCGTCGAGCTGCCCTTCAATCTTGGAGACTCGGACACCCGCATTGTTGATCGCCTGTTCAAGTGATTTCGTTTGTCTCACATGTTGGGCTACTGCTTGGCTGCACCGCTGAGTGGCTTGCTGTATTGTCCTTCTTGATGCCTTCAGAGTCCGGGATTCCGCTTGAAGCTGCGCTAGATTCTCCTGATGATACTTGATCTCGGTCTCGGCGTCTGACTTGATGCGTGGCTTTTGTTTGAAATTGGGCGTTATAGGTGACGAGCTGATGTTGCCGCCGCCACCAGCATAGAGTCGAAGACCATGGCCCCTCTTGCCATCGTGGAAAACCAAGCAAGCAGAAACGTTCTGTGGTGGCTGGCCGTCGAACATGACATGCTGAGCTTCTTCTCTACTCTCAATCAGAAGCACCTGGTCGATTTGGTTGTTGATGATCAGCTGATCTCGTACAAGGTGGTTGTCTATCTTCAACACTCTCAAGATTGTGTCAAACTCCGGGTCTGGCTCCCTCAGGTTGTTGCCGATTCGGGCGTGGGAGGCAATGAGAATCGGGCAGTTGATAATGCGCAACCTCTGCATGAGGCCATTCAGCCGCTGTTGGTCTGCCTTGCTTGTCACGACGAATGCGTTGAGGTTGCCCCCTAGCGTTCTCTCCAGGATCTGGGACCACTGGGCTTTGGCGAGCTGTAAGTGGAAACCAATTGGCCCGACCGGCTTCTCTCTGAAACCGTTCTCACTTTCAATGAGCCTCAGCAGCTGAGGGACCTGGGCTTCGTAGCCAGCGAACAGGTCGCTGCGGTTTCTCGACAACAATTGGACCTGGCTTTCGGCTGCCTTGATTTCCTTCCGCTTCTGTTCGACAGCCTCTCCTGATTCCTGCAGTTTCGCTTGAGCAGCAGCTGAGTCCCGGTTCAAGGCCTCCAAGCCACGTTTGTGATCTTCGGCGGATTTGGACGCATCCTCCTTGGCCTGTTTGGCGTCTTCAAGCTCCTTTTGTATAACGGTGAGAGCCCCGCCGTTGGCGAGCTCGAGACGACGCTCTTCCTCGCGGACCGAATTTTCATAATTCTTGACTTGGTTCGTGGCCTTCGTTACTTGGCTGTGCATATCCCTCTCCTGAGTATGCATCGTTTGAATCTCCGTCCTGGCCTCGTCATACTTGGCCTTTGCCTCCCTCTCTTGCTCCTGGATTTGACTTTCCTCCATTTGAATCGACTGCAAGCCCTCGGTTGCTTGCTGTATCTTGTCATTGATCCTCTGGAGGACCTCGGACTTCTCATCGATCTCCTGCTCCATCCGCGTGATCTCCTCTTGGGTGGTCTCGACATTGTTCTCCTTCTTCTCCAGATCTATCTCCTGCTCCAACACCTGAGCCCAGGCCAACTGGTTCTTGTAGACCTTGGTCTTTGCGCGCATTTCGGAACTCTTGCCAAGCGCGTCCCTCAGCTTCACAGCCTTCTCATATTTGTCCTTAAGATAGGTTAAATTCTCTGAATATTCTGCCAGCTTGGCCTCGTTGGCATCAAGCATTTCGGTGAGGAGCTGGTAGTCATGGTCGAGCTGCTCCAGCTGGGTGCCCTGGACAAAGTACTTGTATTTGGTCGCGGGTGTTGCGGCGTTCAAGAACTGGCGGGCGTTGTCTTGAGAAAGGACATTGAGGGGGTTGTCCACCTGGAGACAGAAGTACTCGACGACGTCGTCGACATCGCCCTTCTTGGTGGAGATTACCCTGCCGCCGGCGGACTTTAGTTTGAAACCACTGGAGCCGGATTTGTTGAACCACCGCTCAAAGGTGATGGACCCCCCAAAAAGGTCGGGCTTGTAGGCGTCATCGCCCTCGTTCTTGATCTTGACGGTCAGCGAGGCACTTTCCTGACCCTCCTTGACGAAGCTCCGTAGACTCCCACCACGATTGGTAGCGCTGGCCTTTCCGCCCAAGCACAGGGTGATGGCAGTCAAGATGGCGCTCTTTCCGCTTCCATTCTCGCCGACGATGAAGTTGAGCAGGGGACCGAGCTCGCAATGTAGGCGGACGTGACACATGAAGTTGCAGCAGGTGATACTCTCGATGATGGCGTTCAGGGAGGCGTGGTTCTCGCCAATGAGCACGGGCTGGTTTTGTAGACGTTGGGTTGCTCGCTGGTCGTCTTGCTCGGTGTGCTCCAGGTGCCTGAAGTCGGCATCACGCATGAGCTCGTACTGAGTGGCAGGAGGTGGTGTGGGCGGCGCCTCTGGTTGTTGCATAACCTCGTCCTCGTCAGAAGCGGGAGAGTCCCGCTCTGGAGCCGTCCAAGCCGACTTTCTACTCGGGCCGGCATTGGAGACGCGAGCTTTCTTGCGCTGCTACTCGGGCTGTCAGTGGGTGCCCTGGACTACAGGCAGTGGGTGCGACACGGCGACACGGCGACACCAGGATACCAGGAAGACTCACAGTTTCGTTCCTGAGGCTCGAACTGGCTTGGGCAATGCTGACGCCATCTCCAGACTCGTCACCGTCGTCGTCGAACGCGGCGCGGCGCGAGCGCTTAGAAGAGGTCGCGGAAGGCATGGTGTGGTGTCCTGTGGCAATGGCGGGGATGGGCGATGGTCGAGGTGGGCGGACACTGGCTCAAAGGTACAAACCTCAGCTCGCGGGTTGACCAAGGACGACGTCAGCTTGCGGTGGAGTGTGGTGGTATGGCGGAGGCAGCAAGCATGACGGTGCAGAGAACAAGGTGGTTGCCGGGGACTTGGGCTGTTGGGAGGCGGTGGAATTTGTCGCGAGGCTGCCTTGCCAATGGAAGTTGTGCGCCTGGGATATGCTCTCTTTTTCTTGGGGACCGGGGTGGAGATTAAGGAGGCAGAGAGACGCGACTGCAACTGCAAGACCTTCGACGCGCGCGTGATGCTGGGACGTGGGGACGGGACGTGTGGGACACAGACGTGCTGTAATTAACCCACTCTGGCACCTTATCACCTTATCACCTTATCGGCTTATCCAAGTTAGCACACCTCTCTACTGCAGTATCTAGAATTACTGGCCTCACGAGGTTCTCTTCAATCCGTATTTTTACCTTAAAGAGGCGGCGACAGGTGGTAGACTCTTCAATGTTTGCACTTTGCAAGTTTCCACGGGTGAAACCATAAAGTACGAACCGAGGCCATCATCATTTTCACCTCATGCGGCTCACCTGCCAAAACCATCTGCTACATCACCATCTCGTCACTCCGGACATCCCCATTGTGAACACAGGATATCTGATCAACGTGCCATCTCTCCATACGCGTAGTGTCGCATTCGTGCATCTCACCCAGGACGACGCATACCCAAATGGATTCTGAAGACAGGACCGAGTTCTTTCAGAAGGGCTTTGAAGGCTTTCCCAGGAGCCTGCCCGACAACTGCGTCGAGTACATCCTTTTCATTATCGATGACCAGTTGGATCCTCGTTCGCTGCTGGCTGGGCTTGAAGCTGTCCGAAAAGCTGCCGCCCAGTTGTGCACCCGCATCACCCAGGGTTACATCTGGCAACGAGACTCTTTCCAGCTGCAGGTGAAGAGAGAGGAGAGCTTGGTTTACCTCCACGGCACAACAGACTACGGAGACTCGGTGGAAGATGAATGGCTCATAGTCTACCTGCTTCGGGAGCTGTCCGAGTCGTTTCCCACCCTCTGGTTAAGGATCTTCGACAGCGATGGCGAATTCCTCCTGGTGGAGGCTGCAAATGTCCTGCCCAGATGGTTGAGCCCAGAGATCGACAGCAACCGAGTCTGGATACACCAAGGCCTGCTTCAGATTCTCCCGCTGTCCTCTAGCTCTGGACAGAAACGGCCCCTTTCCCTAGCTGAAGCAGTCGGCTACATCAGGTCGAAGCCGGACTCTGTTGTTCACTCTACCTTGGTCGAGGCCGAAGCCTTCTACCGGCTGGAGAAGTACCCAGCACAAGTCGGAGAGTCTTTACACCATTCCATGGTCACAATCCCCAGGAGGCTGGCATACATTCTGCATGAACTGCCAACGGCCATAGCTCCCGCTACTGAAGCATTCTACCTGCGGGATCTTGTCGCCATGAAGCCTCTCGTGTCCTCGTCCTCAAGTCTGCACTTCCCGCCTACAGATCTCGTTACTGTAGGTATCAAGTTTACAAGGGTGCTTTTCGCGCAGCTGAAGTCACAACGCTTTACACCACCGCCTGTATGGACCAAGATTATCGAGGCCGCTGAAAAGGAGGCTGGCAGTTCAGAGGAGAGTCAGAAAACTCTAAGCCAGCTGGAGTTAGGCATGAAAGTTACCAGCGGGTTTGAGATGCTCGCTGCCAGTGCCGACAAGAAAGACAACCGCCTGGCTCATGAGTTCGCCATAGCACTGGAGGATATGGAAGAGGATGGCGATCGGGTCTTGCCCACAAACCAGGACATGGAGGCGTGGCCAGACGTTGACAGGGAAGATGACGAGGCTTGGATGGATATCAACTTCGAGGATTTCGAGAATGAACTACAGGGCAAGCAGAAAGCCGAGAGGGGTCCAAAAAGTGGGTTTGGTGATTCTGCAACACACGCAGACCTGCGCAAGATCGTGTCCCGCTTCGAGTCCTTCCTGAATGATGAGACAGCCGGGCTGGAAGGTGCAGAGCTGGACGACATGGACCAAGATGACGATGTCTCTGACGAGGACGAAGACCAGGACATCGAGGATAGCGAGGACGAAGACAAAGCCGTCAGCTTCGACGAGGAGCAGTTCTCGAAGATGATGAGAGAGATGATGGGATTGCCTGCCGAGGATGTTGCGGGCCTGAACAAGAGCCCAGGGAAGTCTAAGGTGGACACCCCACACGAGGGCGAAGACGGTGGCAGTGGCAACGAGGACGAGGATGAAGATGAAGATGAGGAGGATGGGGACGAGGATGAAGAGGAAGAGATCAGACAGCTGGCAGCTCAAATGGAAGCCGAGCTCAAGGGTCTCGGTGCCTTGAAACTTGATTCGCGGCCGGGGAAGACAAAGGCCATCAAACCAAGCAATATTGCAGACCCGACGAGCAAGGGTAAGGAAGTTCAGATGGCCGAGACTCCAGATAAGGAGAGCAGCGACGGGGAAGTTGATATCGATTACAACCTGGCCAAGAACTTGTTGGAAAGCTTGAAGAGCCAGGCAGGGATGGCTGGGCCCGCGGGCAACATCTTGGGCATGATGGGTATGCAGCTACCTCGCGACGAAGGCGAAGACTAAGACGAGCAAAGAGAAAATGAAGCAGTACACAGCATGGAGAACTGATCAGGGTGCCTCATCTGAATAGTGGAGGCATAGATCAGATAGGGGGTAGGTAGATGTAAGGATGACCCACTCCAACAAAGCCACCGATTGAAGGATTATACCAGTACAGGAATACCCTCGGTAAAAGGCGGTGAACATTGACTTTCAGGCATGAACTGCCCCGCATTCATCAGAGATTCAGAGTCAATCCAGCCTCAGGCGTGTTGTTAACTTGTTATCCGTCTTAGTGGCCCCAGCCACGCTTTAAGCCTTTCCAACCCCACCAAGTATCACGACGTCACAGGCGGTGGCCGCGAGTGGACATTACCGGTAATACAGGTACACCAGTTCAGGCGGCTCGTGTATCCAAGGTTCACTGCATGCATCACTGCGTGTGCCTTGAATTGCAGAACCGACAAGATACTTAACCCGCAGTCTTCCAGAAAGCCCTCATCCCACAGCTGGACTGCACGTTCCTTTGTTTGCGGATGCTTCCAGCAGCTGAACTTCGCCAGACCTCCCTTCTGTATGCACCTGTGCTGTGGAGGGTCAACCGTCGCGCCGGCGCAACATGTGGACCAACAAGAACATCTCGAGCCTGCAGAAGACATACGACGAGAGCTACCTGAAGTGCTCGACAGCGGTATATTATGAGGGCCAGGTACACACATCCAACCATCCATGTGTCCGTCCCGTGCCGGATGGTGTAGCTAACACGACAACTGCACAGGGTGACGAGAAGGAGGCGATGCTATGTTGGAGGAACGCCCTCGACCAGATACGTCTAAACCCTGCGAATAGGAGACAGTCCAGCTACTCCCCCAAGTCCGAGACCGAACGCGCCCTGTTGGAGAGCTTGCGAGAGTTGGAAGTGCAGTGCAAGGAGCGCATCGACCTGCTTGAGGCCCTCCGCCTGTCGCGAGAGGACGACAGAACGCTGGAGGGAAGCTCGTCAAGGCCTGGTCTCAAAGAGGGCCCCGAAGGCCGTTCGTACTCCAACACTCCGGAGAAAGGATGGATTGGCGATGGGACTATACCTGCTATAACATATCCAGAACTGTCTAAGCCACCCCTGCCGAAACGACCCTCGTTCCCCTCTAGGAGTTCTTCCGAGCTGGCTGTTGTGGGTGGCCACGGCACGACTTCAGACTATGTGCCGTCCTCCTCGGCTGCGAGATTACCCTCACTGCCCCCGTACGGAGTGACTGCTGGCATGTCTGGCGTGAAACAGAAGACAACAAGGTCACCTAGTCCCGACAAACGTACTATGCGAACAACGCTCCGATCTGGTAGATTCGAGAAACCCTCCAAGTCACAGTTACCCCGCTCGACACCCACAACAAGAATAAGTAAAGGCCCAGGTGCAAGCAAAGCAGCTACGTTGGCTTGGAGTAACCTTGGGTCGAAAGAAAGCGTGGAAAAGGCGCTCGCTGTGGACACAAGTGGTCCGTCATCAAAGCTCCCGGAGTCACGTCACTCCTACGAACAACTCCGAAAGGGCTCAGCTCTGCAGCAGGGCCGTTGGGATAGTCACACAAGGAGACTGATAATATCGCCAGAAACTCCTCCAGTGGGAACTCCCGATGCTTGCTCGGACCCGGAATCTCCCATGCGAACCTCAATGGATTACATGGGGAATGGGCCATCTCCACTTGCACTAGGTGCTGCTTCGAGTGCCTTGAACTCGCTCTCCATACAGGGAAAGAGAGAACCTAGCCCGGCAGGAAAACGACCATCAATACCAATGTCTGCAAGGAGAGCCGGCTCAACACAGGACGAGCCAGGCAGTACTAGAGTTCCTGGCTCCGGACCTTCCAACTCTGGGGCCTTCAGGAGGAAACCTATTGAGCGCTCTCGAACACCCGAGCCAAATAGTGCCAAGAAACGAGTTGGACGAGACCATGAGAGGAAGAGCGAATCCAAGTCAGCTTCATCCGATGAAGAGCACCAGAAGAGCTCCTCGCGACGAAGAAAACTCAAAGGGAAGCAGAAAGAGTCTCCAGTGCCTGCTGATGCCGAAGTACAATCCTCGGAAGATTCAAAAGATGAAGAGATAAGCAAGTCCAAGAGTGAATGGGAGAAGAAGAAGAGAACAATACTCAATAACCTCCCACCAGGCGTTGACGATGCAGCAGCGAAGGCCATATTCAACGAGATTGTCGTTCAGGGTGATGAGGTTCGCTGGAGCGATGTTGCGGGCTTGGAGATTGCCAAGAATGCTCTGAGAGAGGCTGTCGTGTACCCCTTCCTGCGGCCCGACTTGTTCATGGGCCTTCGTGAACCAGCGAGGGGCATGCTGCTCTTTGGGCCCCCCGGAACCGGAAAGACAATGTTGGCTCGGGCGGTGGCAACAGAATCACGATCTACCTTCTTCTCCATTTCAGCCAGCAGCCTGACCAGCAAGTATCTAGGAGAGTCTGAGAAGCTCGTCCGCGCCTTATTTGGCTTGGCAAAGGTGATGGCACCCAGTATCATATTTGTTGACGAAATAGATTCGTTGCTGTCTCAGCGATCTGGGTCGGGAGAGCACGAAGCCACTCGAAGAATCAAGACAGAATTCCTGATCCAATGGAGCGATCTACAGAGAGCCGCTGCAGGACGCGAGAGCCCCGGGGGGCCAGGAGACAAAGGTGATGCGAATCGGGTTCTCGTCTTGGCGGCCACCAACCTGCCATGGGCCATTGACGAAGCAGCCAGGCGTCGTTTCGTACGGCGTCAATATATTCCTCTACCTGAGGCGCCAACCCGAGCTACGCAGTTGAATACACTTCTGGGCCAGCAGAAACATAATCTTACAGACTCGGATATTGCGGAACTGGTGGGCTTGACAGAAGGTACAGTTTCACATCCAAATTGCAATACTCGACCAACTTGCTGATAGATCGCTCTTACTAGGCTTCTCTGGCTCTGATATCACTGCGCTGGCCAAGGATGCCGCCATGGGACCCCTTCGCTCGCTTGGCGAGGCGCTCCTCCATATGACTATGGACCAGATCCGACCTATAGAGCTTTGCGACTTTAAGTCCAGCCTCCAGACCATCCGCCCCAGTGTCAGCAAGGACGGTTTGAAGGAGTACGAAGACTGGGCAAGGCAATTTGGTGAGCGCGGAGGGTGAGACACGGCATGTATGCCTGGAAACGCACCTTCGTAGATAGCCCCTTGGTACCGACTGCGTGGACGAACTATCCAAATCCACAACACTCACGAGGTACAACCTGGCTCGGCGGCAGCTTCCTGGGGTCCAACAACGAAAAGTCGGTATATGAGACCTGGCGTTCAATGAAGACACTGGGTTCCAGGTTTGGCTGGCCTCTTTTGTCGAGCTGCACTTGTACATATTGTTACATTGTTGGTATATACATGTCTAAAATGATTGACCAGCGCTCTCCCAGTCTGCTTTGTGTTGTGGAGAGATAAATCCCATGCATCTGAGATACATCAGACCCTCTCATGTCGAGCAGCCTCAGCCTTTCCGTTCCTATCGCATGGCAGCCGTGCTCCCTGGCGGGTCTCAATCCACATCATCCAGGCTCGTGTCTGGATTGCGAGGGACCGCCTTCGGCCGCGCCCCCATGCGCACCAGGGCCTTCCGCGCCTCCAGGGCCAGGCGCGCGCTCGCCGTCACCGTGGAGTCGACCTCGCGCCGCAGGGCCCTCCGCACGTCCTTGGCGGCCCGCTTGGCGGCCCGCTCCTCGATGCGCTCGTGTATGGTCGGCACGGGCGGCCGCTCGTCGATGGGCTCCCCGTGCGGCGCGATGATGTGCTTGACGACATGGCGGACGTGTTGCGCCTCGCGCCAGCTGCCCGCGATGGCTATGATGTCGCCCTTGCGCACCGAGTTGCGCGGGTCGTGGACGAGCTTGAATCGGGGTTGTTTGAACCACTGTGTTGGGGGTAGGGTGTGTCAATTGGGTGCTTTCTTTATTCTGTATTTCTGGGTTGAAGCCGGTGGTCTCGAGCTTTCTCTCACTCGGAGGAGGGAGAGAAGGAAGGGGAGACGGAGAGCAGAGAGGGGAAATGGATGGTGGAATAGAAGTGTCGTGTACCGCTAAGCTGTATAGGTGATCCAATACGAACGTACCTTCTGCACTCTGTCCTCCCACCGTTGGCCACCTAGCCTAACCTTCACCGTCTTGTCCATCAGCCCGGCCGACACCACGATACCGTGTAACTCTTTCGTCGCATGCCGCACAGCGGCAGCAGCAGCTGCTGCAGCTTCGGTGGTGGCCATGGTTGCTATTCCCGCGGTGGCAAAGGCTCGGGTTTACGCTCTCGATCGACTGGTCGCTTGGTCGGTGTTTGGTTGCTCACGGATTCATCGCTTTGATCGGTGTTGGTTGTGCTCTGTGTGCTGTCGCGGGTTTGCAGCTGCTCAACTTCGTGAAGCTCTCCAAGAAATTTGGATAGAGGCAGGCGGGTCGTCCCATGTGGCACCCCCGGCCGCTAGAGTTGTGGCTGGTGACTCCGTTCCGTCGCTTGGCTTAGCGTGACCCCTATTGCTGGGTGCATTGATCCCCTTGGACCCCCAACATTCAGAGAGCTTTTCAACATGACTTCCTCCTCCTTAATGATCAAATCTTCAAAGTGTAAAACACCATGATACGTCTTGATATTGTGTCACGAAGGCTTACTATGCCCTCGTTCATGGTGATTCATAGCATTGTACTCGTTCTTGCTACTGGGTGGGAATGCCAGTATGTCCGGTTCCGCCGTTGGTTCTACGACCTGAGCAATCCCCTTATAATCCTCGAAACACCCCGTCACAGAGTACGAGGGGGTTTCTCATCCGAGTCTCATGCAAGTGGCTCAGCCACTCTATTATACTTTATGTGTATCGAGGCCACTCGCATGGCATCATAGGCTTTCCTGAAAACATGATTTAGCTATCGCTCTGCCTTCTTCCTGGGCCCAGTAGGCTGCTCTCCTCGTCAACCAGTGCAGTCCTTTTCTGCGCGTCCGCGGGTTTGCTCTTCTGTAGACTCAACCAGATTGCGGCTCCGATGATCAAGGCGCTCCCGAGAAGGCTGACTACCGGAGGGGTCGTTCCCCAGATCACTCGCTCAATGATTAGTGCAAACACCATTTGCAGATACTAAACACATCAGCTTCAGGTCTGGAAAATGGGGCCAGGTACATACGGTCACATTCGTTGCTCTCCCGCCTTTCTCTCTCTGCAGCCCTTCCGTCAGAAGAAACTGCAGCAGGAACCCCGCGACTCCAATGATGACGAGTAAGGTCCTGAGCTGGTCAGTCCAATAACCATTACAGAAGGCTTATCATACATACCATTGAAGGGCGCCTCGTGGCAGCACGAAGTGCAGATCCGGGTGGATCAAGATGATCAGGGCCGAGCCGATCGTGGCCAATACAGCGAAGTAGTTGACGCTGACCAACGAGTGTGCCCTTTTCCCGATGATACGTATCGTGCCGTATGCCGTAGCCGCCGCAAACGTGCCAATAATGGCACATACAATAGCCACAGCTCGCTCGGCGGGAGAAGGCGAGTCTGGGTGTACCATGCCAGGAGGACGATTCACGATGAGAGCAGTCACGGTCTGGTTATTGTACACGGGATCACCGGAGATCGGGTCAACTACCTTGTCTCCAAAGAGGAAAGCTGGTCGAGCGATGAACAGCACCCCTACGAGAGCGAGGAGGCCGGACATGGCTTCTTGCAACCTATATGGCTCCTGGAGGTCATTAGCGTCATTCTCGACTAAAGGGGCACAGCACACGGACCTTCAACCAGACAAAGCAGACAATGGCCGTCCATGTCGGAACAAGAAAGCTGATAGCGGTGGCATCTGATATCTCCAGATAGGACAGCGAGTCTTGAAGACGTCAGTTCTGGCTCTTCATATACGGCGAAGGAACACTTGCAGTACAGGCCGAAGAGCCCAATGAAACCAGCTGTGCCACGGAGTACGAGGAGGCCCCTGACACTGCGCTGTCCGAGGGGGAAGTCGGGGACCTTCTTGAACCACATGTACAACGAGCCGAGGATGGCAGTTGCGAGCATGCGGACAAATATAATTTCCAAGGCATGGAATTTGGGAGACGACTCGCTGGACGTCAGTAGTTTTGCAGCCGTGCTCATCTACCCGTTGTTAGCACCGTCGCAACAGAGAAGAGTCGGATTAGGAATATTCGCACGATAGATCCAAATGTTTGAGCTAAAAAGACGAGCACGAGTCCGAAGTTTCTCTCATAGAAGCCTCGTAGTCGCTGCCGAATGGCACCATGCTTCTGATGGTCCGCATCGTCGGGTCCTTCTTCTCCGGCGGGAGGCGAGATCGGCGGGGTGGGACCTCCCGCAGGATGTGAAGACGGACCGGAGCCATCGTGCTCGTTGCCGCCGTCCCGGGCACTAGTCTTGCTGTCGGATGTCGACCCGTAGCCCATGGTGATAAGCTATCGACACGTAGATTAATAATATGGTCAAAGTCCAAGCCCTTGCTGCTACTTTTGTTTTCGGTCGCAAATTTTATAGGCGACCCACAATCAAAGACTGCTGCGCCGAGACCGAGCCGAAGCCGAACCCCGGAGGTCATGCAAGCCGGATACCGTACGCAGTCCCGGGTCATAATCAGACCTGGGGTAATAACCACTGCGGATTGTGAGGATGCATTGTCTTAGTTGTGATAAGCTTCGTATCTTGATACTATACTTGGAGTTTTCCAGCTCGGGAATATCATGGTACAGGTAGAGGCGGTGAGGTTGGCATGAGGGACCGGTTGGCATGTCGTCTATCAACCAGACATCACATAATATTAGGCACAACTGTATACAAGGTCCGCTAGATATCAGGCGGCAGATTCCCCGAGATATAGGGCTGAGGGTGAAAAACATGCCTCAAATCCTGATGATGCATAATGGGCTGGATTCCCTGGACCCTGCGTGGTTCGTTTCGCTATTGTAGGTGCTGTCACTAAAAGGTCGATTATTAGTTTAAAGATGGATTTCGAAAGGGATAGTAAATTTATGGATAGAACAACCGAGTTCAACAGCAGATTTGCCAGTCAACCACAGTGTTCCATGATTAGATTCAGTATGCCAAAAACCAGTCTAATGCATACGTAAATCGGGGAGACCCAGATAGGCAGTGTCATAACCGGATGCTCCTCTGGAGCAAACATCATGTCGAGTCACTGGCCTTCCCTGCTTTCTATCCTCGACATCCGAACAAGCAAACATTGCCTCGATTCATTCACCAGTCTGACAATCAGAGATTCCGCCAAAGTGCCCAACTTCAATTGCTTACATATACCCCGACTGAAGCCCATCACTTCCCATCAAGCTCTTCAGCAGTACACAGTCAGAGACTCCCAACCAAGCACACCTACACACTCGCACACAACGCATCATACCCACACACCCGCAAACAGCACATCAGAAGCGCAAGCCACCTCTACCAACATATATCACGGAGTCCTCACTGTCCTCATGGCTTTCAGCCTCCTGTTGCTGGCTCAAGCTGCACCTTCAACCAGGTACGTGACGGGCGCCATTCCACCCTTCCAAGACTGTGTCACAGTGTAATTCACTCTATACCAGTGCAAGCCTGAACGCCAACGAACCCGCCCAAGCGGTTCCCCTCACCGTTGACCAACTGGACCACAACGCCAAGATCCTCACCACCATGGTCGAACTCAACGACTTGTCGGCCTTCTACGACGACATGATCAGAATCGAGGACCTGAACAACACCCTGATCGTCGTTACGGGCCCGGAACTACTCCACGTCGCAACCCTCGAGGGTCCTGTTGCCGATGAGTTGAACCAGCGGCGCATCTACAAGCCGTTCGCTGCTGGAGCCGGTGCGCACGAGGATACCAGCGCGGTCGAGGGTGCGGATCTTTCTGCGCAGATCTGTGACGCCAGCTGTCTCTTCAGTTCTAGCCAGTGCAAGCAGAATGGCTGCACCTTTTGCCTCGCCTTGTGGTGGGTGTAAGGAAAGGGCGCAATAGGACGTGGATAGATGGGGCTGTGAGCTTGGGATGTATTGGCGTTGATGGCAAACCGCAGGGCTTTATTTGGTAGCCGGGTTTGATTCGGAAGGGAGGCAGATGGCAAGCATTCAACAAGCTGGAGTAGCCGGCTTGGGAAACCGATAACTGGAAAGGGAAATAACAATAAAAATTCGCTTCTTGGACAAGATGTCGTGTCGTTCCGTAACTATCCTCGACAAACCTCGTGACTCTCGAGGTCAGCTTCATCATGGCCCGGAGCTCCTATCCTACCACTGGCTCTTCCATGCCGGATCCTACCCCCTCACGCTGAGCAACGCATCGTCAAGCAGCTAGCCGGGGAATTAAACATGTGTCAATGCCCTCCCTCATTGGTATATAGCCGGCCCATGAAGATATTAAGGGGAAATGATATATACATTTGCAAACCATGATTTAAATACCATCTGGAGTTGATTAGGTTTTCTTCTTTTACTAAAAATGCGACAGGTGTGGGAAGAATGTTAGTTACCGGGAAAGGGCTAAAAATTCAGGCGGACAGATGCAGCAACAAAAAATGAGTAGTGATCAAGCTTCTTTCTTGACCAGATGATTATAAGGGGCAACTACGGGGTTCGAACCCGTGACCTCTCCGAAATTCAGGTAGAACCATTCCCAAACGAAGCGTGTTAACCTCTTCACCAAGTCGCCATGGAGGTTGGGCCCAATAGCAAGCCATTTGTTACCACTGCAGGTTTGCTGTGCAGGCTCCTGGTAGCGGCGATTCCTGTTTGTTCAGCCGCTTCTAGAAGCATCCACCTATAGTAACTATGTTGATTATCGCCTCCTTGTTTTCTGAGATGTAAATGCAGCTATTCAAGTCCAACCATGTGGGTCTATGAGTTGGGGGGCCTGGGTTGTTGCAGTTTTGCACCATCCCTTACAAATCAGCATAAGGCGCATGAAGTGACTCACCGTGGTCACCGTGGTCTCGCGTGAAACCTCTCAACACTCTTGAAACCAGTAGCTGCAAGACAGAATATGGTGTCGCAACCAATAGAGGAAAATTTTTGAGGGCCCCTCCCACGCTTACCTTGAGTCAAGACATACACCCTTGTTTCGAGACTGCATCTTCTGCCCATTCGATCAAAGGCAGCTGAGACTCAAACTGCATAATAATCTGCCCGTACCTCTATGGTTTCAGAAAGAGGTGGTAGTAGCACGCATGTTTCAGCTCTTCGATTCGTGTTCTTTGTTCTTACTCCCATTACTAGCATTCACGTTCGTCGGGTTTCTACACCCATGCTCCCGTGATTGCACGAAATAGCAAGAAGACAAAGCTGAAGTCATAGGCGATCACATGGTGACGATGGAAGTTCGTGACAGACTCCCTACAGCAGAGCCTTTACAGACCCCTTATACTAGGCTCTATATGTACCATCAAGCACCGTTGCCTTAGCATGTATCCCGAAGAGATCGACAGTATAATTTCCGTGCCCTCGGACCAGGCAATCAGGCTGTAATGCTGACCGAGAACATACGCACCGGAGATGGATTCGCGTGGTAAAATCTCTCGAGATCTGATATACGCGGTTGAATGGTAGGCTACACGAGAACAAACAGTGTCCATATCACAACCTCCACAGCGCGAGAATCGAGTGACGATGCGATCATAGAGAGACCTTCTAGCCGGTAGCCAGTTTCCTCAAGCCGGCCTGGTCACCATTGAATATGTCTGAGTCTCCACCTTCACTGTAATGATCGTTGAACTGCCAGATGGTGTATTGCGGCCACCCTCCGGGCAGTGTCCCAGGAGTGCTAGCGTACCGCGCCAGGACAAGGGGATTCGTGTTGGCGAAGGCGTTCGAGTTGCCAGTACAGGTGGACCACCACGAAGGATCCGTGTAGATCATGGGGTAGCGCCCTGTGCTGCTGTGGTAGGTGTCGCTGAAGTCCTTGATCCACGACACGGTGGCACTTTGGGAAAGACCGCCGCAGTCGCCCTCGACGTCGAGCATACCGGGGAGGGTTCTGCCGTCACCGGACCAGCCTCCACCATTCGCGATGAAGTACTTGGCTTGTGTCGCGCCGGAGCCGGAACCGGGTCTTGCGAAATGATAGCCGCCGCGGATGAGCCCAGCATTCGTGGCACCGGTGTATTGGGTGCTGAAGTATGGACTTTTGTAACTAGTGCCCTCGGTAGCCTGGCAATGGGTATCAGCTGTGATATTGACCTTAGGCCAAGACGTGGATCTCACCTTGATGATGACAAACCCTGCCCCTGAACTTTTAGCTTTCGCAAAGTTTACGTTGGGCTGGTAGCTCGAAATATCAAAGCCTGAGATTGTGGCAGAGGCAGAGGCGAGGCCGCTCAAGGCCAAAGAGAATATGATGGGGGTTCTCATCTTGTAGCTGATGTGGTTGGTCTGGTAGGTTGCTTATGACCGGAAGCAAGGTTAGATGAAGCGTCGAACAGCTGGTCAGGGCATAGCCTGGAATATATATACGGTAGCCAGGCACTTGCACACTCGAACTTCAAGTCCTTCATTACCCTTGTTGATCGCATCCGCTGGCGTCCCCTAAGTATGCTGCTGATCAGTGACTTTCTTCAGCTAGGTCTCAGCCGCATCGTCATTGGAGGCTTACTGGATACACAACGACCGACTACTCGGACGCTAATACCAGCGATGTGCTCGTCATTCAGATGCAGGGCTAAGCGACAGCATCACCCGTGCGGGTGTCTGAGAGGAGGAGAGGAGGACTTAGGCGCCTTGTGGAGAAGCTCTTGTATGCATCTATCGTATTGTGTCAAACATGGAGTCTGACTCAGGCTGGTTGTTGTAACAGTTGTGCTGGCCCCATATTATGCTGATCTTGTTTCCTCATGGCAGGTGTTACAGGAAGGCTTGTCTTGTCTCGCTTGCTTAAAGTACCACACAGCCACGCGAGACCAGCCTCTGATCCTGTGGATTGATTACGCCCGGAACATAGCTGTAGGTTGCGTTCCTTCGGACACCGAAGGTTCCAATAATTGCTCATGGGCAAGGCCTCCATTCCACGCAGTCATGGGTCATTGGCAGGTTGCAGCATAGCAGAGGTTCGTAATTTCGGGATCCTTTGAGGAGGAGGCATTGAAGTGACTTTGAAAGTGTCAGCATTGTGATCGCAAGTCTCGGGACCCTGGGGACCAAGAACATGGATGGATGGTTACCCCATCAGTTATTGATAGGGGCGATCGGATCAGAATCCCGTGCTCAGGTATCGCGCTTCGAGTTGCGCAAACGCTTGTCGAAGGCGAAGAACTGCTGGAGTATTCGACTGTCTTATCGGCATGCCTAACGTTGTCAGCTGAGTGTCCGCACTGACATGATCTGGTTTTGGTGACAGTCTCTCATGGATATGTGCTACCAGGGGTAGCCCGAGACCTCAGACCTCAGATGTGTGCTTCGAGGCTTGCCGGCGTTGATAGAAATGATCGTATTACAGTTGGCAAGACTGCAAGAGCTGCCTCTGAAAAATGTATGCATGGCAACGGGGTGCCTGTGGGCTAGATCTGACCGCTTTTGTTGGAATCGGCGTAGTGTCCATTCAATCTCAAATTCCCCAGGCATAGAACCCTTTTCGCTCAGCGGTCCTGTGCGACATGTTCGTGTAGAACAAGGCACCACTAGTGAAACCCTTCACGTCCTGGTCACGGACGTCCTTTTGATGTGATGTGGTTCATCCGTCCAGACCTAGGTGCACGAGTCGCACAAGGGCCCGATCAACATCACACTGCCTGCCATGGTAGCAACGGTTGGAACAATGTAAAGACGAGAAAGCACACTAAAAGCTTTGAGTTGATCTCCTTCTATTTTCTGTCACAGGTTTCGCTGCATGGCATAGTCGGGGCTCAAGGGCAGGGAGCCGCCACTATGCTACACATAACCCAGTGCTGCAATCCTTCTGCGCTTGTAGGGTCAAATTGATGACCTCCACAACCATATGATGCGCCTCGTCAGCCAGATAATTATCTGTAAACTCCATCCTGCTCTGCTCGCTGGCCTGGTCCCACGGCGGATACCAGACTGCGGCATAGACCTCGATACCAGACTTGCCCTCGTCACCCTCGTCGGCTGCGAGGTCGCGGACAGCGATGTGTAGGGCTCCAAAGGTGGCCTCCGAGCCAGACTTCAACACCTTCGGTCCTATGCGTTGGAATATAAGCAGGAAGCTCGGATCGATGGCCCACTCCTCAGGGTAGTCTGCCGTGCCAAAGGTTGGGGTTGTGTATTCCGGTACAGTAAAGTTTGTGCGCTTGGTGCCGAATGTCGACAGTACGCCGCCCCATCCCTCGAAGATGTCAGAGCTCTGACTAGTAAGACCAGTCACGGTAGTCTTCTTGTAGTAGTGCTCGGGGTTGGCGTGATTGTTGGCATCATCGGCATTCTGCGACTGCGTCCAAATGGCGAACTGGGCGGCCAGGAGGTCGCCATCGAAGTAGGCCTTGGTGTACATACGGGCAGGCACCCACTGTGTCCTGTCCGTGGTCGACTGGGAGACTACGGTGTCCCAGAAGGTGTTGGACTCTTCGATGTCGTCGGCCAGGAGGGTGAAGAAGTTGCCGACGTTGTCGGCGGCGACGCAGTCCTTGAGGGCATACAGCTCGGCGGGAGTCGGGCCGGTGTTGGACTTCAGACAGTCTGCCGCGATGCCCGTTGCGTTGATCCGGGCCTGGAGATGGGTCGACGCCTGTTCAGCAGCTGCCTGCTCGTAGGCATCCTTGATGTCCGTCGTTTCCGGGTCCGCGGTATTGCTGAATCGCACCTGAAAGTCGTAGCCTCCATGGGTCTCGGTGGACGCGGCGAGGGAGACGAGGGCGGCGACGCAGGGGATAATGCTGTTGGCTAGCATCTTGAAGACGTTGAGACGGATTTGACTTGGGAGAAGGGAGCTTGGTCAGTGTCTTCTGCTGCAATATCCTCACCTTTGAAGAAGACGTCGCAGACTTATATAAGTGATCGCGGACTTAGATGATGCATGCTGGCGTATATCACTGAGCTTCTCTGATTGGTTCCCTTCCGCGATTCGTAAATACTGCGAATCAGCGACAAGAACATGCCCATTTCAAAAATTTGCTCCATATCATCGGCGGACTAACCTGCCCAGGCACTGTGAGAGAGATTAGTTGTTCCTTTGCAACGGCGCAGCATGGCTCGCTCAGGATTCATCCCAGCCTGGGCAATCCGTCTCGAGTAAGTTAACTTAAGTAAGGAGGTTGAACCAAGGCCCAAGGGTCGAGAGCTGCAGGAAGCAGGGACGAAGATCCGATTTTGCCAGAGCTGACAGTGGCTTGAGTGGGACTGTGGGAGCACAATTACCTGCGCCGCATGCCAGTCAATAGGTAAGCACTCAAGCAGTTTTTGGCAGGCAACTCCTGGCCCTAGGCCCGAGGCCAAGCCGCGAGCTTTTATTATTCCGTAGCTGTACGATACGGCCGCAGATGATGGTTTCCAGCAGTACCTACAGCCCGTCAGCAGTGTAGATAGTATTCGATGCTCAGTCGCTGTACGTAATTGCCTCGGCCAGCTCGGACGATGTGCGAAGTTCCATGCACCAGTGCTGATAGATGACCTTCAGTACACCCTGTCGACCCAACAAGCATATACACGTGAAAGAGTGCACTGCATCCTCGCACTAATAAGCCTGTAACCTTTAACGGACTGACGCTAGTCGCTTTATGATCGGATCATTGGCCACCATGTCAGCTGCATCAGCATCAGCAGTAGCTTGTTTCCCGCTGTCAATAGAGTTCGCGGTTTTATTGGCGCTGTCTCCCTCGCCGGCGACGTGAACTCTTGTACGATCAGTCAGGGTCCCTGTTGAGAGACTGACACGAACGTGGTAGAAGCCCCGGGAAGAGCACGCTCAACATCGGCATTCTAGACATGGCAAACAAGAAACATCCTCATCGCCTGTATCGTCGGTGCATCTGAAGCGAGCGGACCGCTGTGAATTAACGAAGATTGACATGGAGTACCGATGTCCGAGCCAGCGACTTGTTTGTATCGAAGTCTAGGCCAGCTCGAATTGTCCCTCTCTACTTAGGGATGACGGTTATCAACGGGGTTAGGATTCTGGTCATTGACGGGAAACTACCCAGCCTGTGACCATTGTCAAGTCAGTAAGTTACATCAACCCGCAATAAGCCTGGCTTGCCTTCTGCTTACCAGATCATGCTCGAACCGGCCGTAGTGTGAACATATGGGATTAGCATGTTTGCCCTTGCAAACACCGGTCAAGTTCTCTGCAGTAGAGGCATGGGAGGCATGAGAGGCGCTGATAGTGTTTGTACATGTTCCCAGAAGGACCCCCCTGGGTTATAAAAAGGAGAGCGGTGTCAGCTGTAAAAACGATGGACTTTGCAAGGTAGCCTGAATGACGTGATTCTCGGTATGTATGTACCTAAGGTAGGTAGATTACTAGAGAGGCGGATGCTCTAGTATACCGAGAGAAAATCGGCCGACGGGCTGTGTCGACCGTGGGCCCGCCGTAGAGGGGTTCTCTTCAAGTGACCGAAGCACAGACATCTGACGATTCTCTTCGCATGCATGCATGTGCAGTGGTGTCGAAGGATCCTAAGAATTGAGTGTCATGTAGGTCGATAGAGGGGCCCTAGAGAGAAAAAGGCGAGGTTGGAGTGGTGGAGGGCCCCCGTACCTATTGGGGGGGCAATCTGACGGTCTGACTCGGGGTATCATGCTCGGGCCTTGGCAATATGTGCGGGTTGAGTCTTTTCCCTCCCATCTCGGTGGGACCGTGGGACACGGCGAAACGGTCGAAGATCATCTGACCTTATGTATTACTTCTCTCACTTCTCGCTCACCTGAGATTTCCTCGCTTCTTGACCGACACTTTCAGTTCTCTTTTTTACTTCCTTGCTGACCTGACTGTCGTTGGAATCGGAAACTGGAATTGCTGCACTGTCCTGTCGAGAGCAGAAACCTTAATTCCGTCTCACCAGAGCCCGGGCCACCCTCCCTCACAAGAATGTCTTCACCGGAACATCGCGCAGGAAAGCGGCCTCGTAAGTGACGATTGACAGGATGGGACGTGGTGTCTCACAGATTACCTATTCAAAAGACTGGAAGGTGCTTTGCACCAACACCAGCACCAGCACCGGACCTCCGCTCCTGCCCTCCTCTCCCCAGCTCCCCTCCTCCTCATCCGTTGTCTCCACCTCCGATAGCAGATCTTGAAATATTTATCGCACCTGCACTGCACTACTAGCAAGCAGCCCGAATTTTCAGCTTCACACCGCTCTGCAAACACCAAAGGGACGATGCGAGACGGAACACGCTGAGTGCCCTCTCTTCTCTCTTCTCTCTTCTTTCTCTTCTTTCTCTGCCTCTACCGCCCATCGCCACCGGCTATTGAGGTCGCCATCCAAAACACGTATATCCGCCATCAGCGCCAAAACTACCCATCCACCCGTTCTGACACCATGACTTCATCCGCAGGTACCCAGTCGCTGCCTCCCCCGGACTTGCCAAAGCTCGTCGCCGAACAGCACGTCCCCATTCCCTCGGCCGACAAGGACAGCCAGCGACTCATCGTCGTCCTGTCCAATGCCAGCCTCGAGACCTACAAGGCTTCCCACGGCGGCGGTGGCACTGGCCGCATGGGCATGCAGCGCGACGACAAGTATTCGCTTCTCAACAGCGACGAGCACATCGGCGTCATGCGCAAGATGAACCGAGACATCAGTGACGCCAGACCCGACATAACACACCAGGTGCGCCGCCTTATTCCCTTGGACTGCCCAACCAGTTCTTTGCTATTACCAAGTCTGCATCCAACATGCTGACTGCGTGATGCTGACATAGTGCCTCCTGACTCTCCTGGATTCGCCTATCAACAAGGCAGGCAAGCTACAGATCTACATACACACCGCCAAGGGCGTGCTAATCGAGGTCTCGCCCACCGTGAGGATACCGCGAACCTTCAAGCGCTTCGCGGGTCTGATGGTCCAGCTCCTCCACCGTCTCTCCATCCGGTCCACAAACTCGCAGGAGAAGCTGCTCCGCGTTATCGCGAACCCCATCACCGACCACCTCCCGCCCAACTGCCGCAAGGTCACTCTGAGCTTTGACTCGGACATCGTCCGCGTCAGGAACTACATACAGGACCTCAGCCCGAAAGAGAGCGTGTGTATATTTGTCGGCGCCATGGCCAAGGGTACCGACAGCTTCGCCGACGAGTTCGCCACCGAGAAAATCTCCATCAGCAACTACAGTCTCTCGGCTAGTGTTGCTTGCAGCAAATTCTGCCACGCTGCCGAAGATGTGTGGGATATCATATGACCCTGGCCTGTTCGCCCTTCCTTGGGAGCGCGGGCCTCGCCAGCACTTAGAGGGAACGCAACAAGAAGCAAGGGCAAAGAGCGCGTCAGGTATAATGAGTGATCAGCGGGTGTCGACCTGCAGAAACCGTCATACAACATGGCGGTTCTCTGCGGCCGACTCCGGAGCTTGGGTCTAGGGCCTTGTTCTGTCTCTGTTTTTGCAACCAAAACATCAGGCGTTCAACATGAGATCCAAGACGTTTCCCAGCCGTCTTTGTGGGCCACTTCAACTTGGTCCACAGCCCCTTCTTTTCTTTCTCTCCCCTTCTTCCCATGTCTACGTCACAGAGGGCTTCACCAATTCCCAGCCTGCACTTACTACCGAAGCCAGGTCAAGTAGAGAGTGGCTGCATCCGCTCCTTGTGTCTACTACTGATATCTGCTGTATACTTACCGCAGCGCAAACCGGCCTACTGGTCGCGACATATCTGGTCTGTGGAGGACTGCTTTCAGAATAGGCAAACAGGAATAAGCAGTAAAAGTAAAGTATCAAACTTTACCTGCCTATTCCAGCATTTCGAAATTTCCTACGGGTGGTCTCTTATGAGAGCGGAGTGTACTTCGTCTGAACACGCCTTGGTTAAGAGCTGAGGGTGGCTGGCTGGCTGGGTTCGGATTACGAGGCGGATCAATGTGCTTGGTTGGAGATTGTGCTGAACTGCAGGACACATGGGGCTTGTCCACACCTTTCGCCCTTCAGTCTGAGCCGTGACGGAAACTCGACAGCATAATCCGAGAAAGGCAAGGATTCATTCATACTTTGCCTAAATGTGCTCCGGAGTTCGCACGCCACACTCAAATGTCAAGACAACCGACTGGTCGCCCCAGCCTGGTTTCCCCCTCCCAATCCGGCTCGTCAGACCCGACTCTACCATAAATGCCCTTTTACGTGTAACCATGCGCATCCAGTCAAAAAAGCGGAGGGTGGAGCGAGGCCGCTTTCCTGACCGTCTTGACATGTCGGCTTGATCCGCGGGAGCAGCGGGGCCCCCTCCCCCCCAATCGATTCCCATGAAGGGGCAGGTCTACAGCCTATGGAGTCGACGAGACGTGACATGTCCTTTCCTCTTCCTGCAAGCGCTACACTGTACAGCGGCCAATGCAAGCTACTGCATGCAGCAGCTTCAGCTTAGTCGTTGGTCTCCATCCCCTGCAGGCAGCGGGGTCGGGCAGCCTGCCACTCTCAGCGCAGGGATGATAGGGCATGAATCAACGTGGCAGCCCGTCAGCCGTTGACCACGGCTTCCGTCCCCAACCTTGAAAGGAGCGCTTCAAGCCATGGGACTGGCCCAGCCTGGGAGGATCAGTGATACCTATTATGCCCTTGGGCTTGCAGGTACCAGGAACAGATTGGACGACGATGCGGTGCCTGTGGGATCTGGCATACATGGACGATATTGTACAAGATGCGAGCCAGACATCCGCGTGTCATCACGAGACTCCACCGAGTATCGCACTCTACGCGTACAATAAGTAGGTAACTAGGAAGGCCCGTAGACCCTTATGGATCGGCAATACATCGACATCGGGTCAATTGGCGGCCACCGGGGGTGTTGGTACTGGGGCCGTCGGGTTGCCTACCATTGTACCTGTCCCCGTGTATACACGTCGAGTTGGCCTGCACCCGTACCTAACAACCTTGGAAGACGGGCATCGTGGGACTTTCTGTTAGTTCCAGACCTCTATTGGCCGTCGGCCGCAGCCTGTAGAGTTTTAATAAGAGGACGGCGCTGCAATAGTCGTGCTCGACTTGTGACTCCCAGTACTGCACTACTATTCTCTGTCCCATCCTCAACTTATCTCTCCCAAAGTTGTAAACCCCTGGGAGACTACCTACTCGTCACCGGGCGTCGACGCATACAACGCATACGACATAATACACCCGCTCGCTCGATCATCGTGGGTTGTGGGAAGGCCATAGCTTATTATACATCTACATCTGGACAAGACTGCGGCCGTCGTCACACTCTGTCTCACCCTCACATCGTTTTCATCCCCTCCTTCACGCAACCCTGCCCATCTTGTCACTCTGCTTCAGCTGGCTGGCTGGCTGGCTGCATCTGCCTTGTGAGGCTGCTTATCGTTTTGATCCCTTCGCCGCCACGGCGCATACTCTCCCCTGGTTCTGAGCGGACGCCTCGACCAGAGAGCCTGCTTGTTCACATACATATCTCTGCCCATTATATCTTTAATCGCCCGCTTGACGAACTATCCATCACATATGCAGATTCTCCCATTCGTCCAGGTCAAGGATCTGCCCCCTTCGGCTTCCTTCTATTCCGCTGTCACGCAACCGCTTGGGCTGTGCTACATATCGGCCGACTCGTCGTCCATCGTATTCGGCGACACTTCTGCCAGCCCCCCCAAACCGGTATTCGAGGTGAGAAGCACCGGTGCCGAGGCAGGGTCTGACTTGCGACCGGCGCGTTTGGTTCTCTCGGCCGCGTCGCCCTCAATCGTCACCGCTTTTCAGCAAGCCGCTGTGCGAGCAAACCCCGACCTGCTGATCGGCGGTCAAGGCGACCCCGGTTTTCTCCGCCCCCACGGCGATCCATCCTCCCACAGTAGCAGCGAGAGCCGCGGGAAAATAACAGACCTTGAGGGTAATATCATGGAAGTCGCCTACGTCGTCCCGCGCAACTACCCTCCCAACTACGGCGGTTCGACAGTACGCAAGACGCAGTCCACAACCAAGGAAGTGAGCCACATCCTCGACTGGAATCTAGACGTGGCTACCTCGGTCGTCTCACGGTCTGCCGCCGGCTCGGTTGCCCCATCTCGTGCCCCACCTCGCGCGGTTGCTACTCGTCGCCCCGACGAAGAACCACCCTACGTACTACGCCGAAGCGTCACGACATCGACGCTCGAGACCTCCCCGAGCCACACAGCCGCCAACGTTTTCAGCACCGGCGCGGTCATCGGGTCAGTTCTCGGAGCTGTCGCTGCAGGTGCTGCGGTCGGAGGTGCAATCACCTACGCCATAATGAGGGGCGACCGCGAGCGCGCTCCCCGGCAGGAGTACGATGTGCCGCCCACCTTCCAGAGGCGGTCGACGTTTCCAGACCCGTACCCGGACCAGCGCCCTCGCTACGTCGAGGTCGAGAGGACGGTAGAGAAGATTCACTACCCGGAAAAGTACCCGCCCTCGTCGCGGAAGTATCCTCCACCGACCTACGTGGCTCGCTACTCGCAGGCCGGCTCGCAGGTCGGCGGCGCCAGGAGCAGGACAATGGATGATTACGATAACCGGGCCAGCCGGCACTCGAGCCACCACACCAGCGGCACCCGCACCCGCCGCAGCAGCGAAGCCGGCTCGACACGGCGGCCGCTCATGATCACCGAGGCGGAGCACAGGAGCAGTGCCGGCTCCTCCAAGCACAGCGCCTCGCCGCGGCTGCTCATGGACGTCGAGCATCGCAGCGCTGCGGGGTCAAAGCACTCGGCCGCTGCCTCCAAAACTGTGTATCCCGTGGACGACTCCCGCAGCCGTGTCACGGCGCGATACATACCGGCGGCAGCAGTTCCCCTCAACGAGTTTCGCAGTCACGCGGGCTCGAGGCACGTGGCGCACCGCCTGCCCGAAGTCGAGACGTACGTGTCAGCTCGCAGCCAGAGGTCGGCCAGCACGGTCAGGCCCGCGCCACGGCTGGTGGCGGCCGAGTCGATGCCGGTGCGGTCCAAGGCCGGCACCCGCTACTCGTCCGCCACCGTGAAGCCTGCGGGCCCCAGCCGGGCTGCGAGTTATGCGTCGGCGCGGCATGTGCCCCTGCCGCCCAGCAAGGCGGACTGGGCCGACGACGACGACGATGATTTGGTGAGCCTGGCGCCGAGCGATAGCATCAGCTGCGTGGGGAGTAAGCATAGTCGGCGTTCGCGTCATTGAAGCTTGATCAACCTCGACTTCTCTTCAACTTGGCGGGCACCACACCACACTGCCTGCCATCTGTCTGACCGCCTTGAGCGACATCCACAAACAAGATCGACATAATTTTTCCTACTGGCTCTACTACTTTCACTCCCACAACCATGAGCTGGTAGGACAGAGATTCGGAGAACAGAATGACATGAAAAGAACACGTAGCATTGGAAGTAACGAGACGAGACGAAACAGAAATACACCGATATGACCACTTGCAGAGCAATCTGTAACATTGCATCAGAAGGACGGGAAGCTCACCGGGGTTGGTTGGCATTCAGTAGCGTCATGTCGGCAGCGGCGCGACTCTTGCTTTTTGCTTTTTGCATTGGTCGTGTGAGCATATATATAAACGCGCACATTTCGTCTCATGTTTCTGGAATAGCTATGATGGATGACGAGTGATGGATCTGATCTTTTTCCTTCTTCGTCTGCGTTGTCTTCTTCTCTGCTTAGTATATGGGTTTCCTCGAGCATCACGCCGCCGTTGTGGGCATTGACACGAAGGGAGTTGGAGGCAAAGAGCGCGGGTTTGTGTGCGTGTGCGCGTGCATGTGTGTTCGTGGGTGTGTTTATCAATCTTCGCTGGGTTATTCGGTACTCAGGTATGCATATATCAAAAGCCGACTTTGGCACGGCCACGAGCACTCCATCTGCGTCATCGCAGCCTTGTTGTGGCTCTGGGTCTCGTGCTCACTTACGCCCGGCACGTCCTTACACGGCATCATGTGCGTTACCTTGCATGTCGGCAGTGCTACAAGCCAGACGTTGGCTTATTCATGTGACACTCTTTGCTATTCGATGTTGTACGCAGGACATCTGCCCGCCGCATGAATTCAGGTGTTGGGAGCTACATGGACTTACATACATTGACGGCCTTATTCAAGTAGGAGTTTACTCGGAAAGCCACGTAGTTACTGTTCATCTGAAGAATCCCCTGATCCTACATGATAGGCGTTCGACAAGCCTCTGAAAGAGGTCCCCTAGCCCAACCTCCAACACCCGCCCCCTACGGGTGAAATACCCTCCTCTCACCACCCGTGCCCACGGCACCACCGCCCGACCTCCACTTCATGCCCCCGCCACCATCATGTCCCCGAAAGTTAAAGTTCGCCGCGCCGTCCGGAAGGGTCGGGATCCAGCGGATGCCAGCATCGTCCCGAAAGAACCGCGGTGGCGCGGGCAGGTAGTCGTCCGGGCGACGACCGTATAGCAGCGTATCGCGTGGGTCTGGGGCCGCGGCGGCGTAGTGTTGTGCCGTGTGTGATGCGTATTGGAATACGGTTTGCCCGCACGTTGGGCATGTGGGATGTGGCGCGTTGCTGTTGTTGGGGATGGAGTGGCCGCAGGTTGGGCAGACGGCGTAAGAGGGAGGGCGCGGGTGGTGGGCGTGCGTCGTGTTGCCTGTGTAGAGTGGCCCGTTGTGGTTCCTATGCTCGTCAGTTCTTGCCCTGGCAACACCGAGATGGGATCGAGGTAGTAATAGTGGTCACCTACAATATGTAAGGTTGGCACCCGGGTTGCGAATGGCTTGTGTTGCCTTCATCCGTCAGTCTCGGGAGTATGGGGGCATGGAAATACTCACATCTGCATCCGGAGCGCATATGTGGATGATGTGATCCCTGTGAGGCACAACAGTTGGTCTGGTAAAGATCTGGCGTGATGTGACTGCATCCATGGCAGGTGCCGTGATGTGGAGGTTGATTGGGAAAGCTGCCACAGCAATTCATAGCCATGGTCTAGGAGCCCTATGTAGCTCAGAAAGATATCAACGACGTGAGAGATAGATATCCCAGCTGACAGATGATTATCAACTTTACAACTGCAAAGTCGCACCGTAGAAGATGGAAATCGCGGTGGGAAGGTGATTACAACTTCCATGATGAGTCAAACCTCGTGGCTACTTTGAGTAACCAGAGCAAGATGAGTTTGAAGGGAAACAAACAGGTCCAGTCTGGTCTCACCGCTCATACCGGGCTCCGCCCGAGCCTCTGGTGTAAACAAGGCTGCAAACCATTGAGGCATGAAGCCTTCGTTTGTCCTCTGTATCTGATGAGGTACTGCGTATATCTCATCGTAGTGACCATGGCATGGACGAGGGTGGCCTGTGACCGTCCGAGATAGGGGTCGGCCTCGGTCATAAAGAGCAGACCCAAGACATTGGAGGCTCTTGTGAATTGGAGATAGTCACAGTCATAGACCAGAACGTCTCTACATTGAAGCCTTGTATGATGACGCATCCTAGAGTGTATCATTGGAACCGGACTACTTCTGGTAACACATCGACGATAGCTGCTTTGTAGGCGGCCTCGAGTAGGACTCGAAGACTCAGCTCCTGTGCAGCTTTGCCATCTATTGAGCGTAACATGCTCATTCATCTGATGAAATGCCATTGCTCCTCATCCTGTATCTTATAATCAAACGGGTCAAAGGCGAGGGGGCGAGAGGATGTTCCTGAAGAAGCTGCTCGGTTGGAGCCCTTCACCGACACCGAAAGAACAGTTCGGCACGGCGTGTATCAGCCTTCGGACATATGAGCGGGAGGCTGTTTTGATGCTCCATTTCAGTGGCATGTGTAATACGGGGGATGCGATATGGACTTGATGGACTTGATGGACTTGATGGATGATCATGGCTGACTTTGACGACGATCCCCCCCTTCCCCCCCTCCACCAACCTTGAATATTGAAGCGAAGGCCCACAAGCCACGCCAGCCTCAGCGTGTGGCGTTACCCCGAGGCGTGAAACACCGAACTTGGAAGCGTGAAAACACCGAGACGTGGGACGTGGGACGATTTCCGGGTCCGATCGTCTCAATCCACACCGCCATCACCCGACTTCCACAATGTCGAATGTCTGCTTCGTCTGGCTGGACGTGCCGAACTTCGGGGACACAACTCAGGGATACAACTCACGAACCTCTACCTAATGAACTCAATTGACCTCTATTAAAGCACCTAAAATCTTATAATACTCCTATCCATCTCAAACCAGTCCTTTCGGCTCTGGTGCATAAACCTTCAGAGTTGAAATTGATCCCTTATCCGCGAACCGAGGCAGTCCAGTCACCCAGTCCGGAACAATACCTATATTGCAACATGGCTGCCAAGACGTACCCGTTGATGTCCCGCAGAGAGGTCGAAGCCTTGATCGCAGACGGCCGAAGTATCTTCATCCTCGACCAGCATGTAGTCAAGGCAGACCCTTGGCTCCAGTACCACCCGGGCGGCGACAAGGCCATCTTGCACATGGTCGGGAGAGATGCCACTGACGAAGTCACCGCGTGCGTGCTACCCCAGCGTGCCCAGCTCCGTCCCCCACTGGTACAAGACCGTCCTGCTGACATGTCTGCCGAACAGTCTTCACTCGGCCGACGCGAGACAGCAGATGAACCGCTACCGCATCGGCAAGATTGAAGGGCGATGGGCCAACTTCGTCCCTCCCATCCAGGGGGGCAAGTTCAGGCCCCTATCAGAACTATCAGACGGCAGCGAAGAGTTCTACACCAATTGCACAACCTCGATTCTCTCCTCGACAGCCTCCTCAAGCCACTCGAGCTCCCGTGCGCCATCTCCCGTGTTTGACGACACCACTGATCCGACCCTGCGAAAACGGCACGCTTCGAGCAGTGAAAACCCCCCGGGTCCGGCCTCGGTCTCTTCAATCTCATCTGCCGACGCCGACGATGGCATGTCGTTCCTCGACACCCTGACCAGTGAGAAGATGAATCTCGACCTGGACAAATATCCGTCACTGGACTTTGCCACACAGGACACCATTGTGGCCAAATATCGGGACCTGCACCAGCGGATCAAGGATGAAGGACTCTACAAGTGCAGCTACCGAGCCTATGCCATCGAAGTTTGCCGTTATTCCATGCTCGCTGCCTCTGCACTTCTCTTCCTGCACTGGGGGTGGTATGTCCCGAGTGCGATATGCTTGGGCGCCTTTTGGCACCAGCTAGTCTTTACCGCCCATGACGCCGGCCATATGGGCATCACACATGGCTTCCACACCGACACTGTCATTGGTATCATCATTGCCGACTTCCTTGGCGGTCTGTCCCTTGGGTGGTGGAAGAGGAACCACAATGTACATCACATCATCACGAACTCGCCAGAGCACGACCCTGATATCCAACACATGCCCTTCATGGCCGTCTCTCATCGGCTTCTCACATCTCTGCGCTCCACCTTCTACGAGCGTGTCATGACGTATGACGCACTGGCAAAGGTCACTCTCAGGATTCAGCCATACACCTACTACCTACTTTTATCCTTTGGGCGCTTCAACCTGTACGCTTTGTCCTTCGAATTCCTCCTTCGAGGACAGGGCCCACGCAAGGGACCTGCATGGTGGCACAGATGGCTCGAGCTCGCCGGCCAGCTATTTTTTTGGACTTGGTTTGGTTATGGCGTTGTTTACAAGTCGATTCCCACCAACTTGGATCGATTTGTATTCGTGCTGATCAGCCACATGGTCACCATGCCCGTCCATGCTCAGATCTGCCTCTCCCATTTTGCAATGAGTACATCTGAAATGGGACCGCACGAATCGTTCCCGCAGAAGATGCTTCGCACTACTATGGACATCGATTGCCCACAGTGGCTAGACTTCTTCCATGGCGGCCTCCAGTTCCAGGCCATTCATCACCTCTACCCCAGGATTCCGCGTCATAACCTGCGCCGGACGCAAAGGCTTGTGCAGGACTTCTGTAACGATGTCGGTATCCCTTATGCACTATACGGTTTTGTGGACGGCAACAAGCAGGTTGTAGGTACGCTTGCCGACGTGTCAAGGCAGGCAGCCGTACTTGCCAAATGCCAACAAACCATTGCTGGGAGAGACGACTCCATACACGGGCATAGCCATTGAGTATTCTACGTTGGCTATCAGAGTTGCATATAGTGCGGCAGTACATAGGTAAATGCAGTCTAGCGCTCATAGAGACGTGGCGGAAGGACGTCCATCATCAGAAACCTCCAGACCTTGTCAATCTAAGATTCCTCCAACCTCCTCAGAGGCCCTGCACTCTACTAGGGCATAGAGCCTTCTACAGGGTTCAACGGGATGTGCCTGTCTTTCATGATCCTTTGACGGATTACTCCACCTCGTAGGCAAGAGCCTGAGAAATGCTTGGGACTAGAATCAACATCTCAGCCCCGACTGACACGTCAGATTTGGCTACTGACAGGTACCCTGCACCGGATTGCAACTGCAGAGCACGTCGGCTGCGATCAACCTCCTGTCTTCTTGGTGGAACGTGGTTCTCTCCGTTGTTCTGCATTCACAAGGCCCTAATCGAACCCCTTTTCGAGGTTCGGGCTACAACAGGTTTTCGGCTCATTCGAAACCCAAAGGAGCCTGCCATCCACCTGCCTGTGGGATATTCTTCTGTTATTCCGACCACCACTCTATCTCATAGTGGCTTTATGCACTGCTGGTCAGTCCGTGGCCGGCTGCAGCGTGAAAATAAGGCGTCGAGATTTAGGGGCTGGGTGAGCAACTATTCTGCGGAATGTATGCACTGGAGAAGGCATATCAGCTGCACCGCCTCGAAAGGCTTCCGTTTGATGAACTTAGCGGCTTGCATGCTCATTGGCCCAGCTTTGACTGGTTCTATCAGAACGGCATCCGCTGTCCGCGGTAGCCCATCAACGTTGAGATATTTTGCCCCCCCCACAAGCGCGAATGCAACTTCCCTTCCTGCTTGCTGCGCAGGCACCCGCGGACTCATGTGTCTCACCGAGCCAGATCTCGCCGTGCGCCACTCCCGCTGCCGATTTCGAACGAGGTGTACCAGGGGGGCTTAGCCGGCTGGCAGGCTTCAAGGATGTTGAGCGAGAAAAAGCAACGAGGAAGCAACCTCTCTTTGCGACCTGACGGATCCCGGCAGAGAGTGAGAATGCCGTGCACCCAGCGAGATAAGGACTATATATCGGGGACCAGGCCGACGTTCGTGCCTAAAGGCTTTCACGATTCATCCTGATTCCGACCCTGGTCAGCTACGTCTTCTTGCCGTCTCAGTACTATACCACGCTAGCTGGATCAACCTTGACACCCAGCACCTACACCCATCTCATACCAGAAGATGCCACGAGCCATGGACGACAAGTCAGCAAGTCGTATCGCCAAAGCTCGCGGCCCCAACGTGAGTATCTCGTTCCCTAACCCATGTGCCCGTCGCTTGCTCACCATCAACCGAGGACGAATTCGCGAAGCGAGCGCAAAAGTCTGCCCGGAACTACGAAGATCGGGCCGGGAGCAGCTCGGATGGTTCATGGCGGAAGAAGGACTCGGGCAAGAAGAAGGATGGCGGTAGCAAGTCGAAGTGAATGAGAGGTGAAAAGGCTTGTTCTTGGTGAGGAGCACTGCAGGGTATGGGACAGGATGGGCGAGCTGTACGGTGACGTGGGAGTCAAGACAGAAGGTGATTACCGAGACTGGGGTTCGGCTTTTTGGATGTGCCGCCTCATCACCAAGCGTATTGGAAACCGTTCGTTGGTTGAGATTGAGAAAGAAGCGTATTCTTCGGGTAGTGGCAGCAAGACTGCTGCGGCCGTAAACCCACTATCTGCATTCTGTCTAGATCGCCAGGCCCATCGGATGAGTGAGATAGATGTGACCTCGAGTCCTGCCGATCTGGAAAGTAGGTATCCATGGTATTGTTTCCCAAACCCCCTTTCCTGCTAGCGGATGGACGGGTCTGGGCGTGAGGTCGGGTCACGACCGACATCAAGAGATATAGTGACTGGTCACCAGGTGAGGTTGAAGCGTATGAGGGTGACATACCCCTTAATGCCATCCCTCGGGTGGCTGTGCGGAAGAGACCACCCACCCGCCCGCTCTTTCATAGTTTGTGAGAAACGTTGTCGAGGTCACGATCGATTTCCGACACTTCGGCAAGCTTAGCAACCGCCACTTTATCAGATAACCATCAGGAAGGTTCACGTACGTTGTGAAATGCAATATCTCCTGTATGGCAAGGGTTTCGACTATCTAAGTGAGACCTAGATAGTATAGGAAGGTCGTTCTGTCGTTTGCATGCAGTATGCAAGCTATGGCAACCCGCATGAATAGCCTACCCCATGACCTAGTAGGACTCCAGGTCTTCCAAGAAGGAAGGTCTGACATGTCGTATTTCTGGGGAACTACTCGCGATGCCCAGGCTTGTAAGACGATGTCAGAGATCTGGTATCTGAAGTAAAGGCAGGAAGCTGTGAGTCGGCTGTTGGGTCCGTCCTTAGAACTGGAGGATTGACCATGAGCTTCCATGTTGAGTACAACATGGCCACATATAAGAAATATCTAGCTGCCTATCAGTCAGAGAGATAATGACCTCTCGGGCCCGCATAGTATTTCAGGCCATCATTGATGTCGGGATCCAATGTCTTATACACAGTCATCTTAAGAACAAACAATTCGATACAGGCTCGAAGTTTACCCTATAATAATGGTAGTCGCTTAGCCAAGTCAGCTAAGATCAGAAATCCATGGAGACCTTAGACATAACAGATCCAGACCTGCCAGTGTTGTGATAACTTCACCGCTTGCTTGAAATGCCCCCGATTTTTAACACGGAATAAAAAAGAGCAAAATCGGCGCGAAAATGCTAAGAATCAATGGTTTCAAACGGGTGCTCAAAAATAATAGTTTAGAGGAAAATAAATCGAAAAAAATAAGAAAATAAAGTAACGGAATAGATAGCGGGGTGATGATTATTTTTAATTTCGAAAATAAAGCCGGGATTAATAACTCGGCTGTATAAGGGATACTCTTTATATATATAAAAAAATTAGGTTACTGGATAAAGATTTTTTTAAACACGAAAAACTGATATATTTAATAAAATTAAAATAATCAACTATAATAAGAACTATATATAAATATCTCAATATAAGCCTTTAAAAATACCTTTTTTAACCTATTTAATCTTAAATACTTTATGTGACGGCCTGCACAGACCTTCCCACATGACAAGCGGATACTTCCCAATAGGGGAAGGATCTGACCAAAGGATCCCCTTAAAGGGGCAACCTCCCACTGTACCTATATCTCTCTCTCTTCCTTTCCTCTCTAGTCTTGATATTCTCGTCAATAGAGTAATAGCTGCTTGCTGCCGGCCATGTCCCAGCTCCTCAGTACGCTCGCCGTGACACCAATTAAACCTGTATAACTTGGAATATACACTGCATAACGTCAACATCTATCAAACAAAAGCGCCCTTTAAACTATAAACAAACACAACAAAGATAATGAAATGCCTGATGAACAAGCTTCTGACAAGACACTGTTCACTTGTTATACCTCCCAGTCTTCCTTTGACATAATGGCCCAATACTGTGAGACAGCCCCTTCGCTTTGGTACAACTTCTTTGCAATCCATAACCATCCCTTTCCTTCTACCACCCACCCCCGCAGTTGAAGTTCTTTGAGCGTTATAAAATTGTCTTTTTAATAAGTTTAAATCGGGTTTTTTAAACTTACAATATACGTAAAGTTAATAGAATATGTAAAAAAGTTAAGCTTATATTTAGAAAGCGATTTGTTTAAATAAAGAATATATAACAAGCAACAAAAGAGCTACGTAATTATAAGGTATATATAGATAAAGCTGTAAATAAAGCCGTTATTTTCGACGATTGAATAATTTTTAATAATTTTAAAAGTAAAGATTTAATTGCTTTTAAGTGTATTAAAGTTAAAACTTTTGAAAAATAATGTAAACATAATTAGTAGTTGTATTATTAAACCTTAGTTAACGTGTGTTATTTTGCCTTAATGCTAGCGCGTGGCTAGGGGGCCCGCAGGGGGGTGATTGATATTACATTTTATGAAATCATTGCCTGGATGTTACGGTCGCACAGTGGGTCGCTGTGCGGAGTAATGCATATAGTACAGAAATAGGAGTCAATGACCATTCGGGTCATTGTTGAAGCTTTTGCCTTATGGCGCAACGGTTGTCCTATACGCGTTGTAACACTGGACTGCCATAAAAACTAAGGACTACAGACGATCACGTACCCAAACACATATATCTTGAAGTGGCTGCGGGAGTTACTAGCGCTGGCGCTTGCGAGCTAAAGGTGATTATGCACTGATAGATAGCTCATTGTCTTCGCCACTAGATTCGATCTGGTGCCCACTCTAGCAGCGATGCCCACATCTCGACACGCACATCTCTTTTGCATCCGTAATTTAGCATCGCGCAGGATTCACAAACTCCAAGCCTCACGAATGACCTCACCAAGAAGAAGAGAAGGTGGTGTCGATGATCTTACGAGAGCAGAACCGGCAACGTAAGCGCAAACGCAGACGATGAGAGATAGATGGGACGAGCCACCACATTGGCCACCGGTGTTGGTAATTGAACCACGATCGTCTTATCAATGCAGCTTCACCTTGGTTGCACAATGCGTATCTATAATCTTACGAGAGCAGAACCGGGAACGTAAACGTAAACGCAGACGCGAACGCAAACGATAACTAAACGAAGCGGCTCTCGTAAGCGAAAGCGAGTGAAGGTCAACCAGCTCAACTGGCTACTTATATAAGTGTGTAAGTAGTCTCCCCACGGAACAGCACTTTCTAACAAACACATTGAGAAACATACTCGGGCTCCCAGCCTCAGACAGAAAATGAAGACCAGCTTTCTTGCAGTACAATTCGCCGTCCTGGCACTCGCCCTGCCCGAGCCAGAAGGCCATGAATTCCGTGCTCCAGGGCCCTTCGACAGTGAGTACTCATCGACCGCTTGCATGGCGCAACGCAAGATAGACGTTGTCTAACGCCGTCAGGTCGATCACCTTGCCCTGGCCTCAATGCCTTAGCGAACCACAACTGGCTGCGTCATGACGGCAAGAATCTCGACTGGCCGATGATAAACACCGCGGCCCAGGACGCTTATGGCTTTGGGCCCGGTATGTACAAGCCATTCGTCGACATGGTCTTCCAGTTTAACATTTCCACCACAAACACACCTAACGAGACTTTCAACCTCTTTGACCTGGCTCGACACGACACAATCGAGGTCGACGGCTCCCTCACCCGCAATGACATCTACTTCGGCGACGATGTCCACTTCGACGCTTCTGTGTTTGCTCCCGTGGCGCAAGACCTGGGATTGAACCAGAATCTCAGCGCGCACAGTTTCGTCACGACAGAGACGGCGGCGCTGGCGACAAAGAATCGTCTGGCGCTCGCGAAACGCGTCAACCCGGCTTTCAATGCTTCGGCATCTCAGCACGAGTCCGAGTACGGTACTACTGCGCTCTACCTTTACACGTTACTGGATGAAGACAGTGGCACAACGCCGAAGCCATGGGTGAAAGCATTTCTAGGTATGTTCTCCTTCCTCGGGGACCCGATAGAAGCCAAAGAAGTCATCGCTGACGGACGATAGGTGAGGATCGGATCGCTTATAGTGAGGGCTACAGCAAGGGAAGTTCTGTGAAGACCCAGGAGCAGCTAGATGCTATGCTCGATGCTGTGCAAGCTGCAGCTGGGTGGTTGCCTTCTCCTTCCTCGGGGACACGATAGAAGCCAAAGAAGGCATCGTTGACGCACGATGGGTGAGGATCAGATGGGTATAGACTCTAGAGAGGGTTACAGCAAGGGAAGTTCTGTGAAGACCGGGTTGTGACTAGATGATATGGTTGAGACTGTGAAATCTGCAGCTGGGTGGATGACTTAGATTTGCTTATTATCTATGGTTTACATGGCCGTCGCCATCCAAAGATCACATGCCTGAGTACTGAATAGGGGTTACCTCCATCTAACTCACTCGTGGCCTGGGCCGTTGCGTGAACCTTTGCGGTGGTTTTCTGACCCCCCTTACCGTGGTGACGTTACATCAAGCTGCCAAGTACTTATTTATGTGACCGCTCGCTCGCATATGCAATGCAGCCTCAAGTACAGGGCTGGGAATCGATCGAATCTTTAAGGGGTCGAACTGCAACCTGCCTTTTACGGCATTCACGCCGCTGCCCCTTGCAGTAGCAAAGCGGTGTGACTGCATGGATCAATTCCGTACCAGTCAGCAAAGACTGGCGCCGATAAAGTTTACCGACAGCCTGGTACGCGATTCCAACCCCTCATGGCGCGGCCCAGACGACACGGCTGCCAGGCCGTCCACACTCGTTCATATTATCAATCTTTCTTCTCATCCTGCATTTGCTCATTCTGCCCGATGTTGGCTTTTCCTTTGAGGAAGAGCCTCTACCAGCGCCCCTTTATTGAGCCCCCAACAATACTCCTTCGTCCACGTCGCTAAGCCTGCTGGAGCTGCTGTCGTTGGCGACGGCGCAGCTCTATCTCAACGTCACGGCCCTCGGAGCTGCCGACGGCGCCTCAACAATCGAGTGCTGGCAGGTCAAGTCGCCCTTCGCAGTAGCGACCGATGCGGGCACGCCGGGCTCGGCAATCGCGCAGCTGGGCAATATCGCCAACATGTCCTACCTCGCCATCCCGCCCAACTTTGACGGAGGCTTACACAGAGCACTGGCCAAGCAGTGAGTTCTCTCTACCCGCAAGCTAGAGGCCCGTCTTTTGTCGTGATGAGCGATGCGCTGACCAGACGTCGCAGATGGGTCTACATGACCTCGGGCCTGGCCTACACCACCGTGCCCGGCAACAATAGCGCCGGCGCGTACATGACGGGCGGCGAGTTCGGCCTGATCTTCGCTGCGGACACCGCGGACGTGAGCACGGAGGGCCACCGCACCCAGTATCACAGCAACACGCAGACCATCGGCATCCAGCTCCCGACTTTGAATGGCGAGACCCCGGCGCACGATGTCTTGCACTCCGGGCCTTGCGTCACCGGTGAAGTCAGTGGACTGCGTTCGTTGGTGTAATGCTGCGCTTTGCGGGGTAGGATAGGGCTTGGGACTGGCTGCGGTTGCACCCTCGGATGATTGATTCGGCACAGGATGATCTTCAGGTCGAGCACAGGTCGGCGGATGCCCGACTAGGCGGAGAGAAAGAAGCTTGAAGTCGCCTCATCGACCTGGACGACCTCGGCACCATTTGGATACCTAGGTCAAGGTAGGTATCCAGATCCATGGACAACGTCATGATCTGCATGCATCGGATACCATATTGTACCAAGTTCATTGCTGTATATAGGTAATCCAAGTGCCGGCTGAAGTGAACACGGCCTACTGGTGGTCAATTAATATATGCCGCATTGCTAGGCGGTTAATGTTCAGCTCCGGGTCGATTGTCTGCCGCGCCACTCTAGTTGGGAGATGAGGACCTTGTGGTCTTCGCGAGGGGTTTGCACGTGAAGACTACTTCCCTAAATGGATACCGAGGTTCTACACCTTGACTCAACACACACGATAACTAGCTTTGGCTCGAGATCCCGGGTGCCCCTGATGAGACCAGCGAAGCACCGCGTCCCCGCGTTCGATCAAGACAGGAGTGCGGCGTGGTGGATTCTGCCGCTAGTAGAACATAGAGGGGATGAAGGGTCATCGGTGAAACGGGAAACATGAGCTCATTGCTGACTAAACGAGGTTGATCTGAGACATCCATTTGGGACTACGTGATGGCGAATGCGCCTTGTTGCAGTTGACCCAATGATCATCTTGTGCAGCCTGATGAATACTTCATCGTCAATCCGGACACCCGGATCAGTGATAATGAAGTCGGCAGTTGGTTGGAATGCTTCCCTTTCTTAATGAGGCATGATTTACGGACGGTAACGTGAGCCACTGACTCAATGGTGGCCATGAGTGAAGATTGCACAGGGGTAGACTAGGAGACGGGAGGGGCAGTATGTATAAGAACGTCAAAGAACTCCCTATTGTCAGGCGAGTACGGTAGTCTGCAAGGTCCTACGATTCACTCGCATCGGCCACCAACCCGTCACAATGCGCGTATCTACCTATGCCCTCGTCTCGGCCGTGCTGTCAGCCTGTCGTATTTCCGCCTTTCCCGCACATCTCGCGGAGGCTTTCACCAAGTCTCGGAGTGCAAGTGATGTCAGGTCAGAATCCAATGGAGTCCCCAGCTGGCCCTTTGCGAAAAGGCAGGCTCCAGGGATCAACCCCCCTTTCGATGCCAAGACGCAGTATGTGAGCAACACGGGTGACCACGCCTTTGTGGCACCCTCCGGAAACGACCAATGAGGACCTTGTAAGCATCACCCCAAGTTCATCGAGTATTTCTTTCCACTCACATGTGGTAGGTCCTGGGCTGAATGCCATGACTAATCATGGCTATCTCCCCCATAATGGCTCAGCAACCATCCAGGACTTCATCACGGGTACGATAAAGGCATTCGGCATGGGCCTTGACTTGGCTACTTTCCTTGCTGTCTACGGAGCGGTATTCGATGGCGACCTATTGTCCTACTCGATTGGGGGCCAGGTTTCGACCTTACTCAGTGGTCTCCTCGGCGAACCGCAAGGCCTCTCTGGCTCGCATAATAAGTATGAAGGTGACGCATCGCCTGTTCATGGAGACTTGTATCCATAGTATGTGATTTATGCCTTCCTTGTTCCGTTGATACCTCTCGCTTCTATGCTTCTCTTTCAAGGAGACTCGGCTGAGATCTGAAAGCGGCAACAAATTGCCTCAAGTGTCCCAGTTCATAGCTCTCTACGAGCTGGGCCAAGACAACGGCGATTCAACCGATCTAGATGTCTTGACGCGACACCGCGTACAGCGGTTCAACGTGTCCATATCTCAAAATCCATACTACTTCTCAGCGCCGTTCAGTGGGCTCATCATCAACAGCGCGGCATACACGTTCGTCTACCGGTTCATGGCCAACAAGACGGCAGAGAACCCACAAGGGATACTAAACGGCGAGACGCTCAAGTTATTTTACGCCGTATCGGGGGACTATCCTGACTTCACGATCACGCCGGGCCACGAGCGCTTCCCGGACAACTGGTACAAGCGGAACCCGCTCGACTACTACACCATCCCGTACCTCGCGGCCGATGCGCTGGCCATGCAGTTGCAGCATCCTCAGTTCCTCTCGGTCGGAGGCAACACGGGCAAAGTGAATTCATTTGTCGGCTTGGACCCGGCAACCCTAAGAGACGGCGTCTTCAACGCGCAAAATCTGCTTGAGGGCAACAACGCTTTCTGTTTCGGTCTGGTGGCTGCTCTGCAGATGGCGCCTGATATCCTGTCTGGCCTATTCAGCGACATCACCGTGGCGCTGGGCTTGTTGTTTTCAGCTGTCGGCAATGCGACGGAGGGGTTGAGTTGTCCTCAGCTGAAGAGTATTGATAAAGGGCAGTTTTCACAGTTCCCTGGGTACACGGGGTTGAAGCCGGACGCAGAATATAGGGCTTAAGTAGGAAGTTGTCGCCAAGGTGGGAAGACTGTGTGTTCCCAACTCCGCAGGTTGAGAGATAGTATCGATCTTATGGGATCAATCGAGGCTCTGCCGCAACCTTGAGCAATTAGAGGATCTTTTTTTTTTTTTTTTTTTGGGCTCATGAGTCATGGCTGAACTCCATCCATCTTCCCCCTCAACCTCAACGCCGCCACATATGGCACCAGCGAAACCTTCATCTGCTCCGGCACCGTGTCCAAGGTGGGAAGAATTGTAGACTCTCGGTATTCAGATATTGTACATAGTGCACCTCCAGCTGGCCACGTGCATTTTCATACCAGGTCGTCTGTTTGTCGTTCGAATGAGCATGTGTACCAAAGCCCAGATCGCTTCGACGTGCCGCATCTCATTATGGGAAGGAACTGCACCAATAGAGACGCCGTGGCAGTTGGCATCCGGAGTCAGCAGCCCCCCGAGGAGTAGAGGGTTGTGGGGGGTTGGGGGGTAAGGGGCTGTGGGGTAGGGGTTGTGGAGACTCCCCTATTGTACAGGAGGAGGCTGCTACCTACTCCCGCATACCTAATCGCGTACCTTCATTCGCTCAACACCTGCACTCACAACCGGCAAGACCTGCGACCTTGGTCCGTCATTTCTCTCGTCTCTCAAGGTTCCGACTCTCCCATCTTCATCACATCCCTCCTTCCACGCTTCTTCCTCCATTGTCCAACACCCACACCATCATGGACTGCCAACACCCCGAAGAACTATCGCCACCGCGTCGCGCCGCCGTTCCCGATTGAGTCAGCCGAACTCTCAGGAAATCTCTCGTCTCTATTACTCAATCAAGCCGAAACCCGCGATTACGACCTGCACAACAGTGCCGCCGACCCAGGTCCTTCCATCCCTCCATCGTCCGAACAACAAACCACCACCACCAACACCCCCACTCCTTCACGACGCGCATTAGACGAACGTGCAAGATGAATCACCAAGGAACAGAGCTCGCTTGCCTGGGGCCAATCTCAAAGCTTCCTCGGGAGGTGCAATACATGGCTCTCTCTTACCTCGACCCCGCTAGCGCTGCCAGCTTCACCCTCGTCAATCGCCAGGCCCAGTTCCTTCTCTGGTCCGATGACCAATACCGTCTTCTGAAGCATTACTTTCGGATGGAATTCGGACACCACAGTAAACGAGTCAAGCAAGTCCTCAGGTCCATAAGCTACATCGACCTAGCTCGCGTCATGGTGCAGCAGCCGAAGTGTGGCTTTTGCGGAACGGCCCGATGGCTGGTCCGCATGGACCTGATCCGACTATTCTTCGTCTGTCAAACATGCACTCGTCGCCACGAAGACGAGCGCCTCTGGTGTTTAGCGGAAAACGTAAAGATAGTGAAAACGACGTGGGTGGACGAAAGAGGTCTGTGGCGGTACCATGAAGGCCAGCTTGCAGATAAGTACTATTCCCTATCCCCCATTATCGGGCGTCCAGCCGACAGATGGAATACTCCTGCATTTGCAGGTCCGAACTTACGGCTAACTTTTGAAACCCCAGAATTGCCCAAGATCGAAATAATTCTGCTCGAAATGAGTGCTAGATACGGTGATCACGAAGATCGAAAATCGCTCGAGCTTTGGAAGGCGAAGATTCAATCGAGCGACGAAGAAAGCTAGGGAGTCCTTACTCACTCTGCGGCTGTCGCACGGGGCGTCATGACTAGGATGCGCTATTCAGTCTCCTCCCAAAGCCACCTGTTCTCTGCCCCTCCCTCCACCAAACCACCATCATGTACCCTCACCCGAAAGACACCATGATTCCAACCCAGCGTCCTGAGGCATCAGAGGCAGGCATGATGCCGCACCATCTTGCGCCTTTCATGATACACCACCTGTAATTCCGCCGCGCTTCCATGAGCATGAGCATGTCTTCTTCTCTCCTGTTCCTGTCTTCTCCTCCTCGCCTCAACACTGGCGATATCAGACTGGAGAATTCTGCCCTGACCATGCATGCATTGCAGCAACCTCGCTAACCTTTTGACGACCGGTATCGAAAGGGTTGAGATTTTCCATCAGAACTCCAGACGAGTGGTTTGAGGTCGAATCACTGTTGTTATTACCACAAACTCTAGCCTGCAAGCATTTGTATCTCGAAGATACTCGGTTGAGTGCAATATTCAAGGGAACGCAACTCAAGGAGGAATCAAGTTCACTTTACTCGATAGGATCTGCCGATCTGAGCTGCAGTGAACGTCTGGTAGCTTTCCAAGAGCAATGTATGATGTGTAAAATACTGGATTTAGGGATGGGACACCGGTCCGTAGCGAAATCGCACTTGTTACCTACGTAGCTAAATTGCCACAACATACACGTGCGATACGCAACCACCAGATGCAGCAATGTTCCACCGTGGGTATACAGCCATTGCCCATGGCCTCTGCAATACTCTGAATTGCACATCATATCAACTGCAGCCTTGAGTATATACCTCTTATGGTATTTTCTGGACTGTGTAGTTACTCTGTTCGTCGGAGGACCTCTTATTCCAGGTCAGTTCTGTTTTGGCCCGAACATGACAACCGGCTGGTCCCGTACCTGTGACGGGAACATATAAATGAAGTCTGATGCGATGGTTTTTGCATCGAAGGGATGAGCGAGAATGTCTGAGCCGTAGAGCAATGGCGGAAAGAGAAGTGGCCCAGGACGTCACCAAGGTACTTAGCTAAAGACCATACGTCTATGCCACAGTCTCGGGAAGTAGAATGACCCAGGATGCCTTGCTCCGGGTGCCGGACTCGATGTCACGAAGCGTAAATATGGAGTGGACGTAACAGTCCTGCGTTCACTACGTACGTGTAAGAATCTCTCGGTGAAGAGGGAAAGAAGGATCTGGCCCACTAGCTAATCTAGTAGCAGTCAGGGCAACACGTCCTGTGCGCCAGGTCACCTGATGCAGCGCACTGACCACTGCAGATGGGGTGTTAGACCTGATGGGAGGTCAGACCATCACAACCCCCCGCGCACAAAAACACTCGCCTCGAGTCTGGATCGAACCCTCCTCTCCCGCTGCGGAGGCGAATGCACATGCCGCTAGTCAACTAGCGCAGAAATACCACGTGTTTGTGCCGTCAGTGGCGGCGCCCGGCGCAGGATGAGCCGGGGCCCACTTTGCCAAATCGCCGCAGGCCGAAGATAAACCGGGTACCCACTGTTCAGCCGAATTGGGTGTGTGCCCCCCCAAAATCTCCTGACACTGTTGTGAACACTACATTGCTCGTGATAGCCTCAACCTGTGATACACATACAATGCCAAATTTGACCGGTTTCCGTCATTAACCCGAAAAGTCAAGCTGAATCGAGAGGACTGTTCCCCCATCGACGACTGCGAGACCCGCCACTAGACACGGCTAGGGCTTGATGACCTCATAGACGGTTTCATAGTGTGTATGCTTGAAAGTACAGAGTTATATAGTGACAGGGAAGAGCAGGTTCAAAGTCCTCACGGAATTAACATTGACCACCTGGGCATACGGGGCTGTGGGTTCATCGTAAATCCTCGTTACTGCTCGGTTGATAGACGGTCACTTTTTGACGTATTTTTCATCATGAAGTTAGCCACGATGACACATTCTTGATCTCGTTATCTTGGCCGGCTTGTCATTGTCAGGATGCGGTGGATCGAACTCGTCACTCTGAGCCGCCTGAAGCCAGTGTTCGAGACGTGCCGGCGGGCCAGCAGCATCAGGGTACTCGTCATGATAAGCCTTCAAAAGTTCCGCTGAGTTCTTGAAGTCGCCAGCAGGGCACCAAAGCCCATCAGGGTCCCATCCTTTCCAGAGGATTTGGTACTGAAGCTTGTTGTAGTGAAACCGCGAGGTAAGGACATTCGTGAGCTCCCATTCCTCTTCTCTAAGGTTAGGATCAATGATCACGCCGTTAGGTTCGTCGGTGGCTTGACCCGGCACCGGGTTATTTGCATACTTGCACAGACGATCAGCGTAGAACCACTTCGAGCCTCGCCACTGATCGGATAGCCGCAACTTGAACGTGTTCGGTCGATCAGTGGACTCGTGTATGATCTCGTAATGTTGATGAGTCATCGGATAGTCGAGCTTATCACTGGGGCGGCCCGTTATGGTTCCTGTCTTCTTGATGATATAGATGTGATCACTAACGCCAAAGTCAGGCACGCGATGATGCTTATTTGCTTGCTGTACCATTCATTCTTAAGCCTTCTTGATGGCGTCCTGGGCGTATTCCGCGCACGTCTGGATCTGACGAGCCATCTCCTGAGCCTCGGATCTAGTGAGACGTTCTTGCTTAGAGAGCTTTGTAAGTACTTTGGTACGCGCTTCCCAGTCAAATGACATCTTCATTGGTCATCCGGTCAGTACTTCATGGGGTGAGAGACCGCCTAATGATTTGTGGGGCAAGGAGACCTGAGCGGCATCCATGGCTGGGATGGCTCTGGCACAGTTGTCTTAAAAATGGTTAACAAATGGTCGCAAATGTTGGTCAATATACTCGTTCATTATCTCCACCTGGCCAACAGACTGTTTGTGACCTGCTGATGAAAACTCCAGCTTAGTGCCGTGGATCTTTGAGAGTTTGTCAGCAAAGGCCGAGATGAACTGGGGGCTACGGTCACTTGTGAAGGTCTGGGGCCATTCAATGACTCAATAAGGTTCGTTATAGAACATCCATGCGATCATTCTCGCACAACCAAACAAAAACAACTATTTTTCTTGGCGCAACCTCAATATCTGCACTAAAGTAGGCACTTCTCTCAGTAACTCACTATCTTTGCCAAGGCACAAGAGAATTTTTCTCACAAGCCGGATGGCACCCTTCTACAACAGGCCCCTAAACACGCCCATGGCCATCCCAAAGACGACCACCGGCGGCGTGCTGAAATCCCTGGCCCCTAGAAAGACATACGGCCCGGCAACTCCGAACGGGCTCCGCCAGGCGCTGCTTGACAATATCAGCAGCAGCCCGCTACAGGTTTCTGAGGCTGACTTCACCGTTATTTCCTCTCTGAAAGGAAAATCCTGAAATATTAATAACAGCAGTACTACTAGAATAAAACAATCTCAATTGAACGAAATCTTTACAGACCAAGCCATTAGATGTGATATAGAGAGCAAAGCCTCTTCTTTAGAGTACCAGGACCAAGTTGCTAAGATACTGGCTAAAGACAAGCATCTATATAAAGCCAGGATAACAATATTTCAAAAGTGTGCTGCAGTAGTTGATAAGACACTTAAGAAAGCTGGAACCGAATTATACTCTCATGTCAAGGAGTTCAGCACTTTCTTCTTTAAATGTCTAAACGAGTGGCTAGAAACCCGAGATCCGCACGAAAGGAAGACCATTCCTGGGGGGATAGGGATAGTAAAGCCCACCATGACCTTCGCCCAAGCTGTCTCCTCTAGCCAGCAACAGCATCCACGGACAGTCAACACTACCATGAGGAAAACACAGCCTGGCGCCCTTATCACTGCCAACCAACTAAAGAAGAAGCAGGATGATCTGTGGGTCTTTGTTTACATGGATAATAGCCATCTAAAGCCTTACGGAATAAAGTCTATACTGAACAAAAGACTTAAGCTCCACCCTCAAGAGCTTAGAGAAGTGACCCGGTACCCCTCTGAATTTACCTTATACCCAAGGGATAAGCCAACTCAGGCTAAGCTCCTAGCCTTCCAAGAAGAAATCACTGACATTCTCAAGGCAGAAAAGATCGAGACATACACAGTCTGGCATCACTATAAGGTCGATAGATGCCCAAGAAAGGTCATCAGTGCGGAAGGGTTGACAATCGACATTACCGACATTGCTGTTACTAAGGAAGTTGAAGCCCAAATAGGTGACAGACCTTTAAGGTACATACTCTCAAGAAAGACAGTTAATTCTGATCCAGAGATTACATGGGTGATCTCTCTGCCCCATGCAGCAAAGAAACCATTCATGCTTTTTACTTATTTAATGACCTCAAGGCATATTCAATACTCCCCCAAGGTTCACCAGTGTGCGAGCTGCTTCAGATACCATGGTAGGAACTACCGATGTGAAAAGCTAGTATGTGCACATTGCGCCAGTGCAGTACATCAGGGGGAGTGCAAAAAACCAATCCCAAAGTGTGTCAACTACAAAGGAGCTCATGCTGCCAACTTCGACAAATACCCTACACGCCCCAAGGTTGTGAAAGGCATCATCCATAAGCACACATGGGAGCAAACCCAGGAAATAAGGCTGGCTGGAGAAAGAGCCAGATCCAAGGCCTTCAATAAAACAGGCAGAAACCAAGCTGGGTCAACACCCAGCAACAATAACGAAGACATCACAATACAAATCGACACAACAGATACAACTCATCTCAGAGATGCCAATACCATTGTTGTCAGTCAATGTTAGGTACATCAAACGAAACACATCGACACGGGCATCTAGTCATCCATTCTGTGAATATAGCAGGAGGACAAAAGAGTGCAGGCCCTACAAAGTTAGCCATTAACCTGGCTGACTACAAAGGAGAACAAGCAGACATTATTCTGATGCAAGAGCCCTAGGTTGGCATACCACCAGGCAAGAGAATGAGAGTAAAAACACCCCCCAATTACGATATATACTCCCCAGTGGATTCCTGGGACAGCGACAGTACACGGCCCAGATCTCTCATCTATATGAGAAAACACCTTTAAGCGGATCAATTTTGGCCTTATGCTACACAAGATATCACCTGGGTCAAGGTACAAGGCATTACATTTGCCAATGTCTACCGGCCATGTGACAACCCACAGGAAGTGGATGACATTCTGGAAGTATGGACTCCACCTTTTGGCTGCGTTATAACTGGAGATTTCAATGCTGGCGACACATCCTGGGACTTGAGCAATTCAGGATATCATGGTGGTGTTATACTTGCACAGACTATGGCAGATCACGGACTGGATCTGATTTCTGAACCAGATGTCCCAATACATGATGACAGGAATGTACTAGATCTGGTGTTCTCAGATGTCCCCATGGCTAAAGCCTCAATCAATGATGCACTTCAGTGCACCTCAGATCATGAGACATTACGAATAGTTATTCCAATTCAGGGAGATCTGGACCGAATCCCCAAGGCCAATCATTGGATAGTACCGGATGATAAACTACAAGAGCTGGCAGATAATGTCCAAACCAGGATTTATGAGCTCTCCTAGCTGGATGCATCCCCTGGCCAGGTGGATGCCTTTACACAGAGCTTGATCAATATGATCCAAGGCTGTATCAGGACAGTGGGCAAAAAGCACCAACAATCTAGGCCCACTGCTTGATGGAATGATAACTGTAAAGCAGCTATTCAGACATACAGGACCCTTTCTAAACAGACTATAAGCCAAAGAGGGCGAAATTCAGCCCGACGGGAATTTTGCCGCGTGGTTCAGAAAGCTAGGAGAGAATACTGGCAGACTCTAATCAATCCAGCAACTGAGCCCAAGGACCTATACAGAATCGTCTCTTGGCACAAGCTATCAGCAGGATTGCGTTCCCCCCCAATCATCATAGGAGACCAAATATTCGAGTCACAAGAGAACAAGGCAAATGCACTACGCTCAGCCACGCTTGAACGAAGTACCTCAGACAACGATATCATCGACCCCTGGTCCGCTCAGATCACACAACCCAAGCCATACATCCCCCTTGAATACCATGTCGGACTGGAAGAGGCTGAAAGGTGCACTATAGGGACCAAGAGCAACTCCCCGGGAATAAACACCCTCACAGTATGAATTCTGAAAGCTTGCTGGCCAGTCATTAAAGAACATATCAGAGCCCTTTTCCAGACCTGCCTACAGATTGGACATCACCCGAAACCATTCAAAGTGGCTGAGGTGGTGATGACCCCAAAACCAGGCAAGAAAGACTATTCCAATCCCAGGGCCTACAGACCAATATCGCTATTGTCATGTCTTGGCAAAGGCCTAGAACGACCCATTACAAAAAGAATTACCTGATTTGTTATTAAACTTAGAATTCTAGCTTCACAATATTTTAGAGCTCTACCAAAGCGCTCTGCCACTGACCTGGTAGCTGCACTCATACACGATATTGAGCAGGCCCTCGACTAAGGCCTCGTTGCAATAGTAGTCATGTCAGATGTGAAAGGGGCCTTTGATGCTGCCCTAATAGAACGGCTGGTAGTTCGCATGAGAGAACAGGGTTGGCCGGGCTTTTTTATAAGACGGGTCCAGTCATTCATGACCGAGCGGTCCCCAAGAGTTCAGTTTGAAGGTATTGTGACCAATATAAAAACTCTCACTTGTGGGCTACCACAAGGCTCACCAGTCTCTTTAATCCTTTATATGCTGTATACAGAGCCAATCTGTGCCCGACTCGGTATGAAAAGGAGACATTTTAGATACACAGATAACTTAACAATTCTCTGCATTGGAAAGAGCCTTAAAAAAAAAGCTATAGAGGCTTTTAAAAATCTTTATCTATTTAATCAATAAGGACATAACAATACTATTGAATTTGACCTTAACAAAACCGAGATCATACATTTCTCGCGGAAAAAGAACACAGACAATCCTCCGGTCCGCCACGGGATAATGAACAAAATAGCAAAAGACTCTATACGATGGCTAGATGTCCTCTTAGATAGAAAACTAAACTTCAAAGATCAAGTTTTCTACTAGGCTAAGAAAGCTAATAAGGTAGCAAATCACCTTCGGGGACTTTACAACACAATCAAAGGACTTCCTAGAAAGTCAACCAAGAGGGCTGTGAAAGCTTGTGTTATTCATATTCTTACACACGGCCTGGAGGCCTGGTACCCAGGAATCAAGAAAGTTGGGAGCTTAGGTGGGACATCAGCATGTCGCATTAAGGGGCTTCTTGGAACAATAGATGCCGTATTACGAACGGTGATCAGGGCTATCTTGCCAGTCTGGAAAACACACCCTGGACATATCTTATACTTTGAATTACAGATTCCCCCAGCAGGAGTTCTTGCAGAGTCAATAAGACGACGTCACGGCCTCTGACTAGGACGAATAGACCAGAGACACCCTCTTATTGGCAGGCTCCAAATACAAGCTCGCAAGAATCTAACAAGGCTACAAAGGAGCTTCCAGCTAGTCCCTGACTTCCAGAGACCAACACTTACTAGACCATTATTAAAAAAGCCCCCAGTCCGCAAAAATAAAGACAAAAAAATAGAGCTCTTTAAGTAATGGCTATAGGAGAGAAACATGAATACTAACCTTGTCATCTATTCAGATGGATCACAATTAGACGACCAAGGCACAACCCGCACTAGATGGGGTTATACCATCAGGAAAGGCGGCACTACACAAGAAATATATCAGAGAAAAGG